AACAACACTCGCCCCAACAGTCTGTTTCAAAGCTATAAGGGGGGATCTCTGTAATTTATGTGTGTGTGTGTATATATATCGGTGTGTGTGTGTACACATTATTTTGTGATGCTGCGTTGGCAGTGATGAACAAGCACTAAAAAAACTAAATAACTCAACAAAGTCTTAAAATAAGGCTGTGTGGCTTTAAAAAGAAAAACTCGATAATATGTGACATTTTGGGTAATTGTCCTTCTCCATAGCACACAGAGAGACCAGAGAGATAGACTGGATAAGGGTTGGAGACATCACGCCACATTAGCATGGCGTCTGGTAAGGAGGGGATTCTCGGGACAGACAATTTGATGCGTGCATTGTGAGCTCCAGAATGAACATAGATGGACCTTAATTGTTGTACATGTATTGTGTGCAGTCTGTCGTGATTCTGAGCAAATGACTGAGACGTAATTACAAATCTGCTGATAGCGAAAAATAACATGAAGCAGACCAAATGATTAAAAGCCATCTCTTCTCTCTAGCCCATCCGACAGCTACTCCTTGCCCCTTACCCTAGCTATGACCAGGCTTACCCCAACCCCTCTCACTACCCCAACCCCTATCACTACCCCAACCCCTATCACTACCCCTATCACTACCCCAACCCCTATCACTACCCCAACCCCTATCACTACCCGAGCCTCCATCACTATCTAACCCCTATCACTTCCCCTATCACAACCACTACCACTACCCCTATCACTATCACTACCCTAACCCCTGTCACTACCCCTACCCCTATCACTACCCCTATCACTACCCCAACCCCTATCACTACCCTAACCTCCATCACTATCTAACCCCTATCACTACCCCTATCACTACCCCTATCACAACCCCTATAACTACCCCAACCCCTATCACTACCCCAACCCCTATCACTACCCCTATCACTATCACTACCCCTATCACTACCCCTATCACTATCCCTATCACTACCCTAACCCCTCTCACTACCCCAACCCCTATCACTACCCCCAACCCCTATCACTACCCCAACCCCTATCACTACCCTAACCCCTATCACTACCCCTATCACTACCCCTATCACTGCCCCAACCCCTATCACTACCCTAACCCCTATCACTACCCCTATCACTACCCCTATCACTACCCCAACCCCTATCACTACCCCAACCCCTCTCATTACCCCAACCCCTATCACTACCCCTATCACTACCCCTATCACTACCCCAACCCTATCACTACTCCAACCCCTATCACTACACTAACCCCTATCACTACCCCAACCCCTATCACTACCCAAACCCCTATCACTACCCCAACCCCTATCACTACACCAACCCCTATCACTACCCCCTACCCCTATCACTTACCCCAACCCCTCTCACTACCCCAACCCCTATCACTACCCCAACCCCTATCAATACCTCTATCACTACCCCTATCCCTATCACTACCCATATCACTACCCCAACCCCTATCACTACCCCTACCACTACCCCTACCCCTATCACTATCCCAACCCCTATCACTACCCCAACCCATATCCCTATCACTACCCCAACCCCTATCACTACCCCTATCACTATCACTACCCTAACCCCTATCACTACCCCTATCACTACCCTAACCCCTATCACTACCCCAACCCCTATCCCTATCACTACCCCAACCCCTATCCCTATCACTACCCCAACCCCTATCACTACCCCAACCCCTATCACTACCCCTATCACTATCACTACCCTAACCCCTATCACTACCCCTATCACTACCCCAACCCCTATCCCTATCACTACCCCAACACCTATCACTACCCCAACCCCTATCACTACCCCAACCCCTATCACTACCCCTATCACTATCACTACCCTAACCCCTATCACTACCCCTATCACTACCCCAACCCCTATCACTACCCCAACCCCTATCACTACCCCAACCCCTATCACTACCCCAACCCCTATCACTACCCTAACCCCTATCACTACCCCTATCACTACCCCTATCACTACCCCAACCCCTATCACTACCCCAACCCCTATCACTACCCCAACCCCTATCCCTATCACTACCCCAACCCCTATCACTACCCCAACCCCTATCCCTATCACTACCCTAACCCCTATCACTACCCCAACCCCTATCAGTACTCCAACACCTCATCCTCTCCGGCCTCTCCTCCCAACTGTCACCATAACTAAACCACCACTTTCAATAACAACAACAACCACCACCCCCACTCTTTATCTCAACCACCATCATGTGACGTACAATTTTTCAACTGCTGCAAAGCGCCTCGGAATAAGACGCCGCGATATAAATCTGTATCATATAAAAGATCAAGAGAGAAGGGTCCAAGCGACATGTCTTTGTTTGTCCGTGCGCGCATTAACCATTTCCCCACGAGTGTCCAATTGGGGTTAACTTTTCCACCTGCGCGTGGTGCTTTTGTCTTGGGGAAGCTGCTTATTATTCAGATTGTGATTTATTTATTTTATTTTTGAAACTCGGGTCAGTTCGCTTGATCGCGCGAAGTGATTGGAAAGTCGTTGATTAATTAGCATGTGATAATCGCGCCCATCTAATGAGTGAGCACTTCGGAATATGAACGCTAAATCCCCGATGATTTTGCAACAACAACGAAAACCCTTCAGAGTAAGTTTGGACAAGAAACTTAATTTCTCTGCGGCAAGAGACAACGCAAGCAGGACAACAACATGTTTGTATTAATTTTCGAGATGGTCTCAGGGCCATTGGCAGCCACGTTCACTAAGTTCATCATCATTATCAGTTATCAGTCATAATCTATCCACTGCTTGATGAACAATACATTTACAACTAAGGAATCCTGGAAACGGCGTGCAGTAGCCCAAATTGGTATATCAGAAGCTTCGTCTACTCGGCTATGACGGACGAACAACAACCGCCATTCCCCACTCAGTAGCGATGACGTCTCCACGGCGATTGTGCCAGGCAATGTGCACCTCGAGGCCACGTCTAGTGTGGAACGCGCGCTGGCAGGTCACGGGACAGACCCAGGTGCCATGGGTTGACAGTCAGACTGAGATGACCGGCAGATGCACCACCTGTGCCCTGTACAACCACCACCTGTGCCCTGTACAACCACCACCTGTGCCCCGTACAACCACCACCTGTGTCTCGTACAACCACCACCTGTGTCCCGTACAACCACCACCTGTGTCTCGTACAACCACCACCTGTGTCTCGTACAACCACCACCTGTGCCCCGTACAACCACCACCTGTGTCTCGTACAACCACCACCTGTGCCCCCTACGAGCGGACAAACCGCACCCCGTTACAGACGTCTGCCCTCAACAACGACTCCTTAACAACCCCACTCTTTATCTCAACCACTGGCGTTTGATGCACAATTGTATCATTGCTGTAAAGCGCTTAGAAATAAGTCGCTGTACAAATCAGTTTAAGATAATAGCATGCAGGCTGATGCGATGTCGGATGTCGCGCGGGGCGAGATGTTATCTCCCTCGCCTGGTATGCAGGAGGTCGTGGGTTCGATCTCGACCCTGACGCCTGCTGCTGTATATTTGGAGTTTGCATCTCTCTCTTTCTCTCTCTCCCCGTGGTCGCGTGGATTTTTCTCTGGGTTTTCCTTCCAAATTTAGAATCAACATCACGCGTTCAGATAATTTGGCTGCTATACATTTCCACATGATGATAACCCACTTCGTTGAGCTATCATTTTTCATAGCCAGATCTCTTCTGAAAAAAAGAGATATATAGTGGGCCTCACCTGGTAAATCATTCGTGCGTTTTGTACACAGCAAGAGAGAGTGCTATGCTGATTGTGCTGTGGTTGAATGCTGCAACCTCGTGTTATTGTTGACCCAGGTGATATAAAGATTAGGTTGATCCTCATCAGTCTTGATCCATCCATTGCTGGACGAAGGCCTTCCCAAGCCATTGCTCACGGTCTCGCGATGCCGGCAATGACGCTGGCTTCCGCACGCGAGCTGAATTCACTGCTCCGTCTCTCCAGCAGACGTTCTCTCGGGATGGATGTGCCCTCTCCTTTGGCTTGCCATTGACACGTTCGCAGTTAGCACGCATAATATAGTTTTTTTTTTTAGGTTAGATCGCGTAAATATATAAATGTTGTGTCGTTAAATTCCGCCACCACCCGACACAGCCAACTAAGTAAGGGTTGTCACGTAAACAGAACGATGCCAATTCGTCACTAGTACAGCACACCGGTGTGTTGGAGAGCAAAGCCACAACACTTACAATCTGAGTACGACGTTTCGCCAGTAATTACAACTAGCATCGTCAGGCTACAGCCAGTAATCACACTATTGTCTCATTATTCCTTTGCGGGCGCCGGAAATAAATACATCTTTGTTAAGTTGTTACTTGCAAACAAATATTTTTTTCCCCCTAAATTATAATTCACAAAATTTCTGCAAAATATTCCACGACCTCAGAAATGTAACGCCGAAACATTTATTTAGTTTAATGTGTGGCAGTGTACTACGAATCCGGCCACCCGAGTTCGATTCCCGCTCACGGCAACACCGGTGACGACTATCTGAATCGGTCCTGGGCCTCCTTTAGGTCGACTCGGCCTCAAGTGAGTACTTGTCGCCGTGTGTAAACATCGCAACAAGGGAGACAAAGGCGGCCGGGCGTGATGTTGTCCCCCCCCCCGCCCCTCGTGTATCGTTCATAGGTGGTGCTCGCTAGCAGCACTTGCCCCAACAGTCAGTGAAGGCTATACGGGTGATCCTTTGTCCTCGTATGTATGTAGAACTTCTTTGGCACCGTACATAGCCAACCGTGCAATGGGGATGGGGTGGGGTGGGGTGGTGAAGGACAACAAACACAAGAAGCAGCTTCTAAAGAACCGAGTTATCATCACTCGTGGCGAAGTTGTGCAACGTCGCCCCACCACCACCCCCACACCCCCCCAGGTGTCTTCATAGACCGTCGTGTTTCTTGTCGCACGCGCGCGCGCTCCAGGCACGTTCCGGCAGGTCCCCCAGGACGTGACGGCGCGCGAAGGCGAGGACGTGGAGATGTCGTGCGCCTTCCACGGCGGCGGAGCGCCCGCCTACTCGCTCGAGATCCAGTGGTGGTTCGTGAAGGGCGAGACGCGGGAGGCGGCCAGGGGGGTGGCTCTGGACGACGGCGGACTCCGCAGACAGGTCCGTCAACCGGTACCCCTCTCTGTCCAATAGACGAAGATCCACCCCCCCCCGCCGCCCGTGTAGCCTTCATGTCGTAGTGACCCAGGTGCCAGGGGCTCGCTGTTCGCGAGGAGCACCTTATGGAGGCCGGCACGGCACGCGAAAGGGCCGCCTTTGTCTCTCCCTAGCGGCGATGTTTAACACACACCGCACCAGGTACTCATTTGAGGCTGAGTCGACCTAGGGGTAGTCCCAGGACCGGTTCAAGTGATCGTACGCCGGTGTTGGCCGTGAGCGGGAATCGAACCCGTGTCGCCGGGTTCATAGCGCAGCGCGCGAACCGTTGTGCTGCAGCTCCCCACGGACGCACACAGACACAGACACACACACACACAGACACATACAGACACACACACAGACACACATACAGACACACACGCAGACACACACGCAGACACACACACAGACACACAACAACAACAACAACCGCCATTCGCCACTAAGTGGCGGTGACGTCACCACGACGCTTGTGCCAGGCTATGTGCACCCTGAGGCCACGTGAAGTGTCGAACGCCCGCTGGCAGGAGGTCACGGGGCTGACCCAGGTGCCACGGGTCGACTGACTGAGGTGACTGGCTGATGCACCACCTTTGCCCCCTACTGTGCCAACCTGCTGTGCTTTAGCCACCCGGCGCTCCGCTCGTTGTTCTGAGCGTCGCTCCTCCGCCCTCCGTTGTTGTTGGAGGGCGACTACCTCCAACTGCCCAGTAGCGTCCTTCACGAGCCTCCTCCACAGAGGCCGATCTTGACACCGCTGGTACCAGTCATCGGCAAGTCCACTCAGCTCCACGTCCTCCTGTACCACATCACTCCATCTCTTCTCTAGCCCGTGCCGCGCCCGCTTAGCCCCCTCAATCCGGCCGAACAAAAGCTGTTTCGGCATGCGGTGGCTGGGCATGCGGGCTACATGACCCAGCCATCGCAGCCTTCCCCGCCGGAGGAGCTCACCGATGGGACCTTGCCCAGATCTTTCAAGGATTTGTGAGCTCCTCACACAATCCAGTCTGGTTAAACCCAGGATGGATCGTTGGCAGGCCAGCCTAAATGTTTCTAACCGACGAAGATGTTCCATTAGGGGGGTCCACGTTTCGCAAGCGTAGAGAAGGGAGGGAATGACCGTGGCCGAGAAGACCTGAAGCTTAGTGCGGAGTGACAGACCAGGTAGCTTCCACACAGAGTTACGCAACCGATGAAAAGATATTGCCGCTCGACTGATTCGGAGTGAGACCTCTGCAGTTAAACTGGAGCCAGTCATAAGCACACTGCCCAGGTATGGGAAACTCTCCACTCTCTCCACAACTGCCCCATTACCGATTGGGAGTTGTGGGGGTGGAGTGTCCGATGGTACAAAATACCCAGGCAGGTGCTTAGTTTTGGTGGGGCTGATGGTAAGGCCCCACCTCTTAGTGGCATGCTCCAGTCTCAGCAGCAGCGTCTCCAACTCCTCCTCTGAATAAGCAGCTATTACCAAATCATCAGCATACATAACGTGGTTGAGCAATAGGGAGCCATCCCTTGACCGCACCCGGGCATCGATCAGCCTCCCATTATATCTGTACCATATGGAGATTCCCCCGGTACAGCTATTGAAGGCTTCACAAACTACGTGGTCAAAATAGATGTTAAATAATGTGGGAGCCAGAGGACATCCCTGTCGCACCCCAAGGTGTACAGGGAGTGGCTCTGACTCCCGGCCACGTAGTTTTACCGGGCCCGCTCACCATCATGAAGGTCCTTAATGATCATGAGCAGAGTTTCAGGTACTCCAAAAGCACGAAGAACAACCCAGAGCCCAGGCCTACTGATGGTATCATAGGCCTTGACCAGGTCAATAAAGCAGAGATGTAGGTCTTGTTGGAATTCCCTACATCTCTGCTGTAGCAGACGGACACAAAATATGGCATCTATGCAGGACCGCCCTTTCCTGAAACCGCATTGGGGCTCCGCAAGCCTCTCCTCAGCGTGCCTGGCAAGGCGATGCTGAATAATCCTTGCCAGGACCTTTCCCGGCACACTGAGGAGTGAGATGCCCCTGTAGTTGTTACAGTCTGTGCGGTCCCCCTTTTTAAAAAGGGGGACCACCTGGGCATCCTTCCAATCCTGCGGAACCCGTCCAGTGGTCCAGACCGTTGTTATGATGTCATATAGGGCAGTCTGTGCACAAACGCCACCCTCCCTCAGCATTTCGCTTGGGAGATCATCTCTGCCCACTGCCTTTCCTGGTCTCAGACTCCGGATTGCCTTCAGTACTTCCTCAACAGATGGCACCTCAGCCAGCCACTCACAGGGGGTGACTTATTTCAATATTTGAGGCACCGCAGCCTCAGCAGGGTCATCCTCACTTTGTGCCACGATGTTTTCCTGGCTGAGGGATTTTCACTCCCCCAGGACCTCACAGAAATGCTCAGCAAATCTGCAAACCTGTTCCTGGGGGTCAGAGATTGGATCACCGTTTTTTCCCCTAATGATGGTAATAGGTGTGGCGCTGCAGGTTACTTTTTTGATGAAGTTAAATAGAGATTTGTGATCACGGGCCACTGAGGCAGACTCCATCTCCTCAGCAACCTGCGACCACCACCCATCCTTGCAGCGCCTCACGGCTCTCCGAACCTCCGAGCGAAGGCTGCGGTAAGCCTCCTCATTCTCTGACGTGAGATTCTGTAGCCGATGACAGTGGGCCTGTCGCTTTTTCTCAACCATCCTGAACACCTCCTCTGTCAGCCAGGGTCTCTGGGGAGGTCTGGACCGCGTACCCAAAGCAGCCATTGCAGCTGCATGAGTCACAGTCCTAAACCTCGCCCATTTACCCTCGACATCAGGAGGAGTCGGGGACGATGCCAATCCCAGCCGCAAGCGATGATGAAATTCTCGCTTGCAACTTTCATCAGATAACTGAGACCAGGCCACTTTAGGTTGGAATGGGGTCCTGGGTGTACACCCACCACCGGAGTGGAAGAATGGCAAGCGCATCTTACAGATGATTAGTCGATGGTCAGAGGGCAGATCAGCTCCACGGTAGGTCCTGGTGTCAAGGACATGGGCTCGCATCCGCTGGTCCGTCACTATGTAGTCCAGCAGATGTTCTTGCTTGGTCCCGGCATGCATCCATGATGTTGTGTGGATGCGCCGATGCCGGAACAGCATGTTGGTAATTACAAGCCCATGGGCTGCACAAAAATCTAACAGCCTCCTACGGTTGTTATTGAGCTGATGTGACCCATGCCCTCCAATCACTCCAGACCAGGTGCCAGTATCATGACCAACTCGGGCATTGAAGTCACCCAACATGATGACTCTATGCCGAGGGGCCACTTTAGCCAGCACCTGTGACAGGAGGTCATAAAAGGCATCTGACTCATCGGCTTTGCCTGCATCCCTCCACGGATGTTCATCTTCAGTGGGGGCATAAGTAACCACGACCACCATTCCTCGCCTCCGGTTGATGGGAAGGCGAGCCTAAAGTAGGCTGGGGCTTACAGCTTCCCACACCTCACCGCCACGCTCCCACGCCCCCTTCATTCTTTTGTTCAAAAGAAGAGCCACACCCTGTTGTTTGGCAGTCTGCTGCCCCGAGTAGAGCACTGTCCACCCCTCATGGTGGCAGGAGCCAGAGCCGGTCCACCGGACTTCCTGAATGCCACATAGATCCAGGCAGTACCGGTCCAGCTCCCGACAGAGGAGTGGCAGCCGCTCCTCCGCAGTGAGCGTTCGAACATTCCACGTGGCCACCCGTAGTGGCTTTTCGTTGTTTCTGGAGGAGCCCCGAGGGTAGATATTCAATCTCCTGGCTCCGCCAATTGGGGTTTGGCCAGGAGACGTCATAGACACCTGGCCCCCCGGGGCCTCCGGCACAAGCTTATTAGTTACATATTTCAGTTTAACTCGTGGTTTCGTGGTAATTAATTGAAGGTGGAGGGGTTACCAGCCCCTCGCACCCGTCCAGAGCCCCCGTTTAGCCCCTGTGGTGGACACATATGCCATGAGGGGAGGAGCCAATCAAAAATTGGACCTCCCCCCACAGCACTGTCCACGACAGAGTTGCCAGACACACACAGACACACGCACACAGACACACACGCAGACACACACAGACACAAACACACAGACACACACATACAGACACACACGCAGACACACACACACAGACACACATGCAGACACACACACGCAGACACATACACAGAAACACACACAGACACGCAAGCGCGCGCGCACCCGTTTTTCGATAAACCAAGCTTATTGTGGAAAAGAAGGTGAAAGCGGGTGTCGTCGTCACGCGTGCTGAAATCAGTTTGGGATGACCCCCCCTTTGCCTCTGTCGCAGATGGTGATGAAGGAGGAAGGCACAAAGATCAGTGTAAGTGGCTTCGCGAGCAAACCCCCCCTACCCACACCGGCTGGCGTTCCTTTAGCGTTCACGCGCGAGTCGGTGACGCCGTTGCCTCGGCGGCTCTGAGATTTTGCGCACTCGCCTCTGTGCGCGGATGGTCCAGTGCCGGACTAAGCTAGTGCGGGGTCTGTAGCTAATGTTATACAGGTCCCTGCAGGGTGGGCTGCTGATTTTACACCCAACAGCACGAGATTTCACTTCGTTAAAGTATTGAAAGGGGACGGACGGACGGACACATTAATCTATTGCAGGCTGGTACACTCAGTTTACAACTTCGTTCCTACCAGTAAAAGGGGCCCTAAATAAAAAAAATACTAAAACACAAATTGTTTTACTCGCATAGTAAGGTAAGTGTATGCTTTCATTTGCAACACAGCCAGATAATACGACAAATCGCTAACCTTAAACACCCAGTCGTGCATAAAAGTCGAAGGCGGTATAGTACTATAGTAGTAGAGCAAATGCAGAATCATTGCACCGGAATTGATAGCTTGAAAGCATTTAGCGCGAGGCCCTTGAAAGTGCGGGGCCCGTAGCTACTACTTATATAGTAGCTATATAAGTAGTAGCTACTACTTATATAGTAGTAGCTACTACACATGTAGTAGCTACAAATGTAGCTACTACACATGTAGCTACTATATATGTAGCTGCTACATATGTAGTAGCTACATATGTAGTAGCTACTACATATGTAGTAGTATGTAGCTACTACACATGTAGCTGCTACACATGTAGTAGCTACTACACATGTAGCTACTACTGCCGATGTAGCTACTACACATGTAGCTACTACACATGTAGCTACTACACACGTAGCTACTCCACACGTAGCTACTGCACATGTAGCTACTACATATGTAGCTAATACACGTGTCGTAGCTACATGTGTAGCTTCTACACATATGTAGCTACTACACGTGCAGCTACTGCACATGTAGCTACTACTACACATGTAGCTACTACTTATGTAGCTACTACACGTGTAGCTGCTACACATGCAGCTACTACACATGTAGCTACTACACATGCAGCTACTACACATGTAGCTACTTTTGGTTCTAGGATAATGGGCCACTGCGATGGTTATCGTCCACAATGCAATGGGGGGTGGGGGGTGAAAACGTCACCTCGAGATGGCTTCGAGACGTCAGAGCACTGAGCTGGCAATAGCTGAGGCCCTGGGCTCGAATGCAGGCAACCGTTTTGGGTTAGAGCCATTGTCAAGGTTAAAGGTTATGATTGGCGTGAAGGCTAAGGTCTCGTGTTAGGACTAGAATAGTAGTGTTAAGTAATTGTTACTGAAATTAGTATTAAAGGAGTGCTCAACTCCCCATTTGCAGCCTCTGAACCCGTTATGGAAATGGCATATTCATTTGTATTGTAGGTGTGCTCAACTTCTTTCAGACCGTACATAGCGAACCGAGCTAATCAGAGGTGCGGGCGGAAGGACAATTAATTAAAGCTGTTGTTCGAGCCGGTATTGAGACTAGGTATAGCGCAACAACTTAGGGCGAAGGATAATCATCGCTGGGCAGGTATGACATGGACCTCCGTGGCACCGGCAACCCACTCGGGTCATCTACCTCTGAACCCCGTGACCCCCGTGACCCCCGTGACCTCCGTGACCCCCACGCCGCAGGTGGTGAGGGTCCTCGGCAGCGACATCTCGAACCGCCTACGCCTGACGTCGGTGCGCCGCGGCGACGAGGGAGCGTACGAGTGCCGCGTCACGGACTACCGCCCGCGGCCGCCGCAGGAGCACACGGCCCGCGCCTGGCTGCGCGTCACGCCGCGGCCCGAGGACATGCAGGCCGCTCAGGCCCAACCCATCGTCCGCAACGACACCTCCTCCTCCTCCTCATCCTCCTCGTCCTCCTCCTCGTCCACATCCTCGTCCGCACGCAAAGCCGCAAAGGAGGAGGCCGAGAAGAAAGCAGAGGAGGAAGAGGAGCAGAAGAAGAAGCAGCGGGCTGCCGGTGCTGGTAGGTGGGGCGGCACGGGCATCGCGACTTCGCTTCACGATCGCGGCGTCCCATCGCGGCGAGGCGGAGTGTCGCGAACGGAGTGTCACGATCATAGTGTCGCGATCGTAGTGTCGCGATCGGAGGTCGCGATCGGATTGTCGTGATCAGAGGTGGCGATCAGAGTGTCGCGATCGGAGTGTCGCGATCGGAGTGTCGCGATCGGAGTGTCGCGATCGTAGTGTCGCGATCGTAGTGTCGCGATCATAGTGTCGCGATCAGAGTGTCGCGATCGTAGTGTGGCGATCGTAGTGTCGCGATCGGAGTGTCACGATCGGAGTGTCGCGATCGTAGTGTCGCGATCAGAGGTCGCGATCGGAGTGTCACGATCAGAGGTCACGATCGGCGGTCGTGATTGGAGAGTCGCGATTGTAGTGTCGCGATCAGAGGTCGCGATCGGAGTGTCGCGATCAGAGTCTCGCAATCGGAGTGTCGCGATCGTAGTGTCGCGATCGGAGTGTCGCGATCGTAGTGTCGCGATCAGAGGTCGCGATCGGCGGTCGTGATTGGAGAGTCGCGATTGTAGTGTCGCCATCAGAGGTGGTGATCGGAGTGTCGCGATCGGAGGTCGCGATCGGAGTGTCGCGATTGGAGTGTCGCGATCGGAGGTCGCGATCGACTTTTAAGAATTGTGCTTTCGTGGGACGCCAATGAAATCGAGCCGAACGGGCTCATTGGCTCCTTCCTGCTGAAACAAATAAAGAAAATCGATCGATTTTTTTTCCCATCTCATTTTAACACGTCGTTTGTTCCTGTTTAATTTTCGCCGTTTTCTTTTCGCGTGGATCCTGAACGATCAATTTTCGCGCGCACGATTCCACGCACGCGTCGCGAGTGCAAGAATCGATTTGAGTTGATGCTGCTCTACGTGCCAAAGTAGCTATCTTGTGTTTCACCATCGTCAACTTCATCATCATCATCGTCATCGTCGTCGTCACTATTATTTATAGCGCGCCTCCCATGCAGCGCATCTCCAGGTACCAAAACAAAAGTCCATTTGAGATCATTACTGGGCACGGAAGCGAACGTTTTCAAGCAATGCAGAGCAGACCACATGCACGACATGTGTATGACCTGATTAGTTTGTTGGCACAAAGGCGGTGTTCTGGAATATTTGGCGGAAAAGCGGAAATTCTGCTGTGATTTTTTTTTGCTTTCATCAGTTTTTGTTCACCCAGAATTGATAGAATTTAAAAGAGTGGAACCATTCACCCGCCCCCTCATCCCTCCCTGCAAATTCAATTAAATGTCCATCATGAGGTTGACAACTTGATTCAGGAATAGGTTTTTTTGGGGGAAATTGTGGTGAATGGTCGCACGTCCAGTAACTGCAGTGGTGACGTTAATCCATTACATGCAAAGTTTACATTTTTACACGCGTAATTCAATGCATGTATCATGAGCTTAAAAATCAATATTAATTTGTGAATCAACGATTGATTCTCCCCTAGCTTCCACCATCGTATCACTTGAATCGGGGTCCTGGGTTTAAAAACCAAAAATGACAATCCGAGTTGTGGCCTTCCGGCTTAGGCCACGTGTTGGGCATTTCTTTCGCCATGCATTACGGCAGGCGTCCGCGGTAGTGCACGGCTTGCGCTGAGCGCTGTTCGGCGCGTCCTGGGAGCCTCTTCGCGAATTCACTTCCTCGAGCAGCATCCCCGCCCCGTAGAGCGAAACGTCGGACACCGTGCCGAACTAAAAGCACTACGGCCTGAAAGCGCATTGGAGAGCTGGGCAACAGCACCACCGCGCAAGCCGATGCAGCAGCAGTGTGGATTATTAAGGGTGCCCACAACACCCATATTTGGACTACGAGTGGCTGCCAAAACAATATATACATGGTAAAGTTTTGAAAAACACCAACTTGCAATTCACTGGATCACAGTAATATTTACACCCAAGCCCTACCTCGGTGGAGGAGTTTCTGTGTCTCAGCAGACTTTTGCCTGGCCCATAAACAAACATCATCATTCATTCTCACTTTCGCAGGATCTCCCTTTGCATTACTCCGACTGAATAAATCACTCCGTGGTGCGAGTGGGTGAGCCCGTGTTTATCAATTCACCGAGACAAATGGTGTTCGTGCGCGCGGGGCAGAGCGATGTGTTATTCGGCAAAAATGTATCGCGTGGATCCCCACCCCCTCCTTTCGCGGTATGTTAAGTCAGCAAAAACATTACGGACAAAAAAGTGGACATGAGCCCTCTCCGATCAATATTCACTGCATCTGCATTGTGGTCGTTGTCAGCTATTAATGGGGGAGTTGTGTTTGTCTTTGCAACACTGGCCTCGAGATTGATTTCCCGTTCACGGCTCGCTGTTCTAGCAGTTGCCCCCCCCCCCCCCTTCATTTTTTTTGTTGACAGTGTCTGAAATGGAAGGTGAGGATGGGATTTATGGAGCTCGTTTCAGAGGCCGCTCATCCGCAAGTTGGCGCTAGAGCCATCGGGGGACCGTCGCACGCAATGTGCACTTGGAGCGGCGGCGCGTTTGCCGCTGCTCGCGGAGGCTTGCGGTTCAAACCCAGCGGCCACCCCCGGTTAATACCGCGGGCGTGTGAACCGTTAAATACGAACGCACCGTCTGCTTCAGCGCGAACATCACGGATCCCGTGGCGTCATTTGAAAACGAGCAGGCCGCGTGTTTTTTTTTGCCGGTGTAACGCTACCAAATTTTATCCAAATTAGCAAATTACTAATTTATTACACGCTTGGGTAAAGCCACGTAGCGATATCGCCCCCTGCTGAAAAAAAAACCCACTGAAGACAATCAACCGACAGCGACTGTCGCGTCTCAGAAGGCAGAGTTACGCACGACTAACGGGATGCGAACGGGAGGGAAATGGAATGGAGGGGAAGGGAACGATGGTGGCGACGTCACCTTCACGGTACCCTCACGTGATGAGCAGGGCACTGAACCGTTTGGCTTTGCCGGCGCGGTTAGGCCGTGTGCACTGAAGCCCGTTTGAACCGGTTATATATTATAACAATACATATTGCGTAGCATTCATTAACTGTAATTTAGTACCATTTTAATGTTCGTGTAGAAACCTGCAATTAACTCCAAAGCTAACCTCTTTAACATCTCAATGTAGTGTTCAATGCAGTATTTAACAGTTGCACATATTCTACACTTATCTTTCCGTGTGAGTGTGTCTATGTGAGTGTGTTTGTTTAACCGATTCACAGCTGGTTATGTCCCCTAACAGGTGCCAGGTTAGTCATCTTTCGACACTTCACGTGGCCTCAAAGTGCACCTAGCCTAGCACGAACGCTGTGGCGATGTCACCTCCACTTAGTGGAGAATGGCGGCTGTTGTTGTTTATGTCGCTGGGTCTGAGTGTGACCCTCTCATCTTCAGTCCCTGTATTGACTGCGTGCCCATTCATGCATTATGAGTAGACAATTCACCACATGACTGAGAAAGCATAGTCACTGTGCCCTGGACAATCTGTGAAAAAGAGCTTTATAGCTCATCGGATTCCTCCAGTGTCAATAAATATTCTGATTCTCATAATTGGCTTCGAGATTGCAGCATCTTTAAAATACAAAAAATTCGGGTTCTGTTTTTGCTTCGAAAAAAAAATTGCAGTTAAATCCGGTTCTTCGCACCGGTTTTCATTCCGCTTCCATTCCCCGGACTTACACGCATGGGGCGAATGTGCTCATAATTTGTCGTGGCAGCTCCCGCTGCTGTGCTCTGTTCATGGATTCGCTTCACTGAGCTGCCTGCGCTTCTGTCTCCCTTGCGTCCTCGTGTCCGTAGGCACAAAGACGACGGCCGGCCACCTCCTGCCGTGGATCCTCCTGGCTGCTCAGCTTCTGTGCGCCGTTAACCCCGCGCGCTAGGCCAATGCGACAGCGCGGCGCGCGCAGCGACGCACGTGCCCACGTGGGCGGGGCGCGTGGGTAACTTAAACCAGATATGTAATGTGTATATACACAGTGGCGTGTACATATAGTCGAACAAATGATGCATTTATTTACGAAGGAGCGACTTTGTGCGGGTTGGCAGACGTTCAACATACTTACCACGCGTGCTTGTTGATCTTTTTATATATATAATGTATACACGATCTGGAAAACACCAGAGGTAATGAGAAGGGGACGTGTTAGCGCGTAATAGTGAATGTTAGGAAACGTCGTAGTGTAAAAAAGTGCAAGCGTAGGGATTTCCTGGTTAGGCAGCACCTGAGAGGCAACACACAGCCACCGCCTGTGCTCCCTGGGCCTGGGTCAGCGTGGCCCTTGAGACACCCACACACCACGGCTGTCACAAGTGGTCACCTGTCTTGGCTTCATTACCTCAATAAGGGATATTGTTTTTTTTTGCATTCCCCTGCTGCTCCAGAACCTACCGCTTAATGGATTCGAGCCAATTTGGCTTGCAGAGGAGAGGGTCATTGGGAGACACATTGTCACCTGCCCTGCAGAGAAACAATATTTTCCTCCATCAATTCTGCCACTGAGGTTGCGGGAAGGAAAAGATAATTGGAGGGCATTTTTTCATGGCGCTTTGTTACGCCAGGATCAAAGAGCTTGCACCAACACTGCTAGGCCCCGGAGTTAACTGCCGGGTGCGTGGAGAGGCAGGCAGTGGGAATGGTACCCACGTGGGAAAGCCGGTGATGGATCACTTGAGCTTTTTTACAGATCCGAACTCAGTCTGTGCGGACACCCCTGGTCCACGGTAGCGCGGGCACGGCCACAACGGTGTGTCCTAAGGGCCGCGGTGGTGTCAGCTCAGCAGTGTCGGAATTTTTTGTTGCATAAAACGAGAGAGCGATGGACAGGAGGTGACAACAACCACGATGCGAACCACTAGTGGACAGCCTCAGGTTGTTATTAAATGGTGCCGTTCTAATTGAATTTCATGATTCATTCAGAAAAAAATAGGAGCATCTGAAAATGAATGGATGCTGCCGCGGTGTAATGATTATCACGCTGGCCTTGCGGATCCACGGGTCACCGGTTCGATCTCCGAGCACGGCAGTTGAAACAATGATGCAGTTTTCTTTAATACCGCCTGCCTCTATCCACCCAGCAGTATAATTAGAGAAACCGCTTAGTCAGTGGGCAGGGTGTGCGTGGTAACGGGGCTACTCCTACCTCTTCCAAGATGAATGGCCATGGAAGAATGGGACAAATACACTCCCTAGAGAGGCTCCATGTACGTACATATGTTGAACTTCTTTCCCACCGTACGTAGCCAATCGTGCTAATCGGAGGTGCAGGAGGAAGGACAACAATCTAAACACAAAAGGAAGTTCTAAAAAATGAGTTTTCAATCTTGATTTAAAAGTGCACAGCTCCAGTGGCTTCCTAATATGGGAATGAAGAGCGTTCCAGACGGCCGCAGAAACGCATCTGAAAGCATGCGCGATGCAGTGACCGTCTTTGTTCGATGGCCAGCCCTCAATAGCAACTCCCTCATGTTGGAGGCCCTATATGCCAGCTGTAACGTTAGCAGACAATTGCAGGGCTGCACCCTATGCCACTCTTACTCCTGAAGATCGATGTGAATGTTATTAAGGAATGCATTTATGGCATTTATTTCGGTCGGATTCCATTTTTTGTTTATGTCCATTCTTGAGTCGGTTCTTGGGATTAACGGTGGCACTGCGAGCTGACAAGGATGGAGAGAGAGAGAGATGCGGTTGTCGGACCACGCTCGTCGCTGCGAAGAGCCCAACGGCGTCGTGTGTGATCTTGAATGTGTTTTTTTTGATGTGCACAACAATGCTTGCTCTCATACTGTACACTACACAACTGTAGATAAGAATCACTTACAATTCAATAACGTATAATAGTTATTAAACGACTACTAACATGTTGGCAGCGTATGCAGTGTACACGGTGAAACGTTTTACCTGGATGAACAGTAAATTCCCACCAATTTAATTTGGGTCACGGCGATTGGATCCGTTGCAATGTAAAAGCGCCACTACTGCGTTTGCCATATAATTCATGATTTGCTTTTGGGATATTTTTGTGTTCTGTGTTTTGAAATCAGGTTTTACTTTTTTACTGTTACATCTTATTTACTGGGTTTCCAAATCTCAATTTACTTGTATGTGCCATTTATAAATGTGCCATTAATTTATAGAATGTATATATAAAAAAAGTAAATGGTATTCCAAAAAAATTAAAACCTACTCCATATCATTTTTTGCACATGCTGTATGTTGGACAGCATACATTTACATTTTTATACGAATCACACGCGACGGATTGTATGTCTCGGTGGCAGCCGGACCTCGCCCAGAACTCGGGCTGGGTTTTTCCCTCCACATTTAGAATCAACATGCGTTTAGATTATTTTGAGCATTTGTCTGCTATAAATGCCCACACGATAAGCCACTTCGTTGAGTTATTATTTGTAGCCAGGCCGCCTCTGAAAAAGAAGCGAATAGCTCAGTGGGCTTGACTTTCAATTTTGATTTAAAGCTTTCGTGACTGCAGGGATTCATATTATTGGTTCTTTCGGTGAAGTCACGTAGAAGGGAAACAATAAAATAATACAAATATAAAACAATAAAATTCTCACGACGCTTCGACTGCAACACAAGCAATCACCATCAGGTGTGAAAACCACAGCAAGAAAATTTGAAAAAATATATATTGCTGTGGTTTTCACACCTGATGATGATTGCTTGTGTTGCAATCGAAACGTCGTGATAATTTTATTGTTTTATAAAAATTTTTTAGGGCTTTACCTTGTTAAAATAAAAATTGTTAATTAATGATTTACTTACCTTTCCTATACTTTGCAGTCCTATCGTATTTTTATATTGGTTGTTGTAACTTTCTGACCCCGTGCCCCTAATGGACATTTGTGAAAAAAGAGCTTTTGAGCTCATCGCATTCCTCCAATAGAAATAAATATTCTGATTCTGTAAAACAATTAATTGATCACAGCACACGTCAGTATCGTCCGTTTCAGAAAAACAATTTTTTTTATTGGTAAACCGTAATTTATTCGACTTGTATGAATGCATTTTTATTCAAATAATGATAAAAAAAATATTATTACAATGACTTGTTTTGAAAGAGCACCCTACATGTCCCGGGGCGTTTCAGAGTTGCTTTACAAACGACAAGCAACTTACATCCCATCTCATCTCAGCGCATTTTAAAGGGCACTTCCAGTGGCAGCTTGCCCCTCCTGGACATGATGTGACTTTGCAACTGTTTCTGCGAGTGAGGGCATTAGTTCGCCAATAGGCGGGCTATGATTGCTACGTGTTGTAGCAATTTAGTTTATTGTCTCCCGATGTGATTTTTGGATTGTACCGCGTGTTTTTTTTTTCCTGCACGAATTCCCGACGTTTCGCTCCACGCACAGGACGCTTCTTCAGGAACTGATTTGGCGTTGCACCGAAGCAACGTGTGCACCGAACGTAATCTAGTTCCTGAAGAAGATTCTTGGGACGTATAAACGGTGGCAAGATGTTAACTACCTCGTCTAGTATACAGTAGGCATGGGTTCGATCCCGATCTTGACGCCTGTTTAACTTGTAGTTTGCATGTTCTCCCCGTAGTCGCGTGGATTTTCTCTAGGTCTTCCGGTTTTTCTCTCCACATTTAGAATCAGCATCATGCTTTTAATAGTATTTGGCTGCTATAAATTTCCAGGTGATGAGCCACTTTGTTGAGCTGTCATTTGTGGCCAAGGTCGCTTCTGAAAATGAGCTATGTAACTCAGTGGGCCTTACCTGGTGAAATAAAAAAAATAGTTTTTTTTGTACATCGTGCCTAAGAACACGCCGTACAACCCAAAACACATCGCAGAGCTCGACAGCACAACCATAAAAACAAAAGGAGCGAGTTATTCCTCTTCATATTGGAAACCCAGTGAATGACAATACACAGCTACTGTTGACAGTGGCACATTTCACATTGTTGCTAGGTTTGGCTTATTTTATAACATCCTTGACTTGCATCGCAGCATCCAAAGGCTTCTTCGAGTGTGGTTGTTTTATTTCCGTCTTAACCGTGTGAGATTACAAACAGTATTTAAAATGCACAAACTTGCGCATTTTGTACAGGTCGTTTGTTGTGCGCGCTTGCAATAAAATTTCCATAAAACATCAACCCCCCCTCCTCGGCTCTGTTTGTCCAATGTGATGAATTACAATCAAGATTCTCCAGTTGCTACTGAGACTATTTGTAATTAACATTGTGAACATCCCCGTCACCGATGAAGATTGAAATAGCCTTTAATGCGCAATACTCATGTAGCTACAAAAGAATGGGTTGTTGGCACACTTTAATGCAGCTTAGTAAGTCACAGATACTGCCAATTTCCAAAAGCTTATTGCCAAAATCTGTGAATTATGAGTAGGGCTTAATTGCCTCAGAATATTTTCCGGGTTGTTTGTATACTGGAGTTTGAAATATGGACTAGTAGCTAAAGCCAAAGTCAGAAGTATACTGAATGTCATGTCCCAGGTTTAGGAATATTGCATGGGTCACCCGACCGAGGCAGACATGACTAAAAAAAATGTATGAGAAATGTTCAATCCCCTGCTGGATGAAGACCTCCCCAAGCCACCGTTTCCCACCAGTTCTACTTGATGGAGCACATGGTGGTGGGAAGTCAGTGGATTTTCTGGATGTAGGAATATGTAATGTATACCATTAGGGTAAAATCCCCAGTGATGAATGAGCCCAAAACAATGCTTATTGAAACGTGTGGACAATCTGACTTGCACTCAACCGCACAGCCCCGTTTTTGTTTTGCTCATTTATATTGGGGGTGTAGTGGTGGTATAGTGGTGAGTGCACTGCACTGCAAACCTCGTGTCCTGAAATTTGATGGCTAACATCAGTGGCGTAGTCACATCTCAACCGGTCTGGGGTTCCACCCCCCCCCCCCCCCTCCTTCACCAGCGTGGTGAAGTATGGTCAAACAAACCCCATGACTAACACGGTTAAGGAGGACTTTTTTATCACAGTGCATTCATAAAGCACTGTAAAAAAACATAAAATACAAGCATGTATTTTGCTGCACTAGCCTTTGCCAATCTGTCATGCATGGTGGTCACCCATCCAAGCGCTTATCCAGGCTCAAATCCCTGCTTCGCTTCCGGACGGTGCCTAGGTGCACGGTTCGAATTCCAGCAGCCCGCACTGATTAATGCTACGGTATAATAACCACCATGCCACGTGCCGTGTGCTTCACTCACAGCATACGTTAAATATCTCGCCTCATGGCCCAAATTAAAAAAAATGCATTTAACTTGGCAGAATCCTCCTTAAAAAGGGAGTAATGAGACTCAGTGAGGCTTTCCTGGGCACAAGCTGCATTCTAAAATGACACTGATGTCATTCCTTTCGTGAGGCCTGGGCGTGGCTGCAATCACTAAACCACGCCCCATACACCGCCTCCTCGGCGGTGGCATCTACATCTACAGAAGGTGAGGAACCAGTGGCATCTACATCTACAGAACGTGAAGAACCAGTGGCATCTACAGAACATGAAGAACCAGTGGCATCTACGTCTGCAGAACGTGAAGAACCAGTGGCATCTACATCTACAGAAGGTGAAGAACCAGTGGCATCTACATCTGCAGAACATGAAGAACCAGTGGCATCTACATCTACAGAAGGTGAAGAACCAGTTGCATCTACATCTACAGAAGGTGAAGAACCAGTGGCATCTACATCTGCAGAACATGAAGAACCAGTGGCATCTAGATCTACAGAACATGAAGAACCAGTGGCATCTACGTCTGCAGAACGTGAAGAACCAGTGGCATCTACGTTTACAGAAGGTGAAGAACCAGTGGCATCTACATCTACAGAAGGTGAGGAACCAGTGGCATCTACATCTGCAGAACATGAAGAACCAGTGGCATCTACATCTACAGAAGGTGAAGAACCAGTGGAATCTACATCTGCAGAACATGAAGAACCAGTGGCATCTACATCTGCAGAACATGAAGAACCGGTGGACTCCACATCTACAGGAGATTATACAACTTTAAAAGCCATTCGCTGTGTTTAGCACACATGCTGTACATGTTTGGAATTTATCGGAGTAAAGTTTGACTTACGAACCAATCGACTTACAAACAGACCTCTGTTCGTAAGTCGTAAGTAGGGAAATCCCTGTACTGTATTTTTATAGTAGAACTCCTCTGAACGACCACCCCTGTGAACGACTAATCGCTTAACGACGGGCCTCCATAGAGCCCAATGTGTAGTGTATGATGTAGTGTAGTGTATAGTGTAGTGTATAGTAGTGTAGTGTATAGTAGTGTAGTGTATAGTAGTGTAGTGTATGATATAGTGTATAGTAGTGTAGTGTATAGTAGTGTAGTGTATAGTAGTGTAGTGTATGATGTAGTGTATAGTAGTGTAGTGTATAGTAGTGTAGTGTATAGTAGTGTAGTGTATAGTGTAGTGTATGATGTAGTGTATAGTAGCGTATAGTAGCGTATGGATACATATTTCCTATACTCGCTTAACGACCGGTTTTGTGGAACCCATTACCATCTCTAAGAGGAGTGCTCCTGGTACTGGAGGAATCCGATGATCTATAAAGCTCTTTTATCGCGCTAAGACCCTGCTCGGCAGTTGGCTGTGAGTAGGCGAGGCTCGTACAATCAAGCCGAGCCCTCGTTGTACATTACAGACGGTCCCCGCTTTTACGACACATCACGTTCCTGGGAACCCCGGTCGTAAATCGGACCCTGCTTACCCATAGACAGTAGAAAGATAAAAAAAACATCACTTGCCTATGTGTTTTTTAAAATTATTTTTATCAGCCGCATTTAACAGGGGCTTAAGAGGTAAAACAAAAAAAAACCACCAATACACACCTGAGAATAACATCACCACCACCACCCACACCAAGTCACATCGGAAACCAAACTTAACCCTGTTTAAACGCTTTGCGAAGTTCGCGTCGTCGGATACGCGCGTCGTAAACCGAGTCGATAGCGTAACCCCATTCGTCGTAAACCGGACCACATCTGTGGGCGTGTCACTTAGCCGTGAAGGCCCCGCCCCCCAACCGCTCCTTGCCCCCGCCCTGCCGTTGTTTTGTTTCCGGCTCGCGTGACGTCGCTGCCGGGTGTCCCCCTCGTGAGCCCAGAGTGGTTCCGCCACCGCGCCGAGAAGTCGGTGGCTGTGGTGGTGGCTGTGGTGGTGGTGTGAGGCTCCGGTGAAGCCGAACGCCCGCCACGTCCTCGTCCACCCTCGTCGTTATCGTCGTTATCGTCGTCACCCAACCCGTCCGACCTCGTCTCTTGGTCGCCCGTGAGTGCCTTTGCTGCCGCGCGCCGGATCGCGGTCGTCACGGTGTGACGGGGCCTACCTCGGGCGGGCTTTTGGACACCCGCAAAGCCACGGCGCGACCTGCTGGCCTCGCATGTCTTTGACAACGCACGCGATGATATTTACGTATATATATCAGCGGCAATGATTGGAATCGACGGCAATGTATTGCGTGACGAGGTTTTGCTTGTGTAAGGGCTGCGTTGTAAATGAGGCACGCTTCTCGACATTGTCCTGGAAGCGGCCGCAGCAGCAGCGGCAGGGGCAGCAGCAACGATGGTGATGGTGGTGGTGGTTGTTGTTGTTGTTGCGGGCCCAGGTCGCAACTCGCATCTCCGTATCTCCCTCTCGCGTCCGTGTCTCGCACTGTTTGCACGTCGCTGTGTGTACCTGTGTTAGTGCTTCACTCTTGCCACGTCTCTCTCGCTCCGTGCAGTCTTTTATACGTGTCGCTGCGCGGCCTCTGTGTTCCGCGTGGCTATCCGCGTGGCTATCCGTGTCGTTTTGCGTCCGTCCCTTCACGTTGCCCGTCCCCGTGTTCTCTTCACGTGTCTGCGATGTCCGAGTCTGGCTCTGTTACTGTGTAATTCTGTCTTTCTCGCTAGCACTTTGTCGATTTGTCTTTCTCGCTGACTTTGTCTCCTGTGTCTTTCGATGCCTGCCTGCCTACCTCTGTGTGCGTGTCTTTTTTTTTGTTTGTTCCATGTCTCGGCGTCAATGTCTTTCTCGGTTTCTTTCCTTGTCTGTCTCGTTGCCACTGCATTTCCCGTGTCTCGGTGTTCATTATCGTCTGCGTCTCTGTGACTTCGTGCCCGGAGTCTCTGCCCCGGCGTCTGCCTCTGTCTCGCCAAGTCCTTCTACGTCTTCTTCGTGTTTGTCTCTGTCAGTGAGTGTCTCCACGTGGTATCTCTTGGTCCCTTCTTTTCGCATGGTGTGGGGTGTTGATACAACGCTTTACCTGGAGCGCCACCCCCCACCCACCAATAACTTCTCATTTGAATTGCGGGAGCCGAGGCGTATTTATGTATCTGCGGATGTTGTAACGTTCTTACACGCCCCTTACTGGACATCTGTGAAAAATAGCTTTGTAGCTCGTCGGATACCTCTAGTATAAGTACATATTCTGGATGTCCTCATGTAGAATAGCTGAGATAGCTTGTGAAGTTCTTGACATGAGCTCGTAGGATCAAAGCCAGGGTCTCTGGAAGACTATGGCAGCTGTGTGTTGTGCTATTGATGGTGATTCATTGTGGTTGTTTTGGTGGTTGCCAGTCATATCACTCAACCAATGGGCACCTGGGTCTGCCCCGTGACCTCCCGTCAACGAGCCTTCGACACTTGACGTGGTCTCAAAGTGCACCTAGCCTGGCACAGGCGCCGTGGTGACGTCGCCGCCACTTAGTGGCGAATCGCGAGTGTTGTTATTTTTTATTTTTTGGTGATTTCGAAAACATTTTTTGGTTTGGACATGTTTGTTTTGTTGTAGTACGGAGTTAGACTGATGGCCTTAATCTAAGTTGTCTTGTGGTTGTTGTGTTGTTTGACTTGCATCCCACTGGGATTTTTTGCACGCAGCGTTGGTGTACGGTGCTATTTCAGGAATATTTTTGATGTTTTTTTTCATGGATTTTCTGTTTGCACCAGTCACATAGTCACTTTAAGATGTTTTTCTTGTTTGTGTTTTGTTTGTTGTGGTTGCACCCGATTCAAGAGCCGAATGGCTCACAGGGCTATACCAAAATAAATGAACTGATGAACTGATGTTGTCGTCCAAGTAATGGTGGTGTTGGTGCCGGTGGTGACCGGCAGTGGTTCATGTAGTTGTCGTTGTGTAGTGTGTTACTGAATGTTGTTTTCACATGGGAATTCGATTTGTTTACAATATGGAGCAATGTCTGGCAACTCAGGGAGCCCATTAAGTACTGGGAGGTAAAGTTCTGTACTGTGGGGGAGCGGTAGTGTAGCGGTTAGCGCTACGCTGCGTTACGAACCTGGCGACCCAAGTTCGATTCCCGCTCACGGCCAACACCAGTGACGATTATTTGAACCGGTCATGGGCCTCCCCTAGATCGACTCGGTCTCAACTGAGTACCTGGTGTGGTGTGTAAGCATCGCCACTAGGGAGACAAAGGCGGTCAGACGTGGTGCTGGCCACCCCACCACCTCGTGTACAGTTCCAGCCTTCATCGGTGCTCGCTAACAACACTTGCCCCAAACAATGTTTTAAGGCTATACCTGGAGATATTTGTCTTTGTTTTGCATTTGACTTGCCCTCCCCCCCCCCCCTCTTACCCTCTATTCTGTGCCTCTGATATCAGATTTGATTTGTGTTGAGCGCTCACTCTTACAGTGACAATCATCAATGGCTGTGCACTGCGATTGATAATTATAATCGGAGAGAATGCAGCAGCAGCAGCAGCTACTGCATTGCAAACGAACCGGTAGAGTGTAATGTTGCCAAGCATTTATTGCTCGGTGTACGCGTTTTGCTGATGTTATCCCAGTTGTAAGTTCTTTGTCGCGTGCGTCTGCGTGTATACAGTTCGTACACACAGTGGCATGTGTTGTTGTTACGACTGCTAAAATATGCAGCACTTTGAGGTATTTTTTTGGTTGTGTATGGAAGTGTTAACCTGAAGATGATATACGATCACGAAGACTTGTTTACGTAAAACAGTCGTTGTTGTCACGCCACGGATGTGTAGATTTGACTACAGGATTTTAAATACATTGTTTACTTTTAGATAAATTGATTCCCTCTAGTGTTTGAAAAGATTAAACTGGGTTTAGAATACATTTTAAGGCGCGAGCATGTTTTAAATGGTAGATGCCTTTGAAAATATCAGCCAAGATTTACTTTTTGTTTTGCGCATGCTGCTGATAACGCTGTTCTTATTTACTATAGAGCCAGAAACGATGGGCAGCATAGGACATTGCAGAAAAACCCTTGATTGTACTGTACTTATTTGCTCTTGCATCTATGCTCTCCACTTTCAACAACCTGTATGAAGTATGGTCATAATACCATCACGACCTGCATGGTGAGGGCAAGTATCATCCAGCAGTGGATTGACAAAGGACTGTGCCTATATATTATTACTTGTACAGTATTGACATCTATGTCACTGTTGTCTTTCCAGCAGTATCCTTTTGCCGTTGTTTTTTTTCTGCCCAGATATCGAGGGCCAAAAAGCTGGCACCGCGTAGCGGCTCGTGCCAGGACCAGGGGCCGTGCCGTTCCGTGCGCCCCCGTGCCACGCCGACGCGGGCGCCATGTACTCGGAGTGGCGTTCGCTGCAGCACCTGATTGAGCGTGACCAGGGCCACCTGAGTGTGCTGCACAGCTTTCCCGAGAGCGTAGGCCGCGATGTCGTGGTGGCGGTGGTGCGGCCCCTCAGCCAACCGACCGCCGACTCCATCCTGCACACGGACAAGGAGGCACGCCCCGTTTTCCCTGTGCCACCTCCGCACGGCGCCCATCCCAGTTCTGTCGTCGGCTCATCCTCACCCAAGCGTGTGACCCAGCGAACTGAGTTTGATTCCTGGTCACAAACTGGCATCATTACATGCCTACAACCCTGTCTGTAGACGTGTAATAGTATATAGATACTCAACAATGAAAATGTATTCTCATGCTCAATATATGTTTCAAATTTGGAACGTAAAATTATTATTTATGTTTGTTTGCTACTTTTTATTACTGTAAACCTGAGAAAATAAAACATTACTATTCAAATTAGATTTTTACAGTATCTGAATACAACCACACCTCAAAATTATGTTCAGAAACAGTGGGCATATTTATTTTATAGTGTGATGCAGTCAGTCATATGCAGAGGAAACAAATAAAGCCTTTGACCTGGACTTGAACAGGGCAAGGAGAAAGCTGGGTGGAAAGGAGGTCCGGACTACAGCAGAGGAGATTGAGCAACCTCCCAATGGTTCACGTTTGACTGGGCGCTTCGATAGCTTCAGTTGCCGGAGCGGAGAGCGTGTGGACAGGCGTTTAGTGACACGAGAGACTAGAGGTAGGCAAGGGCGAGTTCATGCGGGATCTTAATTTATGAGCGCAATAAAAAAAAAATAGTCAAATCAATTTGTGACCCACAATGTTTACAATTAATCGAATCGCTGGTGGAAGTGAAGGGTCACATGTCTTACTGGTCGGTAAGGCACGCGTAAAGGGTCGCCACCGTGCGTGCCCGCGACAGGTGAAATGGACGATGGAGGTGCTGTGCTTCGGGTTGTCGCTGGCGCTGGATGGGGACGCGGTGCGCTTGTGCGTCGACGTCTACACCGAGTGGCTGCGGGCGCTGGCCGAGCCGCGGCTGCCCAACCTCCCGACACCCGTGCGCCGTGAACCCAACGCCTACTCGCGCAACATCTTCAAGCACCTCTACAACCTCTTTGTGCCCAGGTGCCCTGGACTGACGAGGATGACTTTTCTTACTGATTTTATTTTTTGACTCAACGCGTGCCCGCTACGTAGTACCAATCATATAGAACAAGAAGCGGGGGATGCATGAATCCCGCAAGCAATAGCCCGAGATCGACGCGGCAGGGCTTGGTGAAGATGGGCTAATTGGGCTCACTGCCCCACCCAGGTGGGGAACCTTAAGCAGACAAGTGAAAGTTCATATTGGGGGGGGGGGAAGGGAGAAGATAACTAACATAAAAGGAAGGAGGGGGACGGGGAGGGTACAAGGGGGGGAAAGGCATGTAATTAAACACCACAAATAAAATGATTTATACGCCACGTGCGAGCTTGTAAACTTACGTCCCTCACAGCAAGACTTCCCTCAGTGAATTTACTGTGATGAAAATACGAGCGTGGCGTTCAGTGGCATACCATGGTGCTGACGATGACGTTTACGCTCCGCAGGAGCGACGGCAGCACGCAGAAGCAGGCGGAGCTCTGCCGTGGGGTGCTGCACGCCGTGCAGAGGCTGGCGCGCGATGCCACGACCATGGAGCGTGAGACGTGGGAGGAGCTGCTGCTCTTCCTGCTGCACATCAACGACACACTGCTCGCCGCTCCGACGCACATTGGTACCCGAGTGCTCGCGTTGCCATCGGCGTCGTTGAGACGAGACAAAGAATCCATTCGGATCCCTCGGAGACCATGGCAACCCTTTGTGTTAGAGAATGACCTATGGAAAAATAAGTCGCAGAGCTACCTCTGAGATCGTTTGGAGTGAACTCCCGAACACACAGCAGTGGTCAGCACCTTCCTATCGGCTCTGCCACTGACGGCAGTATTTTTCGCATGACAGTCAAACTTATATTTGTAAGTCTCTAAGCCGGAATTTACCGAAATTTAAGTGCAGAACCAAGTGTTTTTGTTTTTTTGTAGTCATTAGTGATCAGACTGAGAGCATCAACTTACTATGCTTGAGAACCCCCTTTAATCAGAGATAGGTGCCTGGATTTGAATCCAAGATTTTGGCGATGCCAGATCACTGCTCTGACCTCTGAGCCACACAGCCACTGTGAAGGATGGAGAGAGCTTAAAGGAAGGGGCTACCCAAACAACAACTCGCTCTTGTTCCACACACGCATACTATACCTCGATGTGTTTGCTTTGAGCTGTCTGACATGCGTTTCAATCTTCATCAAGGAGAAAAAAATAACTTTAAACTTGTAAAAGGTATACCTCCATAGCGTGCTGAAGTGCCATCACTGCATTGCCATTCGAGTGATGTCACTCGCGATCAATAATGATCTACGTGACCACGATTTTAAAGATTGCTCGTCGATGGAGATTCACACTTGTGTGGGACCGCATGGGACGTACACCTTGGGTAAGCATCGACAAGACGCGCTCTGTGTGTTTGTGGATGCATCGTTTTTTGGCACGTAGCAGGGCAAGTGCGTGCACACGTGCACAGCGGTTCCGCTCCCAGCATCCGTAATTCATCACATGGAACCTCCTCCCAAAAGGCAACGGAGACACTACCTTGCAGAGGACAACACTAGAATGCGTATTTTATTGCTTATCTGTAATATAGGCTATTTAGTTTCGTGAAAGATATATGATCTGACCTGTGTAAATCGAAGTTAATTACACTCAGAACAGTTTATTTGTTAAGATACATGCAAACACAATTGGTGTTTGGGTGTTTTCTTTTTTTAATTGATGGTTGGACTGTGACCCAGAAAATCTGTACACATGCGAATGGAAATTATTGGCTTTAATGTTAGCTTTGACATGTGTAGAGGTATGTGTGTATGTTGAAATTCTTTCGCACTGTATGTATCCATTTCGTGCTAATCGGAGGTTGCCGAATGGCTCTGAGTTCAGTTTGCTGAGCTGGCACCGCAGAGAGCCTCGATTTGAGTCCAAGTATTTGTTAGTGATAATGCTGGGTTCTCTAAGTCTAGTGAAGTGATGGTCTCGGCCCAGTCATCAATGACTGCACAAAAAGACCCACCGCACTAAATTTAGTTCTGCACTTTGGCTAAATTCCAGCTCGATTAATTACAAATATTGATTGGATTTTTACGTAACAAACCTTACTCAAAGTGACATAACTGGTGGGAAAGTGCTGCTCCCCTACCGTGTTGACCAGAGATGACTTTGAGGGACTTGAGAAGTAGCTATGATATTGCCTTCTGTGGTTCATTCTGCTTTGCGTGAAATCTGGATGGATGCTTGATCTCTTGACATATCGCAGGTAAAACATTCGGGATGAAATTTATGAGAAATGAACACCTTTTTAGTACAGGTTTCCCTTTATGCGGATTCAGTTTGTGCGATTTCACGCTGTATATGCGGCTAACATATTTCTACCCGAAATTCGCTATATGCCGTTTGAATTCACTCATGCGGCTATGCGGTCGGATATGGGACAAAGTTGCGTGTTTGTACCGCGTGCGCGACTTGGGCAGGCAGCTGTCCCGTGCGGTTTTGCTTTGTGCGCCCTTCTGTTGGAACGCATCTACTACCGCGTAAAGCGAGGGAAACCTGTCTCGACAAATGTAGTTGGCAGGTCAGACCTGTTGTGTCTGCCCTGGGGAGCGCGGCCTGGCCGTTGCGAGCCTCGGCGGCGATATCTCTGCACCGCAGGGGGACTGGCGGAGCAGCTGGCTGATAAGCTGATCGCCGTGTTGTTCGAGGCGTGGATGCTGGCGTGCGCGCGCTGTTTCCCGACGCCCCCGTTTTGGCGCACGGCACGCGAGATGGTGGCCTGCTGGCGCCATCACACGGCGGTGGTGGACCAGTGGAGCCGAGTCGTGTCGGCCCTCACCTCAAGGTGCATGCGACAAACAATCAGAATCAGAATGTTGACTTGTACTAGAGGAATCCGAAGAGCTATCAAGGTCTTTGTTACAGATGTCCAGAAAATTACAATGACAAACCATAGAAAAATACAATAGGAGTGCAAAGTATAGGAAAGGTAAGCTAATCACCAAATTTTTGGTGATTAGCTTTACCAGGTAAAGCCCACTGATCTATTAGCTTATTTTTCAGAAGCGATCTGGTCACAAATTATAGCTTAGCAAAGTGGCTTATCAAGTGGACATTTATAGCAGCCAAATACTTAAGCGCATGTTTCTAAATGTGGAGGGAAAAACCGGAGGACCCGGAGGCAATTTCCACGCGACCACGGGGAGAGCATTCAAACTCCAAATATACAGGCGTCAGGGTCGGGATTAAACCCCCAATCTCTTGCATACCAGGCGAAAAAGATAACATCACGACACCGTGGCAATGATGGCTTTTGCGGGTTCAAGCTGGGTTGTGCATGTCAGCTCAGTCAGTGTTTTTGTGCGTGTAAGTGATGTCGTGATCGGCCAATGTGCATTGAATCTCCAGCCGGAAAGATTATTGCTTTGCGAGCTGAAAACAATTCAGTCGTCCTGTTGGCTTCTCATGTTCATTGAAGGCACAATAAAGATGAGAGAGCCCAGACTTAGATATTTCTCTGACTAATCGCTATAACAACCATTACATATATTTAAGTATACAATTAATGAGAATAATTTAAATATATGTTTCTCATCTTACAAATGATTCTCATACTGTCTGGAACACTTCTAATATCGAACGTTAGGGTCAACTGATCGCTGCAATGTGAGTGCATTGCATCAACCATGGTGTTGGTGAAATGTGCAATGTGCTGGCTGTTTGTCGATCATTAACGACGTCCCTGCTGATTGTTGGTGTTTGCCACACGCGTGCGTGTACTTATGTTGAATTTCTTTCGCATTGTACGTACCCAACCGTGCTAATCGAGGTTACGTGCGCTGGCGCCGCAGGCTCCTGCGCTTCATGTATGGCCCGGTGTTCCCGCTGTTCAAAGTGCCGGAGGAGGATGCCGGGCTCATCCCACCGGACATGGAGAACGACTGTGTGGCCCAGACCTGGTTCCGTTTCCTGCACATGCTCAGGTAGTGCTGAGCGACGCACGCAATCACCACATCGTGTTGAATCTTTTGTTTTAAGGTTTTTTGAACTCATCCACGCGAGCACGGGGAGAACTTGCGAACTCCAAATATACAGGCATCAGGGTCGGGATCGAACCCACGGCCTTTTGTATGCCAGACGAGGTAGTTTACATCTCGCGACCGTGAGACTAAAAAGCATTCATGCATTAGATCTGTTTATATGTTTATCCGTCTGTCTGTAACGATAATTCTTGAAAAAAATCGTCCAAATAACTGCAATTTTATTGTAAAGTTGCGACCGGGGAATTGCCCTCTTGAAAGCCTAGTAAACTGATCATTAAAAAAAACAACAATAATGGAGAAGGCTTTTTGATCACGCTGGGCCAAGAAGTGGTGGTGCTGATCCGAGCACCCCCCTCGTTTGCCATGCCAGCCTTCAAAGGTTGTTATCAACAGCGCTTGCCCCACGAGCCGGTTGAAGCTATGACGGCAGGGGGGGATCATTGTCTTTGTTCACCACAGTAACCCGGTGGAGCTGAGCAACCCTGGCGTGGTGGCGTCGACACCGAGGTTCCAGCAGACTCTGCTGGAGGTGGGCGGGGTGCTGCACGACGTGCCGCAGTTCCAGTGCCTGCGCCAGCTCCCGGTCATCTTCTTCCGTGCCATGCGTGGCGTCTCAACCCTCGTTGACGCCTTTCTCGGTAAGAGGTCGTGGATTCGATCCCGACCCTGACACCTGTATATTTGGAGTTTGCATGTTCTCCCTGTAGTCGCGTGTATTTTTCTCCGGGTCCTCCGGTTTTTCCCTCCACATTTAGAAACCACATACATTTAGAGTATTTGGCTGCTATACATTTCCACGTGATAAACCACTTGATTGGGATATCATTTGTGGCCAGGTTGCTTCTGAAAAAGAGACGCCTGCTGTATACTTGGAGTTTGCGTGTTCTTCCAGTGGTCACGTGGATTTTTCTCCAGGTTCTCCGGTTTTTCCCTCCACATTTAGAACCATACTTTTGGATGCTACACATTTCCACATGATGAGCCACTTCGTTGAGCAATCATTTGTGGCCAGGTCGCTTCCGTAAAAGAGCTATACAGCTCGGTGAACCTTACCTGGTGAAATAAAAATAGTTAAATTGTAACAAGTGTAGTACCCACACTTTACCCCAACAACACACGTACTGCCGAACAACCAACTGCGGAGGCCTGGGGATTTTAATGAACTTGCTACGTTGTTTCAAACGCCGCGTCGGAAAGATGGCCTCGAACCGGCGACCTCTGGTTTGCAAGTCCAGCGTCCTGCCCATCACACCTCGGCAGCTCCCTTAGAAATACGGTCGGAGAGTGGACGTTTCTGCGCTCACCGCAGGAGCGTCGGTATTGTGAGCAGGGATTGAACGCATGCATAGACACTGTCATCTCACCCAGCTCGGTGTGCTTTGCTCTCGGAGTAAAAGATAGAGAGAGAGAGCGAGTGACTTGTGCAACATTACTCTGCTTGAAAAGCAATGGTTATTTCTGTCACCCTATCATTGCCTCGTGAAAGCATCTGAGATGGGCATTGTTGGGTGGAACGGAGCTCACTTTTTGCACTCGACATCGACTGGAGCTGGTGAACAAGAAAACTCTGCGTAATGGAGAAACCGCCCCTTTGCGGGCCGTGTATCGTTTAAAAAAAATCGTGTAATTTCCTGTGCAGAAACACAGCGTCTTTCAACAGGAAGTGGGCAAAAGTAAAAAAATTCAAGTTGTGCAGTATACACATGGGGTTTTTGCAGTTCAGCGTGTTACTCACAAAGACTTTTCCATATGGCCTTGGCTGACAAAGTTTCAATTGAACTCTGCCTCCTGTAACAAAGCTCTCATTGTCCGCCTGGTCCGTCGTTACATCCGAACAGAAGGCAGTGAGATTCACTGGGACCAACGGCGAAGGCTGTAAATGGTTCAGGTTGACAATGCGTCGAGTGTGGCGGGTGTACACACACAACACGATGTATCATGTCTCCTCAACACCGGGCTAATTCACGAATGCAATAATTTCTTGAGAAAAAAAAAAACCCTACCTCCACCTCTTATTCCCACGAAGACCATGTATCCCCTTTACAACTTGTCATGTTATTTATGCAAATTATTTGGCGATGCTGCATTGGCAAGTGGTGGATAAGCACAACCTTGACAAGAACACTCGACACACTCGTCAACAGCACTGCCTTCAAAGAAAAAAAACGTATATCCAATAGAACCCCTCTTAATGACCACCCCTGTTAACGACTAATTGCTTAACGACGGGCCTACATAGAGCCTAATGTGTACTGTATAGTGTAGTGTATAGTCATGTGAGAAGCAGTAGTGTAGTGGTTAGCGTGCTACACTATAAACCCAGCGACCCGAGTTCTATTCCTGCTCACGGCCAACACCAGTGATTATTATTTGGACCGGTCCTGGGCCTCCCCTAGGTCAACTCAGCCTCAAATGAGTACCTGGTGCGGTTTGTAAACATCGCCACTGGGGAGACAAAGGCGGTCGGGTGTGGTGCTGGCCACCTACCCCCTTGTGTACCGTTCCGGCCTTCATAGGTGCTCGCTAACAGCACTTGCCCCCCAACAGCCTGTTAAGGCTATATGGGGGATCTTTGTCTTTGTATAGTAGCGTAGTATATAGCAGTGTAGTGTATAGTCGTGTTTGCTATAATCCTTCTTTATGATCACTCCTGTTAACGACCAATCGCTTTATGACGGGCCTCCATAGAGGCCAATGTGGTTCGCTTACCGACCATTCCCCTGTTAACGACGGGCTTACGATGAACATGTGACCGCCAGTTTCCGCCAATCCACGAGCACTAATGTGGTCTGACCAGGCCTCGGCCAATCAGTGACATACATGAGCGTTGGGGCATTGTTGCCATTCAGTGTCTGCTGCGCTTGGAAGTGGAAACATCTCTTTTGAGTTCTTCGTGTATTTTGACTTGAAAACTTTAATAAATCAATAATTATGGCTTCCAAAGTGCTTGCGAATCAAGACAAGAAAGTGAGGAAGACACTTAATGTTTTAACTATCAAATAATTGATAAACATGAAAAAAGTGTAAAAATAGCTTTGTTGAGGAGTGAATATGGCCTTCCCCATTCGACTGTTTCCACCATTATTCAACAAAAGGACAAATTAAAAGACATGAAAGTGAAGGATGCTTCGACCAGTGTACAAAGGTAGGGAAGTGTTTGTGGAAACGAGAGACTTTTATAAATTTGGATCCAAGAAATACAAATGCGAGGTGATTTTGTTGAATATTCATGAATAAATTGATTAACCACGTTTCTTTTAATATTACGTGTTTACAACGTTGTTAGTATCTTTATGTATTAATTGCCATTGTCTAAATATTATAAAGCACGTTTTTTTTGGTGAAAAAGGGTAACTTTCGATGCTATCGGAACGAAATAAGTCTTTAACGTGTATTTTCTATACTCGCTTAACGACCAAATCACTTAACGACCGGTTCCGTGGAACCAATTACCGTCGTTAAGAGGGATGCTACTGTAATCGTCGAAATGAAGTTGGGCCATTGCCTGAAACGTCTGTAACGCTGATGAGTGCGAGTTTTAACATTGTCACTGTTGCTTTATACTTTATTCGCATGTATAAAAAGCATTTTTTACGTGAACAAAAAAAATCCACCACCGACACTACAAAAACAAGACAATTTTGTCATGAATGCTATGGTGGTTGCTGTACAGTACTAAATTAGGACTGTGTTGCCCCTGACGTTTATGTGCAGCGTGGAGATGCAATGAATAACTAGTCAGGATCGCTTTCATATTTTTAGGGCCCCAATCCCAAAAGAGACCCATTATACGCGGCATGCGTTATGTCCACCCGCATTTACACTGCACGGCCGGTGCACGCCGAAGCCGTGCTGAGCAAGCCCGGCAAGGCTCAGGAGGCACCGGGTTGTGTTTCCACCGCAGAACCCAAGGTGTGCCACTGCAGTCACACAGGGTCCCACAATCAAGTGTACCGACAATGGTTTTTATATTGAGAGTTGTCTTTTTTGTTTGCATTTTGACTGCTTGTGTTGTGGTTATTGCAAACATGATGCCTTGAATAAAGGCGTCAGTTTTTGTGCCAGTTAAAAGGGTAAAACCTATTCCTATATCTTGTTACTGGCAAAGGAGGTCTCATAATGTAAATGCTCACCCCGAGCCCTCAATACTTTGATAGTGCGCTGTTTTTGAGTTGTACGCCTTTTGGTGTCTTCTGGTCCAACACCAATGGAGACTAGGCTCTAAGAAAAGCCGTCTCGGGTGTGGACCAATCAAATTCAAGGACAGTGCATATTATTATCAGAGTTGTCTTTTTTGTTTGCATTTTGACTGCTTGTGTTGTGGTTATTGCAAACATGATGCCTTGAATAAAGGTGGCAGTTTTTGTGCCAGTTAAAAGGGTAAAACCTATTCCTATAATGGTTTTTAACCCCACACCGTGGCCCTGCTTGGCTACAAGCCAGATTCGGATGTCTTACAAGGCTCTGGCTTTGCTCTGCAAATAAGCCAGGAGAAATCGACCCGTAACCGTGACGTTCCCCACGTCGGCTCGATACAGGTGTGCCAGTAGAAACGGGATAACGGTTAAACACCCGGGACGCGGTAATGTCGCCACGTCTGAAGCTGAAGCCTGGCGCCCGCTCTTTCGCCAGGGATCTCGCGAGCGCGCTCGGACAGCGCCCCTGCCACGCCGGTGAACCCGAGCCGCCTGAGCATGCCGGTGATGAGCGGCGCCGGTGGCGGGGCGCCCACCACATCCCCGCACACCAAGAGGGCGCGCGCCGTCACCATCAGCAAGACCACGAGCAAAGCGTCCGCTGTGAGCCTGCACACACGCCTGGCGGACCCCCACCGCTCGGTTAACTCGCACGTGGACAGTTATACGTATCAGGTGACCTCGCAGTCAACTTTTTAAAATCATCCCAACGTGTCTATACATTTACGAGAATCATTTACAGTCCTTAGTCGTGCATTGCTTCATGGGGGTCTTCCAACATGTAATGATTAAGGGGGTTTTCTACCACGCATTGCTTCATGGGGGTCTTCCCACACGTATTGATTAAGGGGGTTCTCTACCACACATTGCTTCATGGGGGTCTTCCCACACATATTGATTAAGGGGGTTCTCTACCACGCATTGCTTCATGGGGGTCTTCCCACACGTATTGATTAAGGGGGTTCACTACCATACTTTGCTATGCTGGTCAATGTGGGTTCGTGAAGGACTGCCTAAGAACTCTTCTGAAAGCACAAGTTCCCAGCATGTGGAGTGAAAATATCGTTATAAACCAAAAACACATCGGAGGGCTAAATTGGTAGACCAATCTATTTAAATAATCTCTGATCGCAACCCAAAGTTCACGTTCTCGACGCCCCCTCGCTGCCCCCTCCGCTCTCTCCGCACAAAGGGGTCGCACTCCCAGGGCGTGCCGGGCGGCACCCACGCCAGCCGCTCCGCGCTTGCGTCGTCCTCTTCATCGGCCACGTCCTCGGCCCCGTCCTCGACGCCGTCGCTGGTGCCCGCGCCGCGCGACCAGGGGGCGATGCTGCAGCAGGCGGCGCCTTCGCTGGTGCAGCTCAGCTGCGAGCCGAGGCCCCCGCCGGCGCCGACCCGCCCGCGCGTCAACTCCGTGCTCAACCTGTTCGGCCAGTGGCTGTTCGACGCGGCGCTCGTGAGCTGCCGGCTGGATGGCGCCGTCAGCCGTGACGGCAGCATGACGGGTAAGGTCCTCCCGAGCCCCCGGGCCCGCGCGTCTGAGCACTCGAATCAAACGCCTCGCCCACCACGGCACGGCACAGCACGGCCAGCACGCCCCTCCTGCTGAGGTACGAGTCGTGAGGCTTAGCGAGATGCTGATAGGCTCTGAATGCAAGTTTTGTTATTTTAATAGCCTAGTAAGAGGCATGTAACGATATAATGATTTTGTGAGTTGCCATGACTCGGAGTCACCATTCCATCATTAATTGTCATGATTCTGGGTTATGATTAGATTGAGTGGTCAATTCCATTAATAGTGTGATGGTTGAAGCGCCTCCACTGGCTGCAGGCGTCACATGAAACTGTTGCACACAACATAGACAAATAGAACACTATTGACTCGGTATAAATTATTTTGGAATGTATAATGGGCGTAAGAATCGCCTTTAATTGATGCGCGAAGGCATCATTGCATGTCTAAATCGCCGAGCATGTGGCCAAAGGGACAGAACAATTCAGCACGCCCGAGTTTCTTTGTGTATGTTTGTGCAGCGTCAGAATTGAACTGACCCAGAACAGTAACCTGTGATAATTATACGCTACCTATATCAGTGGAAAAATGCACACAAATTAAGTAACAAGCAAGTGACATTTTGGTTCAACACGTAGGCTTTCGCGACTAATATTCATAATAGAGGTTTTTGGGTTATCTCGCGTAAATATAAATGCGTTTTTAAACCCTGCCACCACCTGACACTCTCCCAGACACCCTGTTTGCTGTACGAATTGGCATGTTTTTTTACGTGGCAAACCTTACTAATTGGCCGTGTCGGGTGTTGGCGGGTTTAACGACACATTTATATTTACGCGATCTAACCCAAAACATGTATTATGGAAGGAACATTTTTACGTAATATTAAACCGATATTCGATAAAAAAAACTATATCAACTTAAACGTGCACGTATAAAACAAGCTGATGATTTACGCACGCTCACGCACAAACATGTGCATGCCTATTCATATTCTGCGTCAACCCCAGCAAGTGCAGAGTTGTGTACCCGCTTGGACAAACGCACGGCCCGTTTGTACGTGTGCCCACCTGTAAAATGTGCCCCAGTTTGCCTGGCTCTGCAAGTTGCATGCACCATTCCGCAACGCGTTCCAACCCATCGCCTTACGTTCTCTCCCCGGTCGGACACCAAAACGTGTTGCAATGCCGAGTTGCGATGGGAGTGGCACAGACAACATCGCCACAGTAACGCGCTGGCAGCGGAACACTGCGTGGTGGAATGGACGTGTATGATAACGCTAAGTGTGTTTCAGTCACTTAGTCAAACCAAGCAACCTTTGATTGAAACAAGTAACGCATCTTTTTAAAAACAAAACATTTACATTGGGAAATGTGTTGACCGTAATTTGTGACTCCTGTCAGTAGATTTCCCCAAAGGTTTTAGGCAAACAGCTTGTACAGGTTTTTTTCTGAGAAGTCACCTTCTGCAATATAATCAACTCGTCGGCTAAAATTTTAGTTTCTGCTTGAATTGGGGTCGGAGGCACAGGGTTCTACAAGAACCAGCTAGGAGGTCTCCTTCAAGGGACCCTCCGATTGGCTCTTTGTGGTTTCGTTATACTGCTGCCCAAACACAAATGCGCAGTTTACCAACGGCGTCCGCTCTTGTTCTAAGCAGATTGCGGTTGTTCAACGGTGTGTTCCAGCGGGCTACATGTTAAAACTAGCGAGCGTTGGCGAGACGCATGATGTCAAACGTCACATGACGACACAATGGCATGATTTCGCGTTTGTACAGAAATTACATCGCGTGTTATTACGACGTCATAACGTCTTTACCTCTTGTCTCCAGGTCTATCATCTCATCTATCTCTCATCTCGCTAAGCTTTATATTTTTTCCTACAGCTCTCTCATCTCTGTCTTTCGCCTAATTTACATCGCCCAGTGTGCATCTCTGTAAGTCTCGGCGAGCTTATAGCGCTCTGCGGGCCATAGCTCTCGGCAGGCCATTCCAAGACAGTTCGTCTGCCAGATCTGTCCCGCGAGCCACCAGTTGAAGGACCCTGTATTAGATGGTGAGGCATGGCAGCCCCCTGTAAAACAACTGTCAGTCGCTCCCCCCTGCCACATCCACTTAACTTATATTTACACAGTGGTCAGCCCGGGCAGTGTAAATTTGGACAAAATGTTTGCTTAAAGCTCCTGTCAGTATATTGACTGCTTCCAAAAAATGGTGTCTGATGATGATATCAGCACTGTCCGCTGCTTCATGTCCTCTCACTGTAAGTGTACCCGGCCAGGCGGAAGGGCTATTGTGAGCATACCGGTCACACGGCGCGTTCGACATACCCCTGTCTGGTCATCGTGCACCTCGGATGAGTCTAGGGCCACGCTGCTGATCCACACAACAAAGTTTGTGATGAATCGAGTGGCCGATTTTATGAACGATAATCAGCACTGGTGTAAGTTTTTCGCTACCCTTACGTTTTCGATATATTGGTGCGATTCGGGCTACTAGAGATTCGATTATAAAATCAAATTTGTATTTTTTTTAAAATGTGATGAATATAAGCAGACGATCGCGGCTGTAAGGGTGACTAGAACGCTTGATACACAACATAATATAATTCGCAAAACATTAACTCTGACACATGATTCTTGATCCTTACACACGAATCAAAAACATTGATGCACTGTTTATTTCTGTCCTTGAGTTAAAAAAAAACACCGCTCCCATGGAAGTAATTATTCCTGGTTGCGACTGGTGTGTTGTGAACACTTGCGTTCCCATAAGGATCGCAATTATCTGAAGCAGCAGCCTCATTATAGGTGTGTGTAATAAGTGTTCCGCAACAGCAGATTTTAAGGAGGCTCATTACAAGAGAAAATGTGTATTTAATATAATACTTGTTACGGACAGATGCACAGAGCTTTACAATTCACAGCGTGCTGGTGAATTGTAAATGGAGCATTCTGCACCTCCTGAATAAAATAAAAAAAATTGCATTGCGCCGTGTGGGAAAATTTACATGCTTGGCACAAAGCGGTTTGCAATCGTTTCACGACAAAGGGAATGACCGATAGGATTTTCAGCCCCGTATGACAAGCGTGGCTGTGATGTATGTGGCTGGAACAACGGTCATAAACCAGGAATGTGTGCAATGTTTAACTTGCCTACCAGGCATAACCCAGAATAATTAAAAGCAATCTAGCCTTGTCAAAAAGTTCAGGCACTTCATAATGCGAGACGTCTTTGGTAATTGGTTTTATCGTAATATTTTTTTTGGGGACTTCCATTATTATTATAATTATTTGTTTATAGCTGTTTGAAGCCTGACCTTGGAAAAATAGCAGGAATGTTTTGAGCAATAAGTGATATGTGAATATCTGATTGGACGGACCACATCATTAAAATTTGAAATCAGATTTCGCTTACTTAAATTATGAACTTGTTTTTTTTTGTACGATTCCCCTTGAATAGTATGGCAAATGATAATATGCATGATATTTTCGACAACCTTTGACCTACTGTGTAATTTTTCATCGCAGACTTGCCGTGGCTGTGGAGTGCCATCCGAGTGTCTCGTTCCGTGTTTGTGTTTGCGCCACTGAATTTTTTGAAGTCGGTTTGTTTTTGGTCCCTTTGATTTACACTCATGATTTGCGTTTCATTTTATTTCTTTGTCTTCTATTGCCTTGCAGCATCTTTTACCCAAATCCTTCTTTATTGTAAGTAGACCTTTTCTGTCCCGCCGCCTCTTGGCGTAGCTTGCCTCGCAGTTGCTTGCCACTTTAAGTACCCTCTCCAGACCCTCTCTGAAATCAAAGCAGTGACTGGCTGAGCAAACTCCCGGGCCACCGTTTGCCACGAGTGAACATTGGCGCGACCCGTTGCCCAACGCTCAAAACTGAACCGCTAGCACGTCGCAATTGTTTAAAATCTCGTCACACACTTAATTCAATTGAGTTGAATTAAACAACCCGTTTACAATCATGGCCGAGCATTCTAGGTGTTGCGACCGTGACGCTTGACACTCATTTGACCTACTTTTGCACATGGGGTCTTAAGCACCCTCATCACGTCACACCGTGAAATGTAACAATTCTGCAGTGGGTTATTATCGGGCAGCTGCAGGAAAGGTAATGCGACCATTCCTTTCACGATTCTGTGGATATGACGTTCATGGATAATACGCGTAGGAAATTAGTAAAAAGCCTCAGCAAATTATTCTGTTTTCTGCTTGAAATGGAAACTTACTTTCATGTACAGATGTATAATACATAATAAATTGCATCTTATTGGCATAGATGCTTAAGTGGCTGTGAAAAGCACTTAGTGTTTGTCGACTGCTTGTAAATTAATACGTTCATGGGGATGGTTTAAATTATAGCCGAAATGGTAATTTACGACATGTCAAATGTCTATCAAAAAGCACTTTCACGTACTTTATTTCACTCGGGGAACATTTTGGCTGGATGTGCGCCCATGACGTAATTACAGGCGTGGCTCAATTTCAGATGTAGCTCGGACATCTTATGGTTGTGTCAAAATCCTCCAGCATTCGCAAGCAGTTTCGCTTGGTCAGTTTGGTTGGACACATGGTACGGGCATGACGATGAACCGCTTTGGACTCGGAGAGGGTTCTGTATTCATCGTCCCATTCCCCGAGGATTTAACATCCTTGCTTTCTGGGTTCCATCGTTGCAATCGCACTGTTACATCTCATCCCAGCCTGGCGCTGTGTTGGGGCGGCTTGCTTGTGCGTGTGTGCACTGTGCGTGTGTGCGCGCTTGTGTCTTTAATTGCGCACGTTGGAACGTTTGGCAGCAATGGAAACGTGTACCCCCATGCACTTCTAAAAACCAAAATAAACAGCTGAATGCTCATTTGAATAGCACAACGACATTGCTGAGATTCAGATAATATTTTTCTAAAGAAAGAAAATGCCAATCATTTTTGCCCAGATCTGATTTTGACTTTGTTGGGAATTTGGGTCATGCAATTTGGGTGAGCTGAACTTGGTCAATTTAATTCCCTTTAATCTGATCTACAGCACTGTGTAACCCAGCAAAATCAGTTTTTTTTCCATGGAGGATTGATGGAACTAATATGGGTGATTTGTTTTCCCTTAGAAGATGCTTTCTTGTGAGGTTCATTGTATTCCTTTATGTGCACGAGTTTGTTTGCGTGCGTGTTTGTCAGGCGAGCCGCTAGATTACTTTGCTTTTCCCGTGGCTTCATTGCTTTACTTTTTACAATTTTGCTCAAATCCCTGATTTTTTTTTTACGGCATTGACTTCCGAAAAATGTGCCCATCCCCTCTGTGTTTTTATCTTCCACTCCGGGTTCTCGGACACTCGTTGGTTGGTGCTCTCTGCCCAATGGGACACACTCTACACGTGGTTCTCAATCGCACATGGGACCTGTTGCGGTATACGACCCATGCTGCTCCTTCATGTGTTAAGAGTCGCTGGCATAACGTTCTCCTTTAGTAACCAATTAACTTCCTGCTCTTCTACAATGTTGCGGTGCAGTGTCCGGTTAAAGAATAAAGACTCATTTGTTTTCGCGTTACTTTCGTGATGGTTCATTGGGAATCGGAAAAGCCACACGAGCCAACGTAGTCTTGCTTCCCGAGCTCGCAAAGTGTTTGGCAGCTGGATATGTGAGGTAAGGGCTGCGGTGAATGGGAATGAGGTCAGGCTGCGTTTGGGCGTGGACGTGCGTTTCCACGTGCCAGACCAGGCTCTCATTAAGCTCTTTCCGGAAGATACAATCCAACAAACAGTGATTTGTCTTGAAGATACTTGCCTTGGCTGTCTGTTCCAGGCTATCTGATATGAGTTCGAAGCTTCCTTCATGATAAAAGAGACTAAAATCATGATCAGATGCCCTGTAATAGTGCCTGAGTGACATCGCTACATTACTGTTTTATTAAAATGCACAGGAGCGCCCCAACATGATTTTAAAGTCTCTTATTTTCAGTGATGTTTAAAAATTATGTCGGGCAGCCCAATGACCGAGCCTAGGTCTTTGTTGTTTTGGGTTTATATCGTCCTTTAAAAATAATTCATACTTTACTGCACTAAAACCACGCATACCTGATTTGACTCCGCCGACTCACCTCCATGCCCACAACTGGTCCGTGGTGCCACCATGCGGAGCGGTTGCCAGTGTGAGGTGCCCGTGTTCTAGCGGTGTGTGAACTTAACACTTGGGCTCTACTGCATGATGTTACAGCCCCCCCCCCCCCCACTTTCCCCAGCTGCCCCCCTCCACCTTCGTGGTGTCCCCTCAACATCGCATTGACCATGTCGTTGGACTAGACGATGTTTGCTTACTCGGATTGCAAACCTCATGGTGTGATGAGTGCTTTCCCGTCGTTGTGAGTGAGGAGTGTGGTAGAAAGGTTTAGGTTCAAGCGCCGCCAGTTTGACCGGCTATGAAACTCCAGCAGTGGTTGATGTTATCAGCCTCTATACATCTCCTGCGCAGTCTCTGGATTGTGTTCATGCCTGTGTTTCTCTCACATGTGTACGCCTATCTGATGCACTGCTATTATATTGGTTGTGCGTTTTTTTGGCATAATTATATTGCGTGTGTGTTCAACAGTTTTTTTTAAAGAATTATCCTTAACTAAACTGTTGGCTAGTCAAAAATCATATTTAAATAACATCCCACAACTAACTCATGAGCTCTGCAAGTCATGCTTGATTTATCGTATTGTTCTTTTGCCATCAAAACTCTTGGTTGGTGTCCATTGTGGTGTGTGCCTCTGTGCGGCTGCCTTTGCTGCTGCTGCTGTTTGTGCCCTGACTCTTGGCAGGATTAGACGGCCCCTCTGGTTATTATTCCAGTTCGTTTCTTTTCATCACAGTACCCTTTTGAGTCATTGCCACCGTTGTGTCCCACTTAAGCACTGGATTAAGTCAAAATCATTCCTCTGGCAATGAAACACACGCTTGCAGTGTTTTCGCTGAGAAAAAAAGAGTTACGTTTTTTTTACAGAAACGATAAAAACAGCAACTTTAGTTTCGTATGGCCCAAGCATGTGTCCGTATAGCTCTTCGATGTGTTCAGTTCCTGAAGAAGCTCCTAGGACGCCGAGCAAAACGTCGAACATCGTGTTGAACAGCACACGGTGGAGCCCAAAAAACATCTTGGAGAGCTTGTACAGTACCACCGCGAAAGCTTGCACAAGTTACACATCCAAACGTCAGTCCGTGTAAGGTTTCTCGAGGTGTGCAGTTCATAATATCGAGATTGTGCCAATAGTCTCAATGTAGGACTCGCATGTAAAATAAGTCTGCAGCCTAAGCGAGGCTTTCCTGGATAAACAAAGGGCAGCAGCATTATTATTATTATTACAACATTGCCAAAGTCAAATGCGGTAGCAGTGGTGAACCGCGTACCGAGGTGTGGTCTAGAGGTTGCGTGTCTCTTGGCAGCCCGTGAGGCTCTGGGCAGGCGGTGCGGGGGGGGGTGTGCGCTTTGTGGTCGTTGCTGTCCTCCCAGAGCCCCTGGTTTCCCGTGCGGTGCCCGAGCGCGTCGTGCGTTTGTCCCGCCGCTCCGTCGCTGTTCTTCTTCCGTCACCCCCGCCTGTGCCCCGCGTATCTGCGTTGTTTACGGGGATCGTTTATTTACTTTCTCGGAAAGAACTTCATGGCTGCTGCTGCTGCTGCCGCTGCCGCTGTCGCCGACTAACAAGCGCCGTGCATTCCATGCGCTTGCAAGCTTTTATTATAACCATTGTAAGCGTGGCCTTGCCTGCTTTACAGTGGCTTTGTGTGCCATGTGACCTGTTCCCCCTGGCCACACCTTGGGCCCTTCTGACTTCCCCCCTTGCAATGCCTTTTGATGACCGACCCTGATATGACTTGAAACCGAAAACTACTACGAAAAAAATACTAAACTGATGATAATGTCACGCATAACCCTAAAATGTACCTCCACCCTAATACAAACCTCATTTTGATTTAAAGCTTTCGTGACTGCAGGGATTCATATTCTTGGTTCTTTCGGTAAAGTCACGTAGAAGGGAAACAATAAAATAATAAAAATATAAAACAATAGAATTCTCACGACGTTTCGACTGCAACACAAGCAATCATCATCAGGTGTGAAAACCACAGCAAGAACATTTGACTTTACCGAAAGAACCAAGAATACAAACCTCATTGCTTGTTAGAAAACTCAGAAATGTGCACCACACGTCAATTTTAAACGTTAACCATTGTTCTAATCTGAACACTAAGCCCAACCGTAATATCAACACTCTTCTCTATCAACACTTACTTAGATCCCCACAACATTAACACCTCCCCTTTCCCCAACCACAACCCCTCCTGTATCTTATCAGTACCGCTGCCCATAAACCTAACCCTTCCCAACCCCACCACGCCTAATCCCCAATCCCACCCCCCTATCCTTCCACCCCTAATCCCCTGCCCCACCATCTCGAACCCTCAACCCCACTCACCCTAACCCCTCAAACCCCACCACTGCTAACCCTCTAACTCTAACCCTCAACCCCACTCATCCTAACCCCTCAAACCCCACCACTGCTCGCCTTAACTCTAACCCTCAACCCCACTCACCATAACTCCTCAAACCCCACCACTGCTAACCCTCTAACTCTTAACCCTCAACCCCACTCATCCTAACCCCTCAAACCCCACCACTGCTCGCCTTAACTCTAACCCTCAACCCCACTCACCCTAACCCCTCAAACCCCATCACTGCTAACCCTCTAACTCTAACCCTCAACCCCACTCATCCTAACCCCTCAAACCCCAACACTGCTAACCCTAAACTCTAACTCTCAACCCCACTCATCCTAACCCCTCAAACCCCACCACTGCTCGCCTTATCTCTAACCCTCAACCCCACTCACCCTAACCCCTCAAACCCCAACACTGCTAACCCTAACTCTAACCCTCAACCCCACTCACCCTAACCCCTCAAACCCCATCACTGCTAACCCTCTAACTCTAACCCTCAACCCCACTCACCCTAACCCCTCAAACCCCACCACTGCTAACCCTCTAACTCTAACTCTCAACCCCACTCATCCTAACCCCTCAAACCCCACCACTGCTCGCCTTACCTCTAACCCTCAACCCCACTCACCCTAACCCCTCAAACCCCAACACTGCTAACCCTAACTCTAACCCTCAACCCCACTCACCCTAACCCCTCAAACCCCAACACTGCTAGCCCTAACTCTAACCCTCAAGTCGACTCACCCTAACCCCTCAAACCCCAACACTGCTCGCCTTACCTCTAACCCTCAACCCCACTCACCCTAACCCCTCAAACCTCAACACTGCTAGCCCTAACTCTAACCCTCAAGTCGACTCACCCTAACCCCTCAAACCCCAACACTGCTCGCCCTAACTCTAACCCTCAACCCCACCGCCCCTGACCCTCCTCGGCACGCAGGTCTATCAACGCAAGGCGGCGCCTCTGGCCCCGGCGCCGGGGTTCCCTCGTCCGCTGCGTCCTCCGCTCAGGACGTCCGCCGCAGCAAGGCCTTTCAGCCGACGGCGGGCGACCTATCCGGCCTCGGCGGCCCGGGCGGCCCCGGCGGCCCCGGCGGCCCCGGCGGCCCGGGCGGCGCGGGCGGCGGAGGTGGCCCCGGGTCCGCTCCATTGCTGTCCCTCGACTCGGCCGATCTTCCCGAGGGCTACGACACGGGGCGCGCGGAGGCGTGCGGGACGCTCTGCAGAATCTTCTGCAGTAAGAAGACGGGCGAGGAGATCTTGCCCGTCTACCTGGCCAGGTGAGGGCACTGTGCCGCCGCCGCCACCACCAATCACTCCGTGGGCCGAGGTGGAACGCGGAGGCTGAACCCGATCGCAGTGCAAACGCTCGCGCTGCCCGCCCCTCACTGCCTCCATTGTTAATTGGCACGCGTATGGCAATTCGTTCAGGAGCTAGATCCCAGTGCCGTCGTCTGCTAGACACGAGAGGGCTTCGTGTAGTTTTGCTACTCCAGTGCAGGAGTGCAGACTACAGTGGTATACTATATGGTCTATAGTTGGGGTTGCATAGCCACAATCGCACTGGTGGATCATCTTTGCACTTCAGCCTTTTTGATGTTTTGATGCGGTTCACGGCTACACCACCAGTGTGTTTGAGGAATTTCAAAGCCAGGAGGTGCAATGTTTGGGTCTCTAATCAGGTGTTTATCCCGAACATTCGTGTCGTTCCACCATTCGCCAGCGTTCTTCCAGATCCGAGTGAGTTTATAAAATGATGACAGATTGCTCCCAGAATCAGGATCGGGAATAACATTTAGTTCTTGATAATTCTTCCATATTTATTTGGTACAAGACATAATCCCATGGGTTTCTGGCCCTTGCAAGTATCTTTTTTTCAGCATTTAGCTCTACTGATCATGTCATCAGCCACAATCAATCCACTACCACTCCGACGTCAGACTTTACCACTGGCCGTCATCCCTGCTAGCAAGTATGTCCAGGCCAGCGTTCTTATTCTATTGAACCATTGCAACACGTCGCTTGGTTTGCGTTGGTGCCGTGCCCGCCGCAGGTTCTACATGGTGCTGATACAAGGCCTGCAGATCCAGGAGCGCGCCGTGTGCCGCCCAGTCCTCGCCAGCATCCTGCTCAACTCTCCCACGCTGCTCTGCTCCGACCTGCAGGGCATCCACGTGCTCGTGCCCTACTTCATCTCTGCCCTCGAGATCATCCTGCCTGACAGGTATGGTCACCACCCTGACCACCCTCTTCTCCCACATCTCATGGCGTGGGACATACATATGAGGATATGCCGACTGAGCTATTAGAACTCTTTTTCAGAAGCAACCTGGCCACAAACGATGGCTCAACCAATTGGCTGATCATGTGGAATTTTATAGCAGCCAAATACACTAAATGTGGAGGGAAAAGCCAGAGGACACGGAGAAAAATTGACGCAACCACAGGGAGAATATGCAAACTCCAAATATATAGGCGTCATGGTCGGAATCGAACCCACGACCTCCTGCATACCAGGCGAGGGAGTTAACATCTCACCACTGCAGCGACCTATCAAACTCGTCTTCGGTGACGTAAACGCCACCTCCGCTCATCGACGAGTGGATTGGCGAGAGCACTGTATATTGTTGTTGTAATTGTGTACGCGTAGTTATCGCTACATTGGAGGTGCAGATTTAATAATAAATTGGTGCGTTTGGTATTCGCGCCATTCTTATAGTTGAAGGTTATCGCAAAGGTACTATCCTTCACAGATGGGAATAATCTTCCAGTCGAGGGAGGGGGGGGGGGAGGTTATTATTCTCATGTGGTTTTATCCAATTAAGTAATTAGATTTTTTTTGCATTGGGCAAATTCAGACCATGACACAAGCACTTTGTTAAATAACATTACGAGATCCACTGTTAAGCACACTGGATGTTCATACACTCGCATTATTAACCAGGGCAGCCTCTGGGCTCGAACCGCGAACCTGTACAACAAATTACCCATCGCTTGCAATAAATCATGTTAACAGCCCCCTTGCTTGTAAACCTTTCAGAGTCGTACAGCGTTGTCAGGGTGTTTCCTCTCGCAAGATTTTAAATTTTACGGAGCCAAGCCGATGCAGCTTTTGCATCCGTTTACTGCCGGGGCTGAGTGTCCACGTGATTCTCCCAGGGATCTGCAGAAGTTCAAGCCGTTTGTGAACACCACCGACCTGCGGCACGCCGCCATCCAGCTGCTTCTCTCCATGCTGCCGCTGCCGCTGCACTTTGGGACCCTGCGAACCGAGGTGGCCCGCGCACACCAGCAGGGGGCCATTGTCGTGGCATTGGCAGGGAACAAGATCCACGGCAGATGATGAGGGGAGGGTGCGAATAAAAACACCCTTACGATGGTGGGGCCCGTGACCCAAGCCACCTGGGATGCGCCCGATCACGGGAGCTTGAATGGGTGACCACCACGCATAATTACACAGGTTTTGTAGGCTGCTGCGGAGCTACATTTCCTGCAGAGGGCAGTGCAGCGGCATCCTTTGCACTCTATTATTCTTCAGTGTCTATGTTCCCCGCTTTCACCAACTTAACACTGGCAAGCTTGGTTAAGTATGGTCAAACGGCCTCCATGGCCCGCACGGTGCCAGTAGGCCATCATCCAGCAGTAGATTGACAATAGGGCTGTACCTCAACATGTATGTATGTTTAACTTCTTTCGCACCGTACGTAGCCAACTGTGCTTATTGTAGGTGTTACATGTTCACATTTACATATAGGAGGGTAGGGACTTGCAAATGCTAAATTTATTCGGCGAGGAATAGGGCAGACATTTCAAGCGGGATCCTCGTGCAAAGGAGACATGGCATCCATAACACAGGTTTTTTGTGTTAGATCGCGTAAAGATATAAATGTGTCGTTAAACCCGCCACCACCTGACGCAGCCAATTAGTAAGGTTTGTCACGTAAACAGAACGTGGCAACTCGTTACTGGTACAGCACACCGGTGTGTTTGAGATCAAAGCCACAACATTTTACAATCCTGAGTACGACGTTTCGCCAGTGATTACAACCGGCATCATCATGCAGCAGCCAGACTTGTGGAGAAATCCTCTTGTTTCGTTCCTGAAATAGTGGGAGACGTGAAGACGTCACTTGTGTGCCCTTCTTGCGCGAAGTGGGGGGGGGGGGGGGATTAATGAATGCACAAATTACTATGGGTATCCATTTCTGTTTGGCTTCTTTATATGGTAATCAACACACATACTCTTTGGTTCTTTCGGTAAAGTTATGTAGTTATGAAAGTCATGAAAGCTTCAAATCAAGAATCAACATACATTTTGCATGTGCATTATGCAAGTACCTCTGCATGTACCTCCTGTCGATTGTGTGTACTAATATAGCCCCAACAGTAATCCCTATTGAAGTATGGTGACCGATATTGGCACGCATTTAAAAAAATGTATTGTTTGATGATTCGTTTCCAAGCAGCACTAAGTCTGTCGCTATCCGAAGGGTTAAAAAATATTTGTCATAGATTCTCTAATTAGCCTTGGTCAGTAGTAACTAGTTTTGGATAGAACTTCAACATTATCAAAATCAATTGAGTGTCCTTGTTGGCACGCGTGTTCTGCCACTGCCGACAGTTGTGTTTGGGAGTATTTAATATTCATTTCGTGCTCTTTTAGTCTCGTGCTGATCATCCGTCCTGTTTGCACAACATAGCATTTGCCACAAGTGCAATTAATCTGGTACACACCTTCTGTTGATAGCTTCGGTAATACATCTTTTGTACCAGATATTAATTTCTGTATTTCATGTAGCATGCCAAATCTAACTCGGATGTTTTGTTTTCCCAAACATCTGGCTAGTTTATCAGTTTCTTCCACAAAGTATTGTAGCTTAATAGTTTAAATTACTTGATCAGTTTCAACACTCGTGTTATTCGATTTGATTTTGGCATTCAATGCCCTATTGATTTGTGCATCATTGTAACCGTTCAATTGCAGCCCTTCTTTAACATGTTTAATTTCACTTCTCAGACTGTCACCATCTGACACTTTCTTAGCCTGATGTATGAGCATATTGATGAGAGCGGATTTCTGTGCGGGATGCTGGTGTGACTCTGCATTCAGATAGGCGTCAGTGTGTGTTTTCTTTTGGTAAACGCTGTGTGTCATTTTACCATTTCAACCGCGCCCGAGCAGAATATGCAGAAATGGTAGAGTTCTGGCAGCTTCCACTTCCATGGTGAACTGGATGGATGGGTTTTGCGAGTTGAGATGATTGAGAAATTTAAGTGTATCTCTGTCGTGTGGCCAGACCACCAATGTGTCATCCAAATATCTAAACCAAGCAGAGGGTTTTAGTGTGCTTGAAGCTATTGCTTTTGTTTCAAAACATGCCTTGGAGGTCGGCTGTTGACTTTGCAAGAACTGACTTTGCAAGAACTGCAGTTCTTGGAAAGTCAAGGTGACACAACTGTGAGATCAAGCAGAAGGACGAAAGCGAATGATGTAGGGTGAGGAGATGGCATCCCTGGCAGCGATGACCTTTTGACCTTGACCAATCATTTGGAATAAGCCCATATTTTTACGCAACCAGATGTGTGCCCTCTTACAAGCCGATGATCCACCCCCCCCCCTCCGTATGTCCAGACGGTGCTGGACAACCGCTTTCTGGATGAGCGTGGCGGCGTCGGGGAGCGTCCCGGAACCTTCCTGGTGCTCAAACTGCGGCTCGTGAACCTGCTGATCGGAGCGCTACAGACGGAGACTGACTCCTGCAACACGCAGATGATACTGGGTCAGTTGGCCCAGGTGGCGCTGCGCCACTGGCGATGCGTGGGTGGCAGGCTAAACTAAACTCTTTAATTTACCAGGTAACGCCCACTGAGCTTATAGAGCTCTATTTTGGAATCGACCTGGCTATCACAAATGATAGCTCAACGAAGTGGCTTATCGTGTGGAAATTTATAGCAGCCAAATACTCTAAATGTGGAGGGAAAAACCGGAGGGACCCAGAGAAAATCCACACCACCATGCAAAATATAAAGAGGGAACATGCAAAATACAAAGGCATTAGAGTTGGGTTCGAACCCACGATCTCCTGTATACCAGGCGAGGGAGTTAACATCTCGCCACCGTGGTGCCATGTGCGAGCCGACACTGGTGGATGCCACGTTGCTGGAGGAGGAGGAGGGTCGCGGGGGAGGAATGTTAAGCGTAAATATTAAATAGAGATGAGCAGTATATATTACATATCACTTGAATATAGAATTTTATTATATATTTTTTATTGGTATCTTGTAGAGTCCTTTATTTAACGAGATGAAGTAAATGTAGTGACATGCATGAAACATCCTCCTTTTGGATGGTGGACCTGCGTAACATGACAAAAAACTAACACGTTCATCAATAACACCGTGGCTTTAAAAGGACAAATATATTACAGGTGACGTTTTGGGCAATTTGCCCTTTGTAGCACATAAATAGAGAGACCAGAGAGACAGAGTGGGTAAGAATGCTTCCACACCATTGCCAATGCAATATCACCAAATTATTTGGGCACCATCAAGACATATATCTGAATGATACCTCAAAGTAATTGCCAAATTGGTATATAAATTACACAAAACATCATTAATTGTTCATCTGTATCTAATTGCACGTCCTTCAGTAACTAGTAGTTTGAATGCATATGCATGATCCTGTGTGTGATGCATCATTAGCAAGGAGGAGGATCTGAATATGGTGGCTTTGACCATATATCCCAGAATGCGTCCAATCTCGTCAAATCTCAGAAGCTAAGCAGTGAAAAAATGAACTTGGATAGTGCTTGGATGGGTGCGGGGCTATGACGTCGGCAGCTGTTCGCAATGTAGGAAACTCAATTGTTGTACTACACTTCTATGCTGTCACGTCTATCCTATTCGCCTTCCCCAATCCCCACCAACCAATTTGGTGACGTATCGTCAAAATAAACCCCTACGGTTTTGGGAGGCCCTCGCCAGCAGTGGATTTACAAAAAGGGCATGTCGATGTGTCATTCTGTAGCCGTGCTCATCTGTTTACCCCATGATTTTTGTGGTTCCCACTTGTGTGCTTCTCCACCCTTCCCGGTCCCCTGTCCGTGTATCAGGCGCCATGCTAAGTATGGTTCAGGATTCCGCGCTGCTGGAAGCTGTGGGCCCACAGACGGAGGTGAGACACTGCTCGGCAGCGGCAGGAACACCGCAGCTTTCTGGAAACCACGGTGTTGCAAATGCGTCAGTCGTGTAGCATGGTTTGGCCCGGGCCCTGGTGCAGGGAGTGAAACGGGGCCACCTCCCTATGCTCTGTCGCTGTGTCCTCCCATTTTACTCCTCCACATGTCGATGGCGCATTTCACACGCACATATAGGCTGGGGGGGATTCGCATTCACAGCCACCCACCTGCAAAACTTGACATGACCGCCATCCCCTGAATTCCCAACAATCTGTAGCCTCCGCCTACACCTGGCACTGCCAGGTCCCCAAGCGTACCGCGAGAGCTATTGACCCTCCTGCCTACCCCAACTCTTCGTAGCCCGGCCCCTCTAGCCTCTCCGGCCCGTGCTTCCCTGGTGCAGTTGCACCACCCGCGCACTCGGAACACAACGCGGTGGCGAGATGTTAACTCCTTTGCCTGGTATGCACGAGGTCGTGGGTTCGGTCCTGTCTCTGACGCCTGTATATTTGGAGTTTGCGTGTCTCTCTCCCTGTGGTCACGTGGATCTTTCTCCGGAACCTACAGTTACTCCCTCCACATTTAGAAATAACATGCTTTTAGAGTATTTGGCTGCAATGAATTTCCACGTGATAAACCACTTTCGTTGAGCTATCATATGTGGCCAGGTGACATCTGAAAAAGAGCTATATATAGCTGAGTGGGCCTTACCTGGTAAAATAAAAAAATAGCCTAAAGTTATTGTAGTTTTATTAGAACGCGACGCCACTGAATCGCGCGCTGTGTCGCGCAGGTCGACGACGCGCAGAGGACACACAGCCGCAACAGCAGCGGCGTGAGCGCGTCGAGCAGCAGCAGCACGGAGGCCGCCACCCCGGAGGGCGACCGGCCCACCCAGGCTATGATGCGGGACTACGGTAGGCGGTGGCACCAGCCTCCGCTGGCCCCGGCCTGGGTCTGGCTACGGCCCAGCCCCGGGCGAAGCACGGCAGGGCCGAGCGGTGCCCGTGACGTCGCTCCACCGACCACGGAGGCACAGTGCGCGGTTATGCTTGGTGCAGGGTGCAGAGCTGCCTATCTTCTTAGCAAAGGAGGGTGCTCTCACTCCCAATCCGTCCCCGTGATAGAGAGGTTTTGGGATGGCCCAGTGTCGCGTTTATACATTGGTGAATGTTCAGATGCAGGTTAATGAAGAGTGTTAAAAGCAGGGTGTTATGGAGCTAGAGTCATTGAAAAGCTGAAATCTGCTTTGTTTTGTTTTTGTTTTGCCACTAAAAGAAAATGCTGTAATGTTTTCTCCATTAATCATTGTAGTTAAGTCGAATTCAGTAGTAACATTCCCAGAAACAAATTAGTCTCATTGCAGCAAAAATCGAAGCTAACTTGCTTAACTCTCAAAACTAGTAAATAGCTGTATCTCTTTCCTTTTAAAAGTCCATTGTAGATGCCATTCATCATGACATTCACTTTCTTTCTCAATCAGATAATTGGGCCAGCATTTTGCGGTTGAGTATAGCAAGCCTCAGTTGTTTGCTTCTTCTTGGATCGTGTATACGTGCTGGTGTGTGCATAATGTGCTTGTATGTGTGGGCGTGCATGCGTGCGTACGTGCGTACGTACGTGCGTACGAACGCACGTACGATGGCTGTGTCTGGCTGCAGATCATATCACAGCCCCTATGTGCAACCAGAATAAGCACCCAGTTTACTGCATTGTCGTCGCATGCTGGGTTGGAATGAAATGCATGCATTTGGAATCCTCTGAGCTGCATTTAGTTAAAAAAAAATCACTTTGAAGAATAATAACACTTTACAATTTTAATCAGGAGTAAGGGCATATGCGTCGCTGCAGCTAATATAATTCACGGGAAAATCTCTCAATTTGAACATTTTGTTACGTTCCTAAACGTTTGCAAAGCATTGCCATCATTACAAAATCAGCCAGGCCAATTTGCTCACAAATATGATGCATTGTAATTACGACTTGACAAACGGAGTACTAATTGTCTGTGCTGTTAATGCTGTGTAATTTGGCACACAGTGTGCCCATTTTAAGTGATGCATATACTGCCCTCCTTACAATAATTATTTGGTGAAATTAACTGAATACGGAGAGGCGGCTTCTTGACCCAGCCAACACTGGGCACCAGGAATAACCACCAACAATGCCCCCTTGAGAAATCACGACACAGCCACACGTGGTTAGGCTGAGTCTGCATCAGGTATGTGCATAAGAAGCCGTCAGATTCCCCTGGATTTTTTCTTGTATATAAATGAGATGATAAAATGAAGAACATGCACCCTAATTCTTTGTGCTATTCCCAGCAGCTTTTGAGGTCCCTTCCCTTTCCTCCCCAAGCCTTGCTCCTTAATGCCTGGCCTCCCCCACCTCCAGCTGCCTGGGATTGCGGTGCTGTGATTCACTGCTTGTATTCCTCTCCCCTCCCTCCCTGTCCCCCCCCCCCCCGGGTCGCCCACCATTCTCTCCCCAGGCTCCCTCCCACCCCAAGGTAAAGTTCAGAGATGAGCGGCTCACACATCTCACAGGGGTCGCACTGGCGCGCTGAACTTTTGCGCGACATTGCGGTTGGCGTCGTTAACAAGGCGGCTCGGCGACTGTTATTTCCCTAAGTGTCGACTTGAACCATTTACCCATGGTGCTTCATGGCAGCGCATAATGAATTTATGTACGGTATTGCGATTGAACGGGGTCCCACATTTCATATGGAGCACCTTCATCAGGAACATCTGCCAATCCAGCAGCATTTGTTTAACAAGCCTGACTCTGTCCAGAGTTTGTTTAAACACATTTTATTGGATAATATCGCCCTGGAAAGGCAATATGCTGATGGAAAAAACGATATATTCACGTGTGGAAACACAGATCGAAGTTCAGTTTACATTGGCTTTTACCCCATGATGCTACACGGAAACGCAAAATGAATTTGCGCCACGTTGGGGGAGGAGTTGAACGCTTCACCCCCCCCTCTCCGTGGTTGCATGCAAGCAAACTCCATTCATATGGTCGCTTAAAAAATCGCTTGCCACTTTTATGCCATTTCTCTACATCGCCTTGCCATGTGGTAGCGGCACAGAGGGTACAGGCACGGTCTACCGTTACAAGTTGTCAGCGGCGTCACAACAGCCGCGTGTTATCGGGCGACTTTTTTTCCCACCAGTGTCCCACCACTGCCTGCCTGCCGGCCGTTTCTGCAAAATCGCCGCACGGTCCTAGACGGTCGTCGTTGCTGTGCGACCCCTGTCGTCGCACGCTCTTTCGCTCGCACCGCTTTTACTTGCATGTGGCTTGTGTGCACCCCCCCCCCCACCCCGGAGGCTTTTTGATTTTTTTTCAGTTTTTCACCGACTTTTGCACTCAGGTAATGATCAGTGGTTTAGCTCTAAAATCATTAGCTCACCTATCAAAACGTTAAACAGGTTTGCACTGTTGTCAGTGGTGCTGGTGATGGGTAAACATTTTGTTGTTGGTCTTTTAACCAGTGTCAGCTTAACAACCGCTGGTGATTAGTTGTTTTAGCTTGTAAAGGTTGTAAAATGAGGAGCGCTTGCATGAGTGAATGAGAAAAGGTTTTCAAGTCCCATGTTTGTAGTCTTGATTAAAAAAAAAAATTGTGCATTTAAAGTTTGCGTTGGCATTGATTGCCTCTTTATTAATATATATAATTTACTTTTGCGACTTGATGAATTGCCTTTGACATTTTAGAGATGTTTTTCCTATTTAAAGTTAGCCTTTAAGTTTGCTTCTATATAAGTGTCAATATACCAGTATACAGTGAGGGAAAAAATCATTTGATCCCCTGCTGATTTTGTACGTTTGCCCACTGACAAAGAAATGACCAGTCTATAATTTTAATGGTTGGTTTATTTGAACAGTGAGAGACGGAATAACAACAACAACATCCAGAAAAACGCATGTCAAAAATGTTATAAATTGATGTGCATTTTAATGAGGGAAATAAGTATTTGACCCCTCTGCAAAACATGACTTAGTACTTGGTGGCAAAACCCTTGTTGGCAATCACAGAGGTCAGACGGTTCTTGTAGTTGGCCACCAGGTTTGCACACATCTTAGGAGGGATTTTGTCCCACTCCTCTTTGCAGATCTTCTCCAAGTCATTAAGGTTTCGAGGCTGACGTTTGGCAACTCGAACCTTCAGCTCCCTCCACAGATTTTCTATGGGTTTAATGTCTGGAGGCTGGCTTGGCCACTCCAGGACCTTAATGTGCTTCTTCTTGAGCCACTCCTTTGCTGCCTTGGCCATGTGTTTTGGGTCATTGTCACACTGGAATACCCATCCACGACCCATTTTCAATGCCCTGGCTGAGGGAAGGAGGTTCTCACCCAAGATTTGACGGTACATGGCCCCGTCCATCGTCCCTTTGATGCGGTGAAGTCCTGTCCCCTTAGCAGAAAAACACCCCCAAAGCATAATGTTTCCACCTCCATGTTTGACGGTGGGGATGGTGTTCTTGGGGTCATAGGCAGCATTCCTCCTCCTCCAAACTCATCTGACCACAACACTTTCACCCAGTTGTCCTCTGATTCATTCAGATGTTCATTGGCAAACTTCAGACGGGCATGTATATGTGCTTTCTTGAGCAGGGGGACCTTGCGGGCGCTGCAGGATTTCAGTCCTTCACGGCGTAGTGTGTTACCAATTGTTTTCTTGGTGACTATGGTCCCAGCTGGCTTGAGATCATTGACAAGATCCTCCCGTGTAGTTCTGTGCTGATTCCTCACCGTTCTCATGATCATTGCAACTCCACGAGGTGAGATCTTGCATGGAGCCCCACGCCGAGGGAGATTGACAGTTCTTTTGTGAATAATCGCACCAACTGTTGTCACCTTCTCACCAAGCTGCTTGGCAATGGTCTTGTAGCCCATTCCAGTCTTGTGTAGGTCTACAATCTTGTCCCTGACATCCTTGGAGAGCTCTTTGGTCTTGGCCATGGTGGAGAGTTTGGAATCTGATTGATTGCTTCTGTGGACAGGTGTCTTTTATACAGGTAACAAGCTGAGATTATGAGCACTCCCTTTAAGAGTGTGCCCCTAATCTCAGCTCGTGACCTGTATAAAAGACACCTGGGAGCCAGAAATCTTTCTGATTGAGAGGGGGTCAAATACGTATTTCCCTCACTAATATGCAAATCAATTTATAACATTTTTGACATGCGTTTTTCTGCATTTTTTGTTATTCTGTCTCTCACTGTTCAAATAAACCTACCATTAAAATTATAGACTGATCATTTCTTTGTAAGTGGGCAAATGTACAAAATCAGCAGGGGATCAAATACTTTTTTCCCTCACTGTATATATTGGCAATTGCATACCATTAATTATTATGGATGTAACAATTTGTCCCTATCATGGTTTGATGAATCGTTATAATTTTGGTGTCGCAATTCTATTCACAAATAATGTGTTTATTCCCTTGAGGTTGTTATGTAGAACCTATAATGGTATAAAACTACAGCACCTGTCATGGTAAGAGTCTATAGAGTTCGTAGTGGAACAACATGCAGTATAAGTAAGAATTGTAATCGATGAATCGTTACATCCATAACAATTGTGTATGGTTCCAGATTGTGTTCGAGACATTGAAGATGCTCTCTTAAGAACTAGCAGGATGGCCCTAGAGGTCAGGGCGATGAACTGGCACCGCTGAGATCCTGGGTTCGAATCCAGGCACTCACCTATGATTAAAACGTGATCTCAAGTGTATAAAGTTGTGGTTCTCAATCTGGTCATATGGGACTGTAAAAATTCAATCTACACTTAATTCGGCTAAATTACAGATCTGAGAATTTTTCAAAAATACATATATATATCTGTTTGACTGTCATGTGATGAACATTGCATGATGGATTTCAGAGGTAGCTCTTTGCTGTCCACTTGTGCGGGGTTGCACTATCCTGCGAGAGATACGAGTGGGTATACGTCGCCTTGCAACATGACACGGATAGTGCAATCGGGCATATATTTGTGGACATTTTTTTTTTTTCCTCCAAATTGTTCAGTGGAGTACGCACGCAGGTAACGACCCGCAACGAGTGAATGCTCCCCATGCTTGTAGCCACATGAATACGCATGTGCTCATTTGTAACCTCTACCCTAACCACCCCCCACCACCGTCGGCGCGTGCGTGCAGACAGCGCTCTGGGCCTGCTGGTGCGCGCCATCCACCTGGTGACGCAGCGCGTGCGCACGCAGTGGAAGGCCGACCTCAAGGTGTCTCTCGCCGCACTGGAACTGCTCTCCGGCCTCGCCAAGGTCCGGCCCCTGGCCCAAATCGTTGCAAGGAAATCGTTTTTTTTTATATATATATATACCGAACGTGTTTTTCAAATGACGTCCCTCGTCCTAGGCGGGCGCGCGTGTGTGTGTCCATCGTTTTTATTTGGAGGCAGTGCGGAGATCCTTCCCTGTTGTATGCATGTACTGGTGTGTTTGTGTTTGTGTGTGTGTGTGTGTGTACGCCAGGGCTGGATTTATGTATCTTTGCACCCCGGGGTAGCAGAGCAGAAAAGACGACCCTTCCCTCTTCCCAATGTCCTATTACACACACAGACACACACAGACCTAAAAGACAATCTCAAACCCATACTTTTCCGGATTTGTTGTGTGACTTACTCGCAAGCCCTGTGGGTGAAGGAGAATGAGCTGGTTCATAGCGATTGAGATGCGGTAGGGTTAATGATTCATAATAGATTTTTACGTTCAGGTGAAAAACGATCTCACTAAATTTAAGAACCCTCCACCACAAGACGCCGTTGTGAATCAAGATTGTCCGCGATAACCTTTGTTAAAGAAGGATTCATCTGAGAATAAGTTTTTCCCATTTTATCTGGCAACAAAACAGCTGTGTTCAGTTGTTAAAACACCAAACTGAAACCTTTTACAAGGAATCATGTCTGCATTAACCACAATACTTGTGGTCAAAATGCAAACAAAAAACATACTCCGATAATGTATGTATTGTCTTTGAAACTGATTGGTCCACACCAGAGAAACTATTTAGATTTTACCAGGTAAGGCCAACTGAACTATATAGCTCTATTTCAGAAGCGATCTGGTCCAAAATTATAGCTCAACGAAGTGGCTTTTATTGTGGACATTTATAGCAGCCAAATACTCTAAATGTGTGATGTGGAGGGAAAAACCGGAGGACCCGGAGAAAAATCCTCGCGACCACAGGGAGAGAGAGAGAACATGCAAGCTCCAAGTATACAGGCATTGTCAGGGTCAGGATCGAAGCCACGACCCCCTGCATACATGTCGTCACCACCTCTGGCCCGGGTGTACACGCGTGGGCAGGTGCGCGTGACCCCCGAGATGGCGGAGAGGCGGCGCGCGGTGAGTGCGGTGTGCGAGTTCATCGTGTTCCAGTGCAGCCGCCCGGCGCCGTTCCACTCGCGGGACCTGCACTCCATGATCGTGGCCGCCTTCCAGTGCCTGTGCGTGTGGCTCACCGAGCACCCGGAGCTGCTCGACGAAAAGGTAAGTGCGTGTGTGTGTGTGTTGGTACGAGTGTGTGTGTGTTGGTACGAGTGTGTGTGTGTGTTGGTACGAGTGTGTGTGTGTTGGTACGAGTGTGTGTGTGTTGGTACGAGTGTGTGTGTGTTGGTACGAGTGTGTGTGTGTTGGTACGAGTGTGTGTGTGTTGGTACGAGTGTGTGTGTTGGTACGAGTGTGTGTGTGTTGGTACGAGTGTGTGTGTGGTACGAGTGTGTGTGTGTTGGTACGAGTGTGTGTGTGTGTGTTGGTACGAGTGTGTGTGTTGGTACGAGTGTGTGTGTGTTGGTACGAGTGAGTGTGTGTGTTGGTACGAGTGTGTGTGTGTGTTGGTACGAGTGAGTGTGTGTGTTGGTACGAGTGAGTGTGTGTGTTGGTACGAGTGAGTGTGTGTGTTGGTACGAGTGAGTGTGTGTGTTGGTGTGAGTGTGTGTGTTGGTACGAGTGAGTGTGTGTGTTGGTACGTGAGTGTGTGTGTTGGTACGAGTGTGTGTGTGTTGGTACGAGTGTGTGTGTTGTACGAGTGTGTGTGTGTGTTGGTACGAGTGAGTGTGTGTGTTGGTACGAGTGTGTGTGTGTGTGTTGGTACGAGTGTGTGTGTGTGTGTTGGTACGAGTGTGTGTGTGTGTGTTGGTACGAGTGTGTGTGTGTGTTGGTACGAGTGAGTGTGTGTGTGTGTTGGTACGAGTGTGTGTGTGTGTGTGTTGGTACGAGTGTGTGTGTGTGTTGGTACGAGTGTGTGTGTGTTGGTACGAGTGTGTGTGTGTGTGTGTTGGTACGAGTGTGTGTGTGTTGGTACGAGTGTGTGTGTGTTGGTACGAGTGTGTGTGTGTGTGTTGGTACGAGTGTGTGTGTGTGTGTTGGTACGAGTGTGTGTGTGTGTTGGTACGAGTGTGTGTGTGTTGGTACGAGTGTGTGTGTGTGTGTTGGTACGAGTGTGTGTGTGTTGGTACGAGTGTGTGTGTGTTGGTACGAGTGTGTGTGTGTTGGTACGAGTGTGTGTGTGTTGGTACGAGTGTGTGTATGTGTGGCAGCGTAGTGGTTAAGTCACGACGCTACGAACCAAGCAACCGGATTCGATTTTTCGCTCATGAGCAATGTCGGTACTCGAGCTCCTCTAGGTCGACTCAGTACTAAATGAGTACCTGGTGCGGTGTATAAACACGAGTACTGGGGATTACCAAGGTGGGCAGGCTCTTCTTTTACAAACACTCCAGTTTTACTCTCGCACATGTGTTTTTTTCCGTGTGTCTGTGCGCTACTGAGTCTCCTCGCTTTCTCCGACAGCCTAATTGATGTTAAACAGGGGGTGGCTGCGAGTGGGTGATTAATCAGTATTGATGAACGCGTAACGCTGCTGCTGCTGCTGCTACAAGTGCGGAACATCTTGTCTCAAGGAGTCCTCAGTGGCACGGCTCAGTGCTGACACCGTACGAAGTGCCAAGTGTTTGGAACACCGCGTTTGGGTTCTCGAGTCCTTGGCCCAGCGTGTCGAGCAGCTCCTCTGAAGACAATCGCGTAGACCATCCTTGAGCACGTGTTGACGGTGCAGCATCTGATCGTTAGGCGTTTCTTATTGCGCTATTTTCCGTAAACTAGCGTGCGCCCGCGTCATAAAAATTACGCATTTTGAAGCTCTGTGTTTGTACGAATTACAGTAAAAATTCATTACCATTTTTACGAGTTTTTGTCAACTTTTTTGTCTTGTAAATTCATCACCGCTGCAATTTTACGCTGAACTTTATTTTATACGCGTTGCTCCTTGGCGATTAGTTATTTGCTCTGACACAGGCTTAATAACGAGTTGTGGGCGTGCGCTAATGAGGGTATGATTGATTTCAGTGATGGCAGGGGGGCTGGGGGCAGGGCGACTACCTGCAGCCACTTCTTGGTTTTATTGGCTAACGTGTTCCTACATGTAAACGACACACGAGGCTGGCGCAACCTCAAACTTCTGTTGTCTCACATTACATCACGTCTGCCTGGTAGGCGCGTTTCGCTTGCAATAATTATTTTCAGAAGTTGGCAAGGGCTGAGATAGGCTGCACAGCGCATATCGATAATGTGCGTCTGTGTTTATGTGTGACCTCCACCGCATGGCCAAAAAGCTTCTATTTGACCGGATAGAGTGGGCTAAATGGGTACGTCGCAGACGAGAGAGCAGATGGGTTGATATGGTACAGGAGCACTTATTGCGAAGTGCACTACTTACCCATAACTGGTATCTGCAGCGAAAAGATGGGTCTGTGCAGGAGGCTTGTGAAGTACACTACTTGGCTGTTGGGAGGCAGCTGCTCTTCAACAATGGTGGCGGACAGAGGAGCGACGCTTAGAACGAGCAGAGCGCAAGGCAGCTCAAGTTGAGACAATCAGGAGCACTTTTGGGGCATCTGCAGTCAACCACATGGGTCTGTCCCGGGACCTCCTGCCAGCGAGCCTCAGAATGCACCTCTCGTGGCACAAGTGCCGGGGAAACATCGTCGTAATTTATTGGTGAGATGCCAACTGTTGTTGTTGCTGTTGCAGGAATGTTTGTGGGAGGTGCTGGAGATTGTGGAATTGGGCATTTCGGGCAGCAAGTCTCGCTCGTCCGAAGGGGAGGTGACCTGCAAGGCGGAGAAGGAGCAGAACCCGGCTTCGCTTCGCGTCAAGGAAGCAGCAGAGGCCACGCTCACCTGGTACTGCAGGGGCCGCCCTCTCTGCTCGGGCTCTGGGTGGCCGGGCGACGTGGTGGCTGTGATCCAAGCTGCGTGTTTACCTGTTTGCAGAATTGAGGGTTAAATTGATTTAATTGGTATTGCACCAGGCATTGCTATATCCTATATCCCCTCGTTATTCGCGGGGGATACGTTCCGGAGATGCTTGTGGACAGCAAATTTCGCGGATAATGATGCTGGCCTGCGAAAAGCCATCTATTTAATGAATTACCTTAAATATATATGTAAATAAGCTATTAAATACATGAAAATTATAGTAATAACATTTTTATCTCATCACTTTATCTCTCATCACTTTATCTCATCACTTCTTCTCTCTCGATGGAGTCATGTCGAGTTCGAGATGCGATTCGCGGATAGCCAAAATCGTGGATGGCGAGTTCGTGAATGACAAGGGAATACTGTACTGACAATATTGAATTGCAATTACGCCCGGCGTTCTGTCAAGCGGTCGCGCAGAGGGCTTGCATTACCAGTACGTCATTAAATAAATAAAAAAGTTATTGAACTGTACTGGCGCAGTGCTACTTGAGCACAAAGCAGAACACTACAGAAGAAGATAAAGCAGAACACTCCAGAAGAAGATAAAGCAGCCGATGTTTTGTGCAGTCGGCATTTTTGTTTTTACAGGAGAGACGGCAGAGATAGGATTGTCAAAAAAGAGAAATTTTACCGGCTTCATAGTTGGAGATCGCACCTTTTGAAAACGGCGATACCCAGATTTACATCTCCCCCTTTTACGTTGTTTTGCAAAGTACGTCATCACTTTATTCTTAACACCAGATAAGCGTCGCTTCAACCCGCACACTCGTGTCGCTGACAGCATCGTCGTCCGTCCTTTCTCGTTATCCGTCGCCTCTCAGCGTCCACCTCCACCACCCTACCCTGTAAATCGCTTTGACATCATTTTGATATTCGTCGTCGCACATTTTAGGAATGCATCCCCTATGTAAACCGGGGTATTGCTTGTAACGAAACTACCGTCAGGTGCTCTAATCCCTCGCAACTCAGATTGTAAGGTGCGAAAGAAGTTCAACATACATCATGATCATCATCATCACCACAATCACCGTCACCACTACAATCACCGTCACCACCATCCTGATTATCATCATCACGATTGTCGTCATCACTGCCACCCTGATCATGACGATCATCGTCATCATCACCACTCATTACAGTGAGGGAATAAAGTATTTGATCCCCTGCTGATTTTGTACGTTTGCCCACTGACAAAGCAATGATCAGTCTTTAATTTTAATGGTAGGTTTATTTGAACAGTGAGAGACAAAATAACAACAAGAAAATCCAGAAAAACGCATGTCAAAAATGTTATAAATTGATTTGCATATTAGTGAGGGAAATACGTATTTGACCCCCTCTCAATCCGAAAGATTTCTGGCTCCCAGGTGTCTTTTATACAGGTAACGAGCTGAGATTAGGAGCACACTCTTAAAGGGAGTGATCCTAATCTCAGCTTGTTACCTGTATAACAGAAGCAATCAATCAGATTCCAAACTCTCCACCATGGCCAAGACCAAAGAGCTCTCCAAGGATGTCAGAGACAAGATTGTAGACCTACACAAGGCTGGAATGGGCTACAAGACCATTGCCAAGCAGCTTGGTGAGAAGGTGACAACAGTTGGTGCGATTATTCGCAAATGGAAGAAACACAAAAGAACTGTAAATCTCCCTCGGCCTGGGGCTCCATGCAAGATCTCACCTCGTGGAGTTGCAATGATCATGAGAACGGTGAGGAATCAGCCCAGAACTACACGAGAGGAGCTTGTCAATGATCTCAAGGCAGCTGGGATCATAGTCACCAAGAAAACAATGAAGGACTGAAATCCTGCAGCGCCCGTAAGGTCCCCCTGCTCAAGAAAGCACATATACATGCCCGTCTAAAGTTTACCAATGAACATCTGAATGATTCAGAGGACAACTGGGTGAAAGTGTTGTGGTCAGATGAGACCAAAATGGAGCTCTTTGGCATCAACTCAACTCGCCGTGTTTGGAGGAGGAATGCTGCCTATGACCCCAGGAATACCATCCCCACCGTCAAACATGGAGGTGGAAACATTATGCTTTGGGGGTGTTTTTCTGCTAAGGGGACAGGACAACTTCACCGCATCAAAGGGACGATGGACAGGGCCATGTACCGTCAAATCTTGGGTGAGAACCTCCTTCCCTCAGCCAGGGCATTGAAAATGGGTCGTGGATGGGAATTCCAGCATGACAATGACCCAAAACACACGGCCAAGGCAACAAAAGAGTGGCTCAAGAAGAAACACATTAAGGTCCTGGAGTGGCCAAGCCAGTCTCCAGACCTTAATCCCATAGAAAATCTGTGGAGGGAGCTGAAGGTTCGAGTTGCCAAACGTCAGCCTCGAAACCTTAATGACTTGGAGAAGATCTGCAAAGAGGAGTCGGACAAAATCCCGCCTGAGATGTGTGCAAACCTGGTGGCCAACTACAAGAAACGTCTGACCTCTGTGATTGCCAACAAGGGTTTTGCCACCAAGTACTAAGCCATGTTTTGCAGAGGGGTCAAATACTTATTTCCCTCATTAAAATGCAAATCAATTTATAACATTTTCGACATGCGTTTTTCTGGATTTTGTTGTTGTTATTCTGTCTCTCACTGTTCAAATAAACCTACCATTAAAATTATAGACTGGTAATTTCTTTGTCAGTGGGCAAACGTACAAAATCAGCAGGGGATCAAATGCTTTTTTCCCTCACTGTATCACCACATCGTAATCATCATCAATAATTAATTTCTTTAGAGCTGCTTTTTTTGCTTAATTTGTTCTTCCCCCACACCGTCGATTAGCACAGTTGCCTATGTATGGTGCAAAAAAAGTTCAATATACATACATAAGAGACCCACAGGCTCGCATAGCTTGAAATCGAATTCATTTAGAACAGTTTTTTGTGATTAGTTAGTTTGTCTGGACCCCTGCACCTCCGATTATCCCGGTTTGTTTACGTACGGTGCGAAAGAAGTTCCACATACGTACGTACGTACGTCTTCGCTTTGCAGCGTGATGCAGCACCTGGGCGCCTTCCCGGCTCCGAGTGGCGCCGCGTCGCTGTGCAGCCTGCTCAAGGAGGAGACGCTTTTGCGGCAGGCACGTGGGGGCGATGGCGGCGGCGGCGGCGGCGGCGGCAGCCCCGGCAACGCGGCCGTGGAGGCCGTGCCCCCGCACGCTCACTTCCGCTACTTCGTGCTCGACAACAGCGTGGTGCTCGCCATCCTGGAGCAGCCGCTCGGAAACCACCAGAGTGAGGCCCCCTCGCGACAGTGAAACGGCGTGCACGTGTGACGCTCGCGTCGTCTGCGAACGGATTCGGCAGGATGTTGTTGTTTGCGCGCGTCTGTCTGTGTATTCGTCTGCCAATGTGCGTGTCGTGACGATTATCCGAACCGGTCCTGGGCCTCCCCTAGGTCGATTCAGTTTCAAATGAGTACCTGGTGCGGTGTGTAGTAAACATCGCCACTAGGGAGGCAAAGGTGGCCGGGCGTAGTGCTGGCCATCCACCCCCTCGTGTGCTCGCAAACAGCACTTGCCCCACAAATCTCTTAAGGCTATATAGGGGATCTTTGTCTTCGCGTACCCATGTGGGGGGTGATGCATAGTGGTTTGTATACTGCACTGTGAAACCCGAGACCAGAGTTTGATTCCCAGCCATGGCTAAAATCAGTTGCAAGTGATGTCAGAACAAGTCCTGGGCCTCCTCTAAGTCGACTCAGCCTTAAATACGTACTTGCTGTAGTGTGTAATCATCCGAGCTGGACAGACCAAGGCTGTTGGGCGCGGTGCTTGTCATACCACCCCGTCGTGCACCACGCCATAAACTATTCGGCGCTCCCAAACGGCACTTGTTCCAACAGTCTGTTGAAGGCTATATGGGGTATCTTTGTCTTTAGCGTGTGTGCGCGTGTACGTACGTGTGGGTGCCTCGGACCTCAGCAGATCCCTGCCCAACGGTGACGGTGCTGATCCGCGGGCTGGGCGGGCGGCATGCGTGGACCTTGCAGCTGCGACAGCAGCCCCGGGACTGCCCCGTCGTGCTCAAGGTACGACTCGGAGTCTTTTTATTCACACCGGAGGAATCCGATGAGCTATGAGATGGGATGTAAGTTGCTTGTCGCTTGCAAAGCAACTCTGAAACGGCCCGGGTCATGTAAGATTCCCACTCAAAACAAGTAATTATAATAATTGTTAGAATGGCTCTAATCAAAATGCATTCATGAAAGTCGAATAACTCACGGTTTCCTAAGAAAGATGTTTTTGTTTCTGAAACGGTTGATACCGACACTGTGTGCTGTGATCAGTGCATTGCTTTACAGAATCAGAATCTTTATTGCTACTGGAGGAATCCGATTAACTATAAAGCTCTTTTTCACAGATTTCCAGTAGGGGCACAGGGTCAGAACGTTACAACAACAAATAGTGCAAATACATGATAAGAGTGCAAAGTATAGGAAAGGTAAACAAATCACTTGTTAAGAAATATTTTTTATCTCACCAGGCAAAGCCCACTGAGCTATTAGCTTCTTTTTCAGAAACCATCTGACCACGAATGATCGCTCAATGAAGTGGCTTATCATGTGGACATTTATAGCAGCCAAATACTCTAAATGTGTGATGTGGAGGGAAAAACCAGAGGACCCGGAGAAAAATCCTCACGAACACGCGGAGAGACAGAGAGTACACGCAAACTGCAAGTATATAGGCATTTGTCAGGGTCGGGATCGAAGCTACGACCTCCTGCATACGAGGCGAGGTAGTTAACATGTTGTCACGCCTAAACACATGTTTCTAGATGCATGTGTGAGCTTAAGCGCCTCGGGCTACAAGAACAAGCACCCACAGGCACGCACAGCCACTTGCTGGCAACGTCTGCTGTGCAATACACCCCTTTTCCACTGGCTCTGTCGGCCAAGCAGGTCTAGCGCGGTGCTAGTGTGGATGTGTTCATTGTTTGTGATGTTGGCGACAAACAACGGCTCGGCTTCTGCGGCGGAAACGCAACCCGGGTCGCTCGCTGTGCCGCGCCGATGCTGACTCGGTACAGCCGTGGCGTGGCGCGGTTGTGCATTGGGAAAGAGGTATCGGGAGCACAGGAACGCGTTTCGTTGTGGTGCGAGTACAGCCCTTCGCGACGGAGAACCGACCGGCGCCGCTGGCAAACGTGGGCACTCGATACAACGTGAAGCACCGCGTGTTCCCCGAGGAGGTGGACAAGATCCCCTTCGTGAAGGCTGACTGCAGCATCCCCGACCTGCCCGACATCATCAACGAGCAGGTCGGCACGGGAACGCAGCCACCGCCGTGACGCAAAGCTCCATTCGACCCTCTCCCACCTCCGCTTCTCTATCCCCGTAGTCCAAACACAAGCTAATAGACGTATATATCACACGCTTTTACCTCTGAACCTCGGAGATACGCCCTGTGTGCCGGAGCAGATGGCGCTGCAGCAGGAGAAGCTGCGCAAGCTGATGGAGCAGCAGATGGCGTACGAGGCGGACGTGACGCACGCGCGGGAGCGGGCGCAAGCGTCTGTCGAGTTCCCCGACCCGTCCACAGAGTGCCGACTGCCACAGCCATCACAGGACTTCCAGACGGCACGCCTCTTCCTCTCCCACCTTGGCTTCCTTTCGCCGGAAGCGCTCAAGGTGACAGAACCGCAGTTCGCTCCAGGGAAACAGTTGTGCAATGCGTTAACCCCAAGTACAGCGTTTCTCCATAGCAGCGTACCTGGTTATCATGTGCGCAGTAATTCTTGAGTATTATTTTTTTGTTCAGCCTGGCAGCAACCACATCAGTTACTGTTCGGTATTTCCTCTGCTGACCCAACGGTCAGTGCATTATGTACATGTGTGCGTTCTGTATTTGTATGTGTGTATAGGTGCTGACACTACACTTGGGTTGTCAAGTGTAGGTTGCCAATTACAGCACAACAAAATCGTATTAAGTTTGGTTCTGCAGTTGATCCTTATGGTGGTACCCCGGGGTACCAAATAATACAAAATGGCCGAGGCAATTAAATATATTACTTCTGGGACACTAATTTTTCCAGGGGTGTACTTAACTCCGTGACTGGGGTACCATCGCGTGCTATTCTGCGATGTCGAAATGCAGCGTGGAAGATTGCGCCGAAACCCTGAACGCTCGTACGCACCGTAGCGGTGCATCATCGTGTACAGCTCGTCGAGATGAGTCGACTGCCGCATCGCCGGCCATCAACAGAGACTAAAAATGACTGCATCACGGACATTGTGCGAGAGCCGGGGTACTATGGTACCCCGGGGTACCGCCATGAGGTTCACTTGGCTAAATTCCAGCTCTGACAATTCTAAATATTGGATGTGATTGCCATGCAACGAATATTACTTTGCAGCAGAGCAGGTGCTGCCCCTTACCCTGTTGCCCAGAGGTCACTTTAAGAGGTCACAGAAGCGGTTTTCGTGACGTCCGCTTCTGCGAGCCGCTTCAATTGCCGAGGGTGCTCTGCTCTGCGAGAGATCCGAACGGATTCCTTGTCTGATGACCTCACAGCGATGGCACAATGAGGGTAACATTTCGGAAGAGAGAAAAAAAATATCTGCGCCTGTGCGTGTGTGTGCGCATATACATTTTCCATGTGCATGCGTGCGTGCGCGCGACAGGAGATGGGCGCAAGCAGGATGCCACCCACCTGGTGGGCGCTAGACCAGACGATGCCCGGATTCCTCGAGGACCTGGCCTTGCTGGACGCTCTGCCCTCGCGTCCGTTCGACACGGTCTTCATCTTCTACGTGCGCGCGGGCCAGCGCATGCCACGCGAGGTGCCCTCACGTTCACACACCGAACCCTTTTTGGCCCCACATCAAAGGAAAATTAATCCCGCAGAGGAAAGTGTAATTGTCACGTAGTTTTTTTGTCTCGGCCGTGCGCGACTCGCGACTGTGAAGCTGTGGTGATCAGAACTAACAATTGCAGTCACATGTGTCATTGTGGCACTCTCTTGACATGGCTTCCGTTTGAATGTCAATATAGTGACATGACTGACTGTAATAATGTAATAATGACAGTAGATTTTTCTCTTTCCCCAAGATCTGTCTCTTTCGTTAATTTTATCACATTTGTGCAATCTGCATGAGGTAGTTCCATAACTGTGACATTGACCATTTGCAAGAGAGCGAAGGTTTTTTTTCCCACGTTTTTGCGTCGTATCTTCCTCGAAACAAAATCCTACGCGTAGAGACCTGTACGTATTCGCCATCTGTTGGAAAGTCCACTCGATATATTTAAAACTCTCAACGAGGAAGTCGCACATTTTTGCACGGGGGGGATGGGCGGCTACCTACCTCACGGTTACATGGACGGTGCGTTCCACCCGCCTCCAGATCCTACGCAACGTGGACAGCGCCACCTCCGTGCAGCCGCACTTCCTGGAGCTGCTGGGCTCGCTGGGCTGGCCGGTGCAGGTTGGGCGGCACCCGGGCTGGACCGGCCACGTCACCTCCAGCTGGCACATCGCCGGCGGCAGTTACGGCGGGGAGGACGGGGACGGAGACGGAACGTCGCCCGTGGGTACGCGGAGCGGCGGCGGTAGCCGAGATAGGAGGTGTCGGGACGTGCCGGGAGTGTCCTCGATATCCCGGGATAATTCATGGATGGGGGGTACCCCCGGTGTTTATCCGTTTTTCTTAACAAAATAAACCGCGTTATATACATGGATGCAAAATGCATCCCTTTTTGCAGCGTGCAATGTTATTTATGCTGACTGGCTTTTAATGTTTATATGTGATTTATAAGAGTTATCTAAAGGAAAATAAAAAAAATGTATAAATACATGACACTGCGGAATATCACAAGCCACTTCTGGAACCCACAATCCAATGCTTGAGCAGTTGCTCTCAAGTACGGCACTAACCTGGCACTGCACTGGCGCGTGCAGTTTTCCGCTCAGCGTGGAGACGCAGCTAACAACAAGCCAGCATCGCTTTGCACGCCCTTCAGTTTTTGATCTTCAAGTGTGAATGTTATAAACCGCCCCCGTTCATTACATGCGGCACAAATGAGATCGAACCGCGTTATTTTGAGGACGCACGGTTTTTCCGGCTTGAAAATCCCCCCACTACACACCGCGTGGATGGCCGTACGCGGCCGTTTTGCCCTCTGACTCGTTCTTTCAGACGAGCCGGTCATGACGGAGGGCAGCGGCGGGGGCGTCTTCAACGGAGACCGCAGGGTCCTCTACTACGCCGACGCGCTCACCGAGGTGGCCTTCGTGGTGCCCTCACTGCCCGCCTCCGCGGGTGAGCTAAGGGGAACGCGGCCGGATGTACCGTGGCAGGGGGGAGGGGGGTGTGGGCGTGTTTGGCTGGAGCAGCGTTGGAGAATATTTTCATTGCCAAGGGCCAACTAGGACTTAATTACCCTTTCCCCATTCCGATGACGCACGTGTACGTACGTTGTACGTCACTGAAGACGTACCGGGGCTCCCACGTGTGGAACAGTTTTTGGCACCAGCTATCATAGAGCGCGGTCGTGTCACTATGGTTATTTGCGGTGAGTACAATGCCTTTACAGACAACGGCGCAACGCCTCTCTAAGTAAAATATACGTTGAACCACTTGCGCGTTTCGAGACTCAGCGGTGAACGAGACCACACACTGCAACTTTTAGACGTCTCGGCACGGGAAAGGGTTCATTACCCTTTGGTGGGCCACACGTTCACACAAACACACCTCAGTCGCGTCTGTCCCTGCAAAAGGCGCTTGCAGTGACAGAAGTGACTGAGCACGTTAATATTAGAAACACTGTGTTGTCATGCTCTTTTGGTTCTTTCGGTAAAGTCACGTAGGTATAAAAATTTAAATTAAAATAATTTCTTGCTGTGGTTTTCCCACCTGATGATGATTGCTTGTGTTGCGATTGAAACGTCGTGATTTAATTTTTTATATATATACCTACGTGGCTTTACCGAAATAATCAAAGAGTATGGATCCCTGCAGTCACGAAAACTTCAAATCTAGACTGTGTTGTCAGTTTTAAAATATTCCCCTCTGGTACCCGACGAGTATCCCAGATGCTTGCAGTGATGAATAAATATCATTTGTGAGTTGTTTGAAGGTGGTAGGCTGCATGTGACCCTTATTATTTGAAGTTACTGGCCCTAGCTTCTCCATCCCTGGGTTATAGGAAAGGAAGATTGTGAACAATGCATCCATTTCAAAGCATGACACACACATCAAAAGACCCACTAACCCTGTCTTACCTTCATAGGGCGACCTCTCGAAACGGGGAAAAGGAGCCTTTGAGTCTCCTCGTGGCTTATATGGCAGGTGGCTGTAAGGAGCACTGACATGAGTAACCCGTTGTAGTGTGTACACACCAACAGTGGGGAGACAAGGGTGGTGCTGGCCACACACAACCCCCTTCCCCGTACGTTGGCGTTGTGCCGGCTTTTATCGGTGCTCGCGAATCGCTACACGGGGGAAGACCTTTTTGGTTGTTTGTGTTTGCATCATGTGCAGATCCCGCAGCCGACCCACAGCTGTTGGCCCTGGACAACGAGGCCAACCAGGAGTTTCTGGCAAAGGTGCTGAAGCAGCACTCCCTGAGCCTGGAGCTCTTCCCAAGCCAGAACGATGGCCCCAACGCCAACCAGCAGGTGGCGTCTCCAGCACCCGCCATTCACACACCGCCCTTTCTCAACTAAATCTGTCTTTTTTTAATTTACCAGGCAAGGTCCACTCAGCTATGTAGCTCTTCTTTCAGAAGCAACCTGGTGATCACAAATGATAGCTCAATAACGTGGCTTATGATGTGGAAATTTATTGCAGCCAAATACTTTGAACGCATGTTGATTCTAAATGTGGAGGGAAAAAACGGGGGACCGGGAGAAAAATCCACGCGACCATGGGGAAAGAGATCATGCAAACTCCAAATATACAGCATGCATCAGGGTTGGAATCGAACGTAGGACCTCCTGTATACAAGGGAGGTAGTTAACATTTGAAACGGAACAGCAAAATGAAACGGTCATAAATTCTGCCTTGCCCGAAGGTGCCATTCACCCCAGCGTTCCATAGTCCCGTATCTCACGCCCTGCCGCGGCACGACTTTTGCGGATGTGTGCGTGCGTTGCGTAGCAATGGAATTTGAATTTCAATGGGGGTTAATGCCTGTGATGGATGATCACCACGAACAAGCAGGTTGCCATGTACGGCTGTGGGTGCAATGTATGTTGAACTTGTTTTGCACCATACGTAGCCAACTGTGCTAATCGGAGGTAGGGGGGAAGGGACAACAATTTGGTGGGCAGTGGAGGGCAATGTGGCAAAGCCCATTATATTTTTACACATCTATGCCCACCCCCTCCGCCTTCACCAACCCCCGTACGTCAAGATGCTGGTCAGTGCGGATTGGTTGAAAGCGAGGAGCATAGACTGAGATCTGTTTGAGATCGAGCTCCTGCCATGTAAGTTGCTTATAGACACGTGATGATTTCAGTACTGTAAAATAAATTGATACTAGAAACACTGAAAAATTGTTCGCAGTTACTCGCTTAACTTGACATTTAAATGCCGGTCTCTTGCTTCATCGATAAGAATGTATGTATGTATGTGGAACTTCTTTCGCACCATACTTCGCTAATCGGAGGTGTGAGGGAAGGACAACAAATTATAACACAAAAATCAGTTCTCAAGAAATTATGGTAGTTTTCAATATAGATTTAAAAGTGCATAGTTCCAGTGGCTTCCTAATATTGGAAGGAAGAGCATTCCAGACGGCCGTGGAAGCGCATCTGATAGCGCGCGATCCGGTGGACCGTCTTTGTTCGATGGCTAGGGAAAAGCCGCTGCGAGGATGACCGCAGTTTGCGTGATGGTTTGTGACCCTTGACGAGATCGGCAATGTAATTGTGGTTCATTTGTGGAAGGCAGTTTGTGTGTGTAATGAGTGTGAAAAGGTAGTTCTACGCTTGCACAGCTCTTCAGATGAAGACGTTTTAGTAGAGAAGTGACGTCGCGAGCGGGGCGAGGTGGTGGTGGCGGCGGCGGGTACCCGTGCCCGCACCACACGCGCTGACACGCAACCCAATGGGCGGTCGGCGCTGCCTGTCTGGTTTGCAGGGGAGTTTGAACGGACGGATAAAGAAGTCCGCGTTGGGGCGGCCCCTTCCCCCGCTGGGGCCTGAGACCAAGGTCATGGTGGTGTGGGTGGAAAGCTACGACGACATCGGTGAGCGATGGAGGAGAGAGTAGCCTCAAATTAGACCAATTGCGCTGCGTCGTGCTGTTGTTCTCGCTGTAAGCGAGAATCCATTAAAGCGGCATAGCCGCGTGACTTTATCCAATTCGTATGCTGCTTGAATTGTATTTGTAAAAACAAAAAAAAATCGCTAATTGTATTAATGTTTCCTCCACTTATGCTGCCACATAATGTAAATCGGTGCACTTGAATGGCCATTATTTCATTGAACAGGAAACGATGTTTTCAGTTGTTTTGCCGCAAATAATAATAATTAATCCAATCTTCTCGCGCGCACACACACACACAAATGTTCGACGGACGCATTTCAACCCAGCGATGTTTGCCTTTGAACAAATGGCTTCCGCCCCTTGACACTCTGTTGCAGAGAATTTGCCGCTATCGGAACTGCTTCAAGAGACAATAACGGGGATGGAGGCGCCTGTCAACAGCAGCACCTCCGTCAGGTCCGTGTACGTGGGCAGTTGGTGGGTCCATGCAGAATCAGAATATTTATGCTGGAGCACTCCGATGAACTATGCAGCCAGTGGCTACCTGTCACGAGTAGCTGGTCAACTTCCAGTCCGAGTAGTCAGAATCAGCAAGAGAATCGGGCTCAGAATCAAAGTACAGTCCGTTTTGCTCGAAGGCGTGTTTTCACAGAGCGGATTGGATATAACGCGATTAATGTTTTAGGGAACTCGTTTTTTTAATAACGCGTATGCGAATTGTATATTGCGTGATTAAGTGAACGGAACTACGTCGCGCGAGTAGGAATAGGCGGTTGTACGGCTGCCTCGGCGTAGCGTCGCACGAGGTGGGATGCTGCTGGATGTTTCTAGGTGCTACCCACGCACCTGTGCAGCCTGCATACGCATCTCACGTGTTATCGCGGACTGTGCTTTATCCTGTATCATATATTATTTATTATAACGCGATTTTTCCGTAACACGGTGTTCTTCAGGAACGCAACTACCGCGTTTAGAAGAGAACAGACTGGAGTTGGTTTCAGCAGCGCTTGGTAGCTGGAACAGTCCAAAAACGCCTTTTTTTTCCCCCATAATTATTTTGTCAGCCACATCCATCTTGCCTTATATTGTCAAAATAATCTTAAGATTCCTATTTGAAGGATTATAGGAATATAGGAGCACAATAATATATGGTTATATAATATTACTCTAGTTATATTGCTTTACAACGATAATCCCTACCCAAGCCAGGTTCGCAACGTTCCATGAAATATCGAGTGACAAATTAAGCCCTCCTTGTAGGCATACAACGATGATTACGTTCCCGATTACATTTAATGCTTACACTCGTGACACATGCGTCGAATGGAGCGTGAATAATTATAAATGTTATTTTGCATTCATATGCGTTGTGTGAAATGTATTCCCATAGGGACCTGCAGCCCGTAAAGATTCTACACGCACCACATTGGGGGAAAAAATAACCGGTTCTTGAAATGAATCACGACAATTAGCAAAGGGGGCGATTGAGGGACGTATGACATGAAAAATACTCGTAAAACTTCTCGCGTGACGTCAGTTCGATCTGCAGATTCATTTGCATTTTGTAATTGTTCATTGTAATTTTTTGCGAAAATATTGCCTTGGGTGAAGCGGCGCTGCAGTAGTTAGCGCTGTGCACTATGAGCCAGGCAACATGGGTTCGATTCCCAGGCACGACTTGACACGAGTGACAAGTTATATTTCAAGCAATCCACCAGCAGCAGATTGAAAAGACGCTGTAAGAAGTTGCCCCGGGTTGTGGGGTTGAACCGCGCGGCCGTGCGTATGTACTCCAGGTCTGCGTCTCCGGACAAGGAAGTGCCGGTGATCTTCATCCACCCGCTGCGCACCGGGCTGTTCCGTGTGCGCCTGCAAACCTCCTCCAGCAAGTCCACGATGGCCATCCCGCTGGTGGACGGCATGGTGGTCAGCCGCCGGGCCCTTGGTGTGTGCTCGCGCCAGTATTCCACATTCACACGTTCCGTTGGTTATTGCCAAATCAATTTTGTAATTGTCCGTGTCGTGTACTGCGCATGTCTCCCGTCGTGTGCGACTGTGGTCATCCACAATATCCCACACAACGTATCATGACGCAATGCCCCGATCCACAAACACGAAGGAGACGTCAGAGCGATACGCTCTGCTACTCCTGACGCGGTTATCTGGCTTGACCACCTGAATGTGAAATTGCAGTTGCTGCTCTGCATCCTACGTCAGCCATACGAAAGAAGAAGACTGCGCATAGACATTCCCGCGAGTTTTCTAGATTTGAAGTTTTCGTGACTGCAATGATCCATACTCTTTGGTTCTTTCGGTAAAGTCATGTGGGTAAAAAATAAAATAAAGTTAATCAAATCACGACGTTTCAGAAGCAACACAAGCCTCCGTCATCAGGTGGGATATAGTCACAGCTGTAGTGTAGTGGACTACAGAAAATTACTTCTTGCTGTGACTATCCCACCTGATGACAAAGTCATCAGGTGGGATAGTCAAAGTCATCAGGTGGGTGGAAATGTCGTGATTTGATTAACTTTATATTTTTTTTTTACTTACGTGACTTTACCGAAAGAACCAAAGAGTATTCTCGCGAATTGTTTTAACGCTGATTTACACTCACAACTCCATCTAATCCTCATATCTCCAGTTATTTCTCTCGTTTAATAAATTACAGACGTTCCGTCGTACATTGCAGTACACTTCAATGTCTGTGGAGTTGTAATGGTTGACACGGCTTGTGTGCGAAGCATCAGTGCTGCTCACCGTCTCCAACTTTTATTTTATTCTTATTTTTATGTTCTATATGGTTGCCTTGTACGGCATCTTGAAATGCTTTTTTAGCAGCTGTAAGCAATAGCAATTAAAATTATCATTGTTAGGGTAAAGGGTGTACAGAAACTTGACCTATTTATTTTATAGTGACAAAAAAAGAGGCAGTAAATCATAGCCACAGCAGAGAAGGAAAGTCTTGGGTCTTTTACGTGTGTACAGCTTCTGTTTGTGGGACACAGCAATTTGGCAATTAGCACGGTTGGCTGTGTACGGCGCGAAAGAAGTTCAACGTACGTGCACTCGCTTACGTAATAATCCTTCTTCGCATTCTCTCGCCGTGTTCTTGGCCGGGGCAGGCTCGTTGGTGCGGCAGACGGCCGTGAATGCGTGCCGCCGCAAGCGCTTAGAGAGCGACGCGTACAGCCACCCGCACGTGCGGCGCAAGCTCAAGATCGCCGAGCTCGTCGCCAAGTACCGCAGCCGGCTCATCGAGCCCGAGTTCTACACCTCGCTCTTCCAGGGAAGTCGGGATATAGCCCCCCCCCCCCCCCCCCGAGCACAAGCAGCGGCAGGGAGCGCGAGCAGAGGTGGGCGAGGTGGAAGTGATTGGCGGCTGCCACTGAATTTCCTCCGCGCTCCATCGCGCGTCTTTCAAGGACTGTGACTCTGGCGTGGCTGGGCGAGACGGAGAACCCTCGGTGTCATCCATCTGGGTGGGGTGAGATTGGCTTTGGCGTACGCGTCGTGACCGATGACGCAGCTCACAGCGAGGAGCCAGATGCGCCTCCCTTCCACGCACGCAGCACGCGAAACGAATGTTTGGAATAAGAGCGCGGAGTTCAAGAATGTGGTTCTGTCCGAAAGTGGTCCACCGCTGCTGTCGGTGCTGGGGAGCAGGGAATGGGCAGGTGTAGACGGGAGAGGGCGTTGTTGATGAAGCACAACACTTCACCACACGGGCCCTAGCACCCGCACACTCTCCCCTGCCCTGACTACCGCCTCGGGAGATGCACTCGCCCCACAACGCTTTGTCATGCACGAGACAAAGGCACTCCGTTGTCTGATCAACCGTGAGGCTCGGGGAAAATTATTTCCCACCGCGCCACACCGTCCACACACCCAGCGGCTGTCGCGTCTGTTACGGGATCATGTCGGCGGATTAAAGCCCCAGACACGCGGTGTGGTATTATCACGATGGCTCCGTGGTGGGGGTGGGGGGGGGGGGGGGTCGCAATTCCACAAAACCTCGCCGAGATTGCGCGCTTCGAACCCGACCTACACGGCTTCGCGTTCCGTCCTTGGCGATGGCGACGGACGCGAGGTGTCCACCGTGAACCGGTCTCACAGCCGTGCCTGGGGCTAGACCGCTTGAGAGGGGCATTAACGCTGGGACCGTGACCACGTGGCGCCAATGGCGCCGCGTCGGTTCGAGTACCGGCAGCGCCGTATCATCGTGCGTGTACGTAGAGGCACCGGGGGGGGGGGGGGGGGACATCTGTGGTCCACCAGTTAGTCTCTTGCATGAACACTCCCGTGAAGAGGGTCATGCAACGAGGCCCCTTTTTAAGTTTCCATATTATTGGTTTATTTTGTTACATTCACACCAACGGCTTTGTTTTTCTCTTTTGAAGTCGCAAGCTGAGAGATGGCCCCTTATTATTGTGCTGGCCATTGTCAAAATAATGTGCCTCCGAGATCAGTCTTTTGGGCGCATTATTGTGATTCATCTCAACCCTCCAGCGTTATTTATGAGCAGGCTCAAACAAGAATTCACAGAAGCACTAACTTTGCTTAGCAAAAAACTGTATTCTCGTTTTGCGATAGTTGTGAAAACTAAGCTAAATTAATGATCGTTTTCACACAGGGACACTGGTGATACTAATTATTGATGCACTGTTACCTTCCAACTATTAATGGATTCCTTATCATTTCAACCACCTCTTTAAATGTTATCGGACTGTTTGTTACATTTTATCCTGGCTAAGGGGGGGGGGGGGGGGGGGTGGGCAAGAATGTTGCTTGAGTGCTGCTGAATGAATTCTCTTTTGAAAGCATTGGGGTAGTAAAGCTGGCGCAAACCCCTGACATTTATCAGTCACGCGAGGTCTATCAAACTGCAGTATACCGTCACAATACAACCAAATTCTCGATACAAATCAATGCCTGCCACCCAAACACATGCCAATTTCTTGGACTGTTTGTTTCTCAAGGGGCTTTACTTATGGCTTTACAAACGGGTTGGCAGCTGTCTGGGTTTGACCCTTTATGCTCAGGAGCAGAAGTAGGTGACACTCCATCACAGCAACCCACTCGTACCGTACAACAAGCCACCTCATGGTCGCCTGCCCCCCCCCCCCCCCCCAAGTAGGAGAATGGATGCTGCAGCACCTACGCATGCACATGGTGCGTTTGTGTGTGGGGACGCACGTGCCTACGTCTGTCAGGGCAGTCACCCTCCAGCAACAACGGAGGGCAGAGGAGAGCGACGCTCACAACGGGCAGCTAAACAGTTGGCACAGTGGGTTAGCACAGTCGGTGCATCTGATGATCACGGTTGACTGCGTAGAGTGCGAAAGAAGTTCAACATGCATGCATAATACATCTGCCAGTCATCTCGGTCAGTCAACCCACGGCGCCTGGGTCTATTCCGTGACCTGCCCAGCGGGCCTTGGACACTTCACGTGGCCTCAGTGCACCTACCTAGCATGGCACATGCGCCGTGGTGACGTCCACCACTGCTTTGTGGTGAACGGCGGTCGTTGTGATTACCTACGGCTGTGTTAAAACTAATCTACCCTGATCCCTCGTGCCACCGCCCACCGACAACCTGTCCATTTGGCTTCATAGACTCATCATCACTTTACAGGCGCAGTTTGCCCACGTGGCTAACTTGAATGTACGGTTACTTTCGAGTTTGAGTGTGTGGTTTGCACTTTCCTAAAGTGCAGTGCATGTCCCCAGACACCAGATGTTGTCATGTCTTATCAGTCTTAACAGTTCCCTGGACCATTCTCTCACTCCACCGAATATACATTCTTGTGACCAATGCTTATGGATACTTTCCGAGATGCTAGCTAACCTTTATTTAACCTTTTTTTATTACTTTCATTGTTTTTGTCTTACATTATTTTCCTTGGGTTATACTTGTAAGTCATCTCAGCGCGTGCAGGTTTTGTGTAGCTTAATTTCCACGTTTCGTTTAAAATATAGGAAAATCGTCAAAAGGCCGTGTTTCCATATATATACTGTATGTCCACGACCCTGTATGACAGTAAGTGACCCTTGCGTTTTTGTTCGTCACCCTCCTCCCCACGTTTGGATAAAGATGTCAGATATACATTATATATATTTGTTTGCACTGGATTGGTGACCGTGTGCTCAATAAAGTCGACGCAATGATGTTGCGCTCAATTGCGTTTGGGTTTTGAATCAATTTGTATTATTCGACGTTGTGGTTTGTTTGTTTTTACCCGCAAAAGCGCCTCTTGAGACTTTAAAAAGAAGTTGTTCCGTTGAAAAAATTTTGACCAAGTTGCATTGTTTATGTCGATTTGGTGGAGTATTACGTGAACATTCCTCCAGGGTTTCCACACTTTATCGTCCACACTGATTAATAATGAATTGAGCTCCGCATGTCTTCTGCTCGCTCACATGGCGATTCCTGTCCACGTCGTTTGCTTGCACTCCGCTCGTATTTCGGTGCCCCCTCTGCAGGCAGTGTCGCGTGACGTCACAATACCCCCCCCCCCCCCCCCCCCGTCTCGCCTCTTTCCTCACCACGCCTGCGTTTTATACGTCGGTTTAGCACGTGGCAGGCTGTCGCGGCCAGTATTAATCCATAAGGTTTTCGGGTTCGCGTAAATATAAATGCGTCGTGAAACCCGCCACCACCCGACACAGCCAATTAGTAAGGGTTGTCACGTCAACAGAACATGCCAATTCTTTACTAGTACAGTAACACCCGGTGTACGACGAATTAACGTCATTCTGTTATTATTTTTTATTATTTTATCTCCATTCTACGTGACTTTACCGAAAGAACCCAGAAGATGAATTAACGTCATCTTTACCCCTCCATCTCACGCGTGACGTCAAAGCCTCCCCGCGCCCCGCCCCTGTGCCTGGTGACGTCACTCCTCACCGCAATCTCGCGTGACGTCATTGCCCGTCTGACCCAAATGGCTGTCGCGTTGAAGACCCCCTCCGATACCTACCTCTCGTGATGTCAGCGACTCCTCCAAAACTTTCGTGACGTAACCATCCGCTCCACATCAGGTGACGTCATCACCCCTCCATTGCATCTCACCGACCCAGGTCTCGTGACATCACCCCAAACTGGCGTGACGTCGGCACTCGTCCATCGGCTCCACCTCAGCCCAATAAATATATTTATACATTATGAGACCTCCTTTGCCAGTAACAAGATATAGGAATAGGTTTTACCCTTTTAACTGGCACACCCCGAGCCCTCAATACTCTGATAGTGCGCTGTTTTTGAGTTGTACGCCTTTTGGCGTCTTCTGGTCCAACACCAATTGAGACTAGGCTCTAAGAAAAGCCGTCTCGGGTGTGGACCAATCAAATTCAAGGACTGTGCATATTATTATCAGAGTTGTCTTTTTTGTTTGCATTTTGACTGCTTGTGTTGTGGTTATTGCAAACATGATGCCTTGAATAAAGGTGGCAGTTTTTGTGCCAGTTAAAAGGGTAAAACCTATTCCTATATCTTTATACATTTTAACTTTAAACTTTCGTGACTGCACGAATTCATATTCTATGGTTCTTTCGGTAAAGTCACGTAGATCGAATAAAAAATAGCAATCAAATAAAAAAGAATAAATAAATGTACTTTTTTTGTTATTTTTTCTATCTGCGTGACTTTACCGACATAGAATAATAATATTTATACTGGAGACGAATCCGATAAGCTCTAAAGCCCCCCCCCCCCCCCCCCACACACAGATGCCCAGTAGGGGACAAGTCAGAACCTTACAGCAACCTCACCATCGTTGTGTGACGTTATATCCCTCCCCACCCAAACTATTTCCTTATTATACGACTCCTGTATGCCCTGGTGCGTTTCCATACCCGTCAACCCATACGGTTTACCCCGTATTCTGTACAGGGAAATTGAGTCCATACGGCGTAAAGCCATTTCCATACGGGCAACAACACAAATTCTGGTTCTCCTTGTGATGGGACTTTTCAGGATGAACGTTGAGATTTATAAGGGCACGGGGTGAAGCAAGGAGGTCTGATTTGGTCTGTAATGATGGTGATAAAGGGTTGACAGCTATGCCTGCTACAGACAGACGAACACGCCCATTGCGTATTACAATCGATGGCAAAGTGCGTTTACTTTAAATCTTGACTTAAAACTTTCGTGACTGCAGGAATTAATATTATTGGTTATTTCGGTAAAGTCACGTAAATAGAAAACAAAAAATAATACATTTAAAATTAAAGCAAAAAAACCCACGACGTTTCGATCGCAACACAAGCGGCCCTTCATCAGGCGGAGAGATTATGACGCTTGTGTTGCGATCGAAACGTCGTAGTTTTTTTTGTTTTAAAAAAAATGTTCTACGTGACTTTACCGAAGGACCTAAAGAACATGAATCCATGCAGTAACGAAAGCTTAAAAATTCGAGATTTAATACATGCGTTTAAATTTTGATTTAAAGCTTTCGTGACTGCAGTGATTCATATTCTTGTTCTTTCGGTAAAGTCACGTAGAAGGGAAACAATAAAAGAATACAAATCTAAAACAATAAAATTCTCACGACGTTTCGACTGCAACACAAGCAATCATCATCAGGTGTGATAACCACGGCAGGAAAATTTGAAATTTTAACATGCGTTTAACTTTATGACTTGCCACGTGGTTCCGGGTGGAGAGTGGGAGGAGTTCTCGGGGGAGGGGCGGGGAGGTTGCGTGAGCACGTGACCCCCCCCCCGCCAACAACCCCTCCCACCCCTAGAAGTAGTCTGCGCATGCGCAGGAGTTGTGTGGAGTGGTGAAGCCGATCGTGCCGCGCGGGGTGGTCGTGCGCTCGAGTTGCGGCGTCGGCGTTCGGCGTCGCTCTCCCTTCCCCCGCCGTCTCGCCGCCGTCTCGCCGTCATGTCGTACGCCTACCTCTTCAAGTACATCATCATCGGGGACACGGGTGAGAGAGAGCGAGCGAGAGAGAGAGAAAGGGAGCCAGCCACTCTCCTCGAGCCTGTCCGCCGTGGCGGGCCTAGCGGCTCCCGTGTCAGCCTCAACAACAATGCCCCTTATTCTTGGTTCTTTCGCTAAAGTCACCACGTGGAAGGTAAACAATAAAATAACACAAATATAAAACAATAAAATTATCGCGACGTTTCGACTGCAACGCAAGCAATCATCATCAGGTGTGAAAACCGCAGCAGGAAAATTTGAAAAAAATAATTTGAATCCCTGCAGTCACGAACGCTTTAAATCAAAACAATGCCTCTGTTTAACCCGGAGTCGTGGTTCGTAGTCGGCTTTTCGCGGCCAATGTTATTCGTAATAAAGGTTTTTTTTTAGGGGGTTAGATGGCGTAAATGTGTCGTCTAACCCGCCACCAATCGACCACGTTGTACTCGGAATTGTAAATTATGTGGGGTTTTACTCTCCAATGCACCGATGTGCTGAAGTAGTCCTTCGTTAGCACGGTTTTTTACTTTACTTGACAACCTTACTAAATGGGCTTCGTCGGTTGGTGGCGGGTTTTCACGACGCGTTTATATTTACGCGCTACAACCAATCCCCAAATGAACCCACAATGTGTTATGAACAAAGCCCAGATTACCTAGCGTGGATAGGCGATGGCGAGTGGGGGGAGCGATGTCGATGCGAGGTGGGAATTTCGAGTGGCGCTCAACTGAACGAGCGGGGGCTTTGTTCGTCTGCAGTGAACAATTCCACACCTGGACGCTGAGAGAGGGCCATTGCCCGAAACGTCTCCGATGAGATTTGTGAAGGGGGGGTACGGCTGGTGCATCTGCCAGTCATCTCGGTCAGTCAATCCATGGCACCTGGGTCTGTCCGTGACCTGCCAGCGAGCCTTCGACAACGCTGCACGTGGCCTCAAGAGTGCACCCTAGCCTGGCACGGGCGCCGTGGTGACGTCCACCGCCACTTCGTGGCGAATGATGGCTGTTGTTATTGACGACACAGTCCGGGTCTTCTCTCTCGAATAATTTGAGCTCGAAATTTCGATTTAAAGCTTCGTCGTGAGCATTTTATTGTTTTTATTTTATTCTCATTCTACGTGGACTTTACCGAAAGAACCAAAGAAGATTAATTTGAGCTTTATTAGAATACTGTACTGTAAATGAATCGGTGGTGCGCGAGTGCAGTTGACAACACAAAATCTCAACACGTTAGTCAATAGCATTGCTTTAAAATACATCTTAAGATGTGACGTTTTTGGGACAATGCCCCTTAATAGCACATCATCTGGCGTCGTGAAGGCAGTGTAATTGACGTACCTGTTGTGTTTACTTAAGAGAATAAGGGTGTTTGGGAAAAATGGATTACACACATTTAAATATTCCTTTAAAAATACCGTATCATAACATCTTAACCAAGGCCGTGGAATGTACTCACCCGTCCTTTTATGTTGAATACACGCAATTCGACGCTGTACATAGAGTAGTCAATGAGGGGAGCAGTGATCTTGAGTAATGAACCGTGTTCTTGGTTCTTTCGGTAAGTCACGTAGAAGGGAAACAATAAAATAATACAAATATAAAACAATAAAATTATCACGACGGTTCGACTGCAACACAAGCAATCGTCATCAGGTGTGAAAACCACAACGAGAAAATTTGAAAAAAGTTTTTTGAAAAAAGTGGCGGGGTTTTTTTTCAAATTTTCTTGTTGTGGTTTTCACACCTGCTGATGATTTCTTGTGTTGCAGTCGAACCGTCGTGAGAGTTTTATATTTTTATTTTTTTATTGTTTCCCTTCTACGTGACTTTACCGAAAGAACCAAGAATATGAATCCCTGAAGTCACGAAAGCTTTAAATGAAAATTTAATGTACCGTGCTTAGAATTGTAAATCCAGTTCGTGTCTTTGAGTGGGGAGAGCCCATGCTATGCATGTGGTGATCTTATCCACATACGTTTATTATGAATGTTGAACTTCTTTAGCACAGTACGTAGCCAACCGTAGGTGCAATGGTTTGACGAAAGGTCCTGCAGTGTACAAGTAAATAAAACCAATTGGAAACACCCACTGAGTTAACATCTGTGACGTTGGCTGGTAAAACGTCAGACGTTAAAGCCACCTATTGCTTTCCATATTTGCCATCGCTGTCCATTGGACGGAGCGTTACATAAGTGAAATTACCCACTGCGAGAAACCTGTGTGGATTGGCAAGCAACAGCAGGTGGTTGGTCTATTGAGCTTGCCGTTGTTGACCTGCAAGCTATTTTACCATGTTTTTTCTCCATCACTTGCACCAAAAAATGTTGGCCATTGTGGACATAATTAGCTTTCCGAGTTGGGAGAGGGCTGTCAAGTCAATAAACGCGTGGAATGTACTCATTGAAAATGCATCCAAAAGTAGCCACATGTATTCGGTTTAAAGGCTGGTTTGAATACACTATATATGTTTCATTTCTTGCGTATATGCTAAGCTAAATGCCAATATCGAATGTCTGCCACGAGAGGGCTTTCAGGAGAGAGTTCGTGTAGTTTTGCTATCCCTGCGTTTAAGGAGTGATCACAATCGCACTGAGGCTTTGCTTTTAATTTTCAATTAGGTTTAAAGGGTTAAAGGAGATGTGCGCATCGGCTTGTATGTTCCGATGAGGTTGATGGTTCGCCAGTGTCAAAATCCAGGAGATTCAGGAGTTAGGTTTTTTTTTTTTATTCTGAACGTCCCACGTTCACTCTGTTCGCCAGCATAGACTATCATAAAAAATTCACATCTCTTTGTGAATCGACTGCTGGTTGAAGGTCCCCCCCACATGCCGTATCAGTCATGAGGGTTTTTGTAACTTTACTTGACCACACTAGTTCGTGCAAGTTGATGGTGGGTGGGTGTCAGGGACTCATTCAGATTTCACTCACCATTGATGTTAGTCCACTGGGAATTGATGGGTTCAGAGGACAATGCGCTAACCACTGTGCCACCACGCTATCTTTAATGATAGCAATGTTATTATTGGTTATTGCTACGTGGCTTTTAAGTTAAACATTTTAATCCATTGCATGTGACCTTCTGGTCACTGTTGTATGTGTCCCAGGACTTTTTTTTAAATAAATGGATGTCTCGGTACCGTGAGTTCCTGGTTAAAGAAGGCTAAGATTGTTCATGTATTTACATGGCCTATTGTTTTTTCATGAAATGTTTGGCAAGCAATTGTTTCGCATGTAAAAACTATCTATATGAGCAATGTTTGGGATGGTTGTGGACACCTTAAATGAAAAATCTGGGTGCTGCCATGGTGTGATATCACACTGGACTTACTATCCATTCAACGCTCTGATTCAATCTCCTGGCACGGGAGTTCAAACAATGAGCAAGTTTCTTAAAGCCCTTCACCTCTGTCCAGCCAGCTATATAAATGGGGACATCACAGTCGATGATCAGCAGGTCACATAGGGTGGGGTAAGTGTAGGTAATCCTCGCTTTTCAAAGATGTCTTCCCAGCATGGTAGAGGAGATAAAACACCTACGGCAGTATTCTTCATTACAAGGCCCGTGGGCCACTAGCGGCCTCTGGTGGCCTTTAGTGCACCCCCTGACAATACACAAATGTGAAAACACCCCCCCCCCCCATAATCGTGCGGTCACAAACCAATGGATTCAAATGTGTGGCGGCCCTCACATCGATGTCTTATCGGCGAAAGTGGCCCCCCTGAAAATTAGTGAAGAACACTGCATTACAGGGGTTGGCTTGAGCTCCCTCAAGTGGAGGTCCATGTGTAAGAAACTGAAGGGCCGCACCTTTTTGTGTTTTAAATCCAATCTGCGCATGCGTGTTTCTGAATTGTGCATGCGTGTGTTCGTTTCAGGGGTGGGAAAGTCGTGCCTGTTGCTTCAGTTCACAGACAAAAGATTTCAGCCGGTCCATGACCTCACCATCGGTAAGCCCAGAATGGGATTGCACAATCACGCTATAACTTAGTGCAGTTGCAAGGCAGTTAACATCCAATGTGTCAAAAAGTTAACAATAGGCATTTAACTATTCATTTGCACAATCCAAGTCACTATTTTATTTAAGAATCTTGTATTGTCTAGTTTCTATTCTCATGTTAGTTTCTGTTTTGTTTCCTCTCATTCCAATTAACCTAAAGGTAACGTTTCCTGCAAAATGCATGAAAAATAAATCAAGCACAAATTAATGCAAGCTTTAAAATCAATTTTAATGCAATTGTTAAATGCTTATTTCCTCACGCAAGGCAACAGCATCACATAATACTTAACACCATCCTCATGAACATGAAAACGTAAAACTCTCCTGTCAATCGATTGCTGGATTGCCAATCATGGTGGTTGTTTGGCCAAACTTCAGCTTTAAATTCACTTTGCACAAAACAAATGGACAAAGTTAACATTTTGGGAAATAAAGCCTCTGCTGTAAATGTTGGTGAGTCATATAGACTACCATATCTACATTATAATTAACGTTCTGTCAACATTACAGCAACTGTAGGGTTGATTTCATTTACAGATGCTTTCATTGCACACAGCCAATATGAATAAATAAAAAGCCAAACACTTTATCTTTGACAGCAAGACACACACACCCCTGCATGCTTTTTGCCAAGAGTTTGGAAACATTAAAAGCAGGGCTTATAACCTCCCTCCGGAAGACCGGCGTGACTGTTTTTCTCAGCGTGTGGTGGTGATGTGCGGTGATGTGCGTTGATGTGCCTGGCAGGCGTTGAGTTTGGGGCCCGCATGATCGCCATCGGCGGCAAGCAAGTCAAGCTGCAGATCTGGGATACGGTACTTCTCTCGATTCTGTTCGCCCAATGAATAGAGTGCTTTCTGCGGCCGAGCGGCCTCCACTCTGGCGCTCAACATTAAGTAGACTATAAGAGGTTCTACTTAAATCATTTATGGCCATTACGACAGCGGTCGTGGCAATCTACCACTATAAAGGTAGCGGGATACACGTAAGATTAATTCTCAATGGTTAAAAGGGAAGCTTAATTTTCCCCGGAAATATTTTCCTAGATTACCAAAGTAGGCACGTAGGTATGAAACTAGTAGCCACAGCCATAGCGAGAGGTGTACAAGTGCATGGTATGCCCAGCTGCTAAAGATACTGTTAAAATTAACCCATGGTTATGGCGGAGTCCACTTGAGCGCAATCACACACCATAGAAGCCATTTCTTGTCATGGGCAGCAGCGGGTAGTCAGGAGCTGCCGATTGCGCTGTAACGTGCAGCTGCTTGAATCATGAAGCTGTTGAAATCATTAAGCTGTTTGTGACGCGCATGTGGTGTGTAGGCCGGGCAGGAGTCATTCCGCTCCATCACGCGCTCGTACTACCGCGGGGCGGCCGGGGCCCTGCTCGTCTATGACATCACCAGGTGTGACACTCCTCCACAGCCCGGCCTGCCAGAAAGGGCCTAACTTTTTTCTTGGAAAAATGTCCATTTCTAGGCATGTGGGTCACCTCAACTCAAGAGCGCGTGAGAGCTAACTGCTTATCTGTTGATCCTTTTGAGGCTTTCCAACTACGGTAGAAAGCGTTGATGCATTGGCTATGTGCATTCACTTAAAACGGGGGAGGCACAAGACCTCTCAAAATGTGATCCAATATAAAACGGTAGCATAAAGTATTTTTTGCAATTAGGGACTTTCCCAATTGAAAACTGCTCAAATAGATCACAGGCGTTGCTTAAAGCATTTTGACACCAAAACCAGAGCAGAAAGGAAATGTACAAAGGTATTTTCCCTCGACAGCTACCCATTGGTTTCCCTAATGGTAATTAAATACTACTTCGGACCAACGCATGTTGGACAGCGGAACACACAATCCATGCTTATGCATTTTTTCCGAAGTTTTTTTTATGTATCTGTTTCGCCACGGCTGTTACTTCGGGGTGCAGGAGAGACACGTTCAACCACCTAACAGCGTGGCTGGAGGACGCCCGGCAGCACTCCAACTCCAACATGGTCATCATGCTCATCGGCAACAAGAGGTGACTGCAGAATGGGGCACGTGGGCAGGACAAGTGGGGGGGGGGGGGTGCGCATGGTTGACCGGTTGACCTGCACACTCTACCATGTGAAAGCCGATTTCCCCAATGATATTACTCGACTCAATTATTTGGGGCTGATGGCAGCAAGTTGTGGCCTGGATAAAGCAGACAATGCATTCATCATGGCTAAAGGTGATATATTCAGTAATTAAGTACTTAAAAAATAAACTATCCAACTAGGAAGAGTAGATTTTGATTTAAAGCTTTCGTGACTGCAGAGATTCATTCTTGGTTCTTTCGGTAAAGTGACATAGAAGGGAAACAATAAAATAATAAAAATATTAATAAATAAAATTCTCACGACGTTTTGACTGCAACACAATCATCATCAGGTGTGAAAACCACAACAAGAAAATTTGTAAAAAGTGGCGGTTATTTTTTAACGTTAGCACCACGGAGAGAGATTTGACAGTTTGTTCAGATGGACGAGTCCATCTATGTTCGAAAAAGAGGAGGGGGGAGACGAAAAATAATGGATGCGGTCTGAAAGCCACCTTAAGCGTGATCAATCAATTAAGACCCAAGACAGAGGTTCTTTGCAAGCCATCTGGCTACCATGAGAGATTCGTTAATGAGGCTATCCACATATACAAACAGACAATTTCAACCGAGAAGATGGATTCTGGCTTAGCAATCATTGGAAGGATTTGATAAACCATTTCGGGTCTTAATTGATTGATCACGCTTAAGCTGGCTTTCAGACCGCATTCATTATTTTTCGTCTCCCCCCTCCTCTTTTCCAAACATAGATGGACTCGTCCATCTGAACAAACTGTCAAATCTCTCTCCGTGGTGCTAACGTTAAAAATAACCACTTTTTTCAAATTTTCTTGTGGTTTTCACACCTGATGATTGCTTGTGTTGCAGTCGAAACGTCGTGAGAATTTTATTGTTTTATATTTTTATTGTTTCCCTTATACATGACTTTACCGAAAGAACCAAGAATAGGAAGAGAAGGCCAAATACCGGTTATCGCGGCCTTTGAACCAGCAGTGGCATGAACTTGTAATTGCAGGGGCTGTACCTTCCCTTAGCTAGAACAAAACAAACTTGCATATGCATTTGCGACAATAATTTACATGAATGTGCATTGACTCAGAGCTGCATTTAACTGCGCCACTGCCCTTGCGTGCCCAGTGACCTGGAGTCGCGCCGCGAGGTGAAGTGCGAGGAAGGGGAGGCGTTTGCGCGCGAGCACGGCCTCGTCTTCATGGAGACATCGGCCAAAACGGCAGCGAACGTTGAGGAGGTGAGGACCCACAATGACAAAGATCCCCCCCTCCTGTATAGCCTTAAGACTGTGGGGGCAAGTGCTGTTAGCGAGTAGCACTGATGAAGGCCGGGCACTGTGGCACACGACGGGGTGGGTGGCCAGCACCACGCCCGACAGCCTGTCTCCCTAGCAGCGGCAATGTTTACACACTGCACCAGGTACTCATGAGGCTGAGTCGACCGAAGGACCCACGCGCACACAGGCTCTCCTTCCGTGCAAGCCAGGCACATAGGTTCACATGCCAGTTGACTCGTATATAAATGCTTTAAGTTGCGTTTATTTGAACAAATATCCAAACGTAAAAGTAAAACGGGGGTGAGGAACCCCACCGCTCGCAAATTATATTTAGTCGTCACATTGCGCCAGTAAAATGTGTGGCGTAAACCTTCCGCCACCTGCCACAGCACCTGAAGGTTGTCACTTGACCAGACCTGCCAAATTATTTCTGCTTCAGCACACTTATGTTGGAAAGCAATACACAACATTTAACAGCTGGGTATGACGTTTCGCTGCTAGTTACAACCAGAATTGTGAAAATGTCCTCCAGTTTTGGGACTCAAGACAGGCGGTGTAATGTCATCAACGTGCACCCACAAAAATAACTTATACAGTAAAACCTCGGATTGCGAGCATAATTCGTTCCGGAAACGTGTTTGTAATCCAAAGCACTCGTATATCAAAGCACTCGTATATCAGTTGTGATCATGTGACGCTCGGCAGACAAAGCGTATATACGTACTACTCGAATTGCAAGACCTCGCTCGTTTATCAAATTAATATTTATTTAAACATTTTGCTCGTCTTGCAAAACACTCGCAAGACCAAGTTACTTGCAATCCAAGGTTTTACTGTAAATGACATTGCTCAGGAAAACCTACATGTTAAATTTAGCAAACATCTTACCAGCACCAATAGGTAGCAGTAGAACAAAATATCATTAACCTGGCAAGTTTATCATTTTAATGGGGTTGTTTCCTTCACCGCAAGGGCCTACTAATTGCATTATTTTTTGCCTCATCAGTAGGGATAGCAGTAAAGGGGTGTGGTGTCTGAAAGTCGTATTCAGCCCTCTGACGTAAAGCATCATTGACGGCATAAAGGGAAACGGCAATAATAACTTACAATCTTTTTAACACACGAATATGATACAAAGTTAATTTCATGCACCTGTGTTCCTGTTACTGCAGGCCTTCATCAACACGGCGCGAGAAATCTACGAGAAGATCCAGGAAGGCGTGTTTGACGTCAACAATGAGGTAACCTTCGAGCATTCTGACTTTTGAGGTCAGCATTGTTGTGCTTTTGTTTAGTTACCCCGTCACGAATTTGTGACTTATCACAGCCGGACGATTTAAACTACGCACCAGCTATATATCACCCCATGCGAGTCTGAATTTGCCCAAGTGTTGGTCAGGCTGGATACCAAAGTTTGGCCACCAACTTTGATTTTCATGTAGCTAGTGTGTTTAGAGAAAAGGATACACCACTGAGTATCTAGCAAGTTGCATGCCTGTAATCATCATTGAAACGATTCCTGTGAGAAAGAGAATCAAGTATTGGATCCACTTCCACATGAAAAACCAGATTTGAATAACCTAATTGGCATTGGGTATATTCAATAACTTTAATTCCACTGTTATATTCTCCAGATTATAAGACGGGCGTTTGTATCCCAGCATCTGCTCTGTCGTAAATTTCTAATTTAAACACTTGCTTTGTTTATTCTAGAATGTATGTAGGGCAAGTCCTCTTTTTTACGTTTGGGATTCATCCCTGGAAAACACTGTTAGGCAAAACAATGTAAATCAAAGCCTATTTTACAGTTGACTTGACAATATAAAGTTAGGATCCATTCCTGGGGATAATTTGTTTTCGTAAATAAAAAAAAGTACCAAAATCGATGACAAAAGGATACCCTAAAAGGTGTTGTATACCAAGTTATATTAGTTAACACAGTACTCACTAGAAATGATAGCAGAGATTATATTTGGAGGCCTCCTGTGGGGTGGTAATGCTGTAGACACCGTGGTGTCACGCCTCGTCGCTTACCCTGCTCAGATTGTTGTGTTAATTTCTTAAAATATTTCTCAAACAACCTTGGGAGTGAATTGATCCATTTTCCCCAAATTCGTTGGCGCTGGTATAGTCAAACTTAGAGGACTCAGTAATTTTTTTAAAGGATAAAAGTACAAAGATTTGGTGTGGGTGTTACTCCTTACCCAGCACCTGCAATTGGCACGGTTGGCTGTGTTACAAGAATGTGTCTTATAACCTGTAAAGTACAGTAACAGCTACGTGGCTAGCTGTGAGCAGCTACATTGACATGTACGAGGTAGAGGCACTGCCCGAGATAGAAGTCCGTCGCACAACCATATCTATTGCACATTATCAATACAGCAACAGGCTAAACGGATGTCCATGCTTCCCTGCCCCCCCCCCACATCCTGCTGTTGTATTACTTCTATTTGTTTAATATGTCTAGGCATGGTATTTAGATCACATTTAAGCTGAAATTCGTGTTGTCATTACATCCCTAGCACTGCCACATCTTATGCAACGTAGGCACCTCATCTTGAGAGTGTGTATATGCTTCCTGCCTGTGTGTGTGCGCGTGTTGCACCTGGCTATGTTTCAGGCAAACGGGATAAAGATTGGGCCGCAGCAGCTGGGAGCTACACCCAGCGCAGGGCAGGGTCGGCCAGCTGGGTCGACGGGTGGCAGTGATGGGTGCTGCTGACTGCCTGAAACAAACAAACACACACACCTCATGGACAACACTGCCAATTTACAGTCCTGCACACTGCCACACTACACTTGAAAGCCTGCACAAAACTGTTGGGGCATGCGCTGCTAGCTAGCTACTATGAAGGCTGACACTGAAGGGGTGATTTAGCACGCACCACACCCTGGAAACCTTTGTCTCCCCAATGCCATTGTTTACACAACATACCAGGTATTCACTTGAGGCCGAGTCAACCTAGGGGAGGTCCAGGACCAGCTCAACTGATTTGTATTGAGATGTATACTACCAAGCCACAGCTGGTCATGAGGTAAGGGAAATCCTCTCCTCGTGAAACAACCACCCCATTAACTCGGGGCATGTTGAGGTGATGAAAGGCCCAAGATGAGTTCAGATATTTGCCACTGATGATACGGGTGAACGGGAATCAAACTTGGGTGGCCGGGGTTCGTAGCACCAGTGTGCTAAACACTGCTACCACTCCCAACCCAGCAGCCACTACACATACCTGTATTAGTTACCCCTGGACACAAATTCTGTCGTGATCCAGGCAAGGAAGTAACACACATTTTTCCGTGAACTTAAACCTCAAATCATTCCGTGGACTTTTGCTGGCCTACAACGTTGCCTGTTATGTAAAAGAAAAAGCCAGTGTTTGTATCCTGCTACTGGAACTCGATTGCCTGTCACAATTACTTCTGTGCCTGTTCACCACTAAACTGAAATCCCTCAAATACCACTGTGTAGGTTTTCAAGGTCATGCTGTATAGCTTCCCAACGTTTTCAGATTGTACTGAGTGTTGTTCGGCATTGGTATGACATTCTGTTCCACGTGCTGGGAGCTTCAGGGACATAAGCAGCTCGCTTTCGCACCATGATGCAGCATTGCCGGCGGCTGCTGGTGGTGGTGCCGATTGATGCCGTTTGGCTCAGCTCTCTGACATAGGCCAGCTGATGTTGCTTTTGCTTTATCTGGGTAACCGGGTTTCCTCCCAGACGAAGTTCACCGTTCGTGCACAAGAGGGTAAACAACATGAGGTACAAGCTGAAAACAAATTGGAGAATTATATACCTTCAATGGAAATCCCGAACAGGAAGGGGACCCCTGACACCCCCACTCACAACGTAGGCCATGGAGAGCACAACCCACCCACATGGTCACTACATCTCAATGTATATTTTACTCAGAATATAATTTTAATTGTACGAGGTTTTTTTTATGATGCACTGATGTACCTTTTATTAATAACGTCTTACCAGCTCACTCCTTCGGGGTCACACATGGAGGGTGGGTTGGACACGGTCTCATAGCGAGTCCAGCGCTCGCCAGTCCGCAGGCAATGCCCCCCCCCCCCCCGCAGCTGATAACGGTTGCTTTTGTTTACGTGAAGGTATATTTGTTGACTCGTGTGTTTCTTGTTTGCCTTTTTGTCAATGAGTATTAAAGCGTTAAGTTACTCACTCGTGTGGCTCTGCTGATGGTTCGTTTCACTACCTCGGTGACTTCACAAATTCATTTAGGTTCTTATTTTGCTTAAGGAATCGTAAAATAAAACCCGCTTTAAACTTGTAACGCAGATGGTGCGATTACTTTAATTGACGTTCCCTGTACCTTTTGACTTGTAAGATGGTTACATTTCACATGTATAGCCTTATTTTAAGCACTTGTTACCATGTAACAAGGTTTCACTAAGTAGAAACATTTTGATAGATTTCATCCCTAAAAGTTATATATATGTAATTTAACACTGATAAACCACTTTAGTCTAATCATACCCTTTTAACAAAAACCTTTACATTCTAGACATGGCCTAGCAGTAGCACGTTCACCGTTTGTTGCAGAGGTTCATGGTTCAGATCCAGCGGCCGCCCTGATAATTACTGTGTGAGTGTAATAACCACTAATATTACGCACCATCTACTCCATGTCCAAAATGGACGTCACAGATCCAATGACGTCACAGATCCCATGACGTCGTTCGCAAGAGTCGCGTGTTGTCGTTCGGGTCCAAATTTTCAAAATTCTCAATTTAACTGCAAGTTAATAAATTGTGACTACACATCAATCATTTTCCCCGACTGGCAGATAATTGCTCCAGGTTACTTGCAAATGAGACTATCCTGGCCTCTTGAATTCTCACCAAGTTAAACAAAATAAACTAGAATGCTTGGGCACCTTTTTGCATAAAATGAATCTTCTATTTTTTTATAGCAAATCTGCCACGCCAACAAACTACACTGATATATTTGGACCGATATAACTGCTCGAAATTAAGAGTGAATTTCAGGGCCATCGAATCGTGGGGGTTATTTCCCACGTGTGTCAAACTAACCTTATTGGGGCTGCGGTCCCCATCATCGTCGCGGCCACACATCCACCTCTTCACAGCTGCGAGAAGAGTTGTGCAGCGTCCTCCACATTGGGTGCCTGCACAGGAGCCGCCCTCTGCCGCGTGATCTACAACAACCACAACCACCACGTGCACACTGTTCATAAAGGTGCTGGGTGACTCGGTGGTGTGACACCCATCCCTGCTTGAGGCTGTTAGCTGAGCGTGCACACAATATCCTATCAACCATTCAATTGCAACAATTTGGGGTTAGGATTTAAGTGGACAATTAGTTTATTCATCTATTTTCAAAACTATGAACTACAACTTTTTTTTGTTACCAGGCAAGGCCCACTGAGCTATACAGCTCTTTTACCAAAGCAACCTGACCACAAATAATAGCTGAAAGAAGTAGCTTATGTGGAAATTTATAACAGCTAAATACCGTAAATACATGTTTCTGAATGTGGAAGGAAAAACCGAAGGACCCAGAGAAAATCCAAGAGACCACGGGAGAAGATGCAAACTCCAACTGTACAGGCGTCAGGGTCGGGATCGAACCCACGACCTCCTGTATACCAGGCGTGATAGTTAACATCTCCTAGCCACCTCGTGAGTTACATGCTTATCGTCAGTACTGCTGGCACAACCCCAAGCCAATCTGTAATGGGCCACTTTGATAAAATTTGCTCTAAAAAACCCACAAGCTACTCCCTGCAGCCAGTCTCATTAAAATTAAAAGTGATAACAGGCCTCACAAATGGGCTTGTCTGCTGCGTCACTCAATTAAATTATAATTTTTTAAGGGCCCAACACCATCCTACAGCAGTGGAACACGTATTTGTTTTTAAATGTTAAAACTCTTGATAGTTGTTGCATTTAACTCTTCCCACTCAAGCTGTGTTTAACAGCAAACTCGAATGGACTTCGGGTCCACAACTGAACAATCAGTTGCGCAACGTATTCACATGGAATTGAATGGTTTTCACGTGGACGTCTCTACAGTCAGTTGCATAACTGGTTCGCTTACAGAGGAGACTGACAGCGATGCATTTTAATCACATGCACCTTTGAAATCTACGACTCGCTACTAAAATCCTGAACACGCCGTTTAACTCACCTCGTAGGTTTTTGCAGCGAATATTGATTCATAATATATTTTTTTTGTGTTCGGTCACGTAATGTGGCCAAGGTTACATAAACCATCCACCACCTGACTCCGCCAAATAAATGAATCGCCCGTGAAACATTTTTAGGCTCACAGGAAGGTTGAAAAATTATCCACGAATGAAATGGGCAATTAGGAGACTTTCGTTCAAAACTACATCAAACCTCATCGGGAAGAATAACAACTCGGAAAATCTGAATCACAGTGTCAGCTGAGCCAGATTCTTAAATACAGTAGATAATCAATTATCCTGGATTTTCGAAAACGCCGGATAATTGTATAATTTAAAATAGCTTATTTTGTACATTATTGTATGACGTTTTTAGGTGTTGTTACATATTTTTGCTGTTTTAAATTTGTTTACTCTTTGAAATTGGCATAAACAAAGAGACAAATATCGTACTTTAAAAATACTCTGCATGGGGTGATGTATATACATCAGTATTTTCAATATGTCGTATGTAGTGTACAATATACTGTATATAATATTCAACACTGAAATCAGGCATGGCTACTTTTTTTGTCACGCACATGGTGCTGATCCTACGACTGGTACAGACTTTGGAGCTGTTTCGCTGGTTTTGCCGGATCAGCCCGGGACTGCCAGATGTTGGAAACCGGATAATCGATGATCAACTGTAGGTGTCTTGACCTCATAGGAACGACCAAATCAAGATTTTAACTCGATATATGCCATTTAATTTCTTTGCCGTGGACAAAGCAGTCGCAGGCAACGATTTAAGTTGTGCGATTTCGATAGCGATCTTAGTTGCCCCCTACTGATTGACTGCTTGGGTGTGGACCTTTCTGAACCACAGTGGCTCCCCCACATCCCTTGTTGAAAAAAGTTAACCGATGCACAAAGGGCCCCCAAAGCGTTTTGTCAAAATGAAAGACATTTTTTCGGGACAAATAAAAAAACACACAAAAGAAACTCAACATGTCCATCACTAACACTGTATACAATAGGTGACGTTTTGGACAATGGCCCCCACAGTCTTCAGCGTTTGTTGGGCATTACCTTTGTCGGCTCGGCCACCTTTGTGCCGCTTTCGGTGGGGTTGGCCACCTGCGCGTGCACCTCACTGAAGTTCTTGTCGCTGTCGCTCACCCTCTCCTTGTTCTTGATGTTGATCTGCGGCGCGGCACGAAGAGGAAGAACGGTGTTAAGGTACAACCCAAGCGAACGCTAAACCAGGCGCCACACCGGTGTGCATGTAAATCTAACGCCATGTGTGTGCACGTACGTACAGCTCTCTTTTTAGTCAATCCCTTAAGCCGTGCGGGTCCTGCAGGTGTTATCTGACCTTACTTCACCGGGCTAGTGATCGTGAGTTTAAGGCAGGGAGCACAGATGTGCTAGCATAAAAAGTACAGGGATATGGGTTTTTCTGCAATGCCCTCTCCGGCCCATCACGTAGCAGAGCCGACTATGACACCTGCCATGCATGGCGGTCATTCATTAAAAGTGCTATCGAGGCTCAAATCCTGCTTTGGATTCCCAGATCTGACGAGACTGGTCGTGTCCCAGATTATTTGATCATAAGTGGCTTCATAATCATTACGACTAACATGAAATTAATAGAAAATTAAAACCTAATCAGTGTTGTTTACAATGAAAGACATGTGGAGTTGACATGTGGTGTTTACTCTTTGCTCCGGGGTTATCAACAGATCGATGTGATCCCTGCCTTGCCTTTTCAGGTTGGTCATCAACGGCTTTAGGTTGTTCTTCACTTTCAGGTGTTTTGAATTGGCCACTTTGAAGAGGCCATTCTGCTTCTGTGAAGGCGGCCGACTCTTGTTCTTGCCCATCTCGCCGCACGCTGTACCACGGACATGACACTCAAGGTCATCAGCATCAAGTAGCAACCAAGAGTACCCGGTCGCATAAAACCACTTAGACAACCCACCACAGGATGAGGGCCTCCCCACGACATTCACAAGGACTGAGTTTATTTGACCATACGTCACAACGCCGGTGTGCGCGGTTGGTTTTGGCGAAGGGTGCTGGGAAATCAGCAACTGTTTTCTTTCTTATCCAGTGGACTGTTTCTAGTGCGGTCTCAGTAACGAATGCACCGATTGGCACACGCACATTCCCAAACGACACGGCGGCCAAAAATAACCCCATTGTACATTTGCCATAATTTCTCAGTAAAAAAATGAAATGTTAGATTTATTTCAGACATACGAGCTTGCAAAACCAGTAACCGTTCTTACCCAAAGCGGTTACCGCACATGCTAAGAAAAACAACTGATTTATCAAACAACCCCTTTGTGTATACTGTAGGACGTGGCGCATAGAAGTATAGTACCACCAATGGATTCCGTCGCTCTGTCCTGGGCCGACATCTCTGGGAAGCAGCCTAACACCTTGTGGCACAGTCCGCTATCCAGGCTAAGCCCTGCTTTGGGCTTCCCAGATCTGACAAGATCAGGCGCGCATTCCGGAGGGATTGGTCATAAGAACAAAGCCTGGCTATCTCATAGCAAACAAGTATCAAGTTAATAATAATTAGGTACAACAAAAAACAATGCTTTAAATTAACATGTTATTTTATTTAGCCTGTAATTCTCACTGTTTACGTTCCCGGAAGCAGCATTTGTCACATTATTTGTACTAACACTGGTCAACCCACACTCACGTTGACAAAATCAGCCCAAGGGGTTTTAAATTGCCACGAATGGAAGTTTTTGTTAGGATCCAGATAGAAAGCCCCAACTATTAAGCTATTTTATTTTACCAGGCAAAGGCCCAACTGAGCTCTGCGGCTCATTTTCAGAAGCGACCTGGCCATAAATGTGATAGCTAAACCAAGTGACTTATCATCGTGTACATTAATAACAGCCAAATATTTTTAAAAAGCACGTTGATTCGAAACGTGGATGTTTATGGAGAAAAAATCCACGCGACCACGGGGAGCGAGAGACACACCGCAAATAAAAAAATATATATATACAGCGGAGCAGGCATCAAGGGTTGGGATTAAACCCACGACCTCCTGTGTACCAGGCGAGGTAGTTCACATCTCCCTCCGTCTCGCTATCCACGGTGAAGTTAGCCAGGCCAGGTGCAGAGGGGGGTGCAGGAGACTGCAAGTCAGCCGAGCAGGTCACTCCAATCGCGGGTAAACTTTCAGGATAAACAGGCTGTAGACGGGGCCTCTCTTACACCACTCCTCCCATCGGCATGAAATACCGAAACTCCTTATCACTGCCCCTACCTTATTACAGACCAATTCAGACCTTATCAGTCACCCCGTGCCCCTTTATAAGTCTCAACGTTCATCCTGCAAAGTCCCATCACAATGGACAAACACAAATAGCTAAACATGTTTCTAAAATTATGTCGATTTTTTTGTTGTTGTTGTCCGTATTGAAACGGCTGCACGCCGTATGGATCTTAAAACTCAATTTCCCTGTACAAGAATCCAGGGTAAATCCGTATTTTGGGTTGACAGCTATGAAATGACTGAAACCCCAAGATAAACTCGCCACTCACTATCGAGAAGCATGATGTAACAATAGTGTATTGTACGCTTTCCATTCAGTCGGCACAAGCTGTTGAAAATTCTACGAAACGTTTCATAATCGATATCTAAAATCAATCCGTTGATCGTTGAAGTGTTTATCGATTGACATCGATTGATTTCGCACGTCCTCGATTATATACAATACAAAATATTCAATATTGCCGATGTATTCGCTATTTGAATGTCCGTCAAAGTTAACGCGATCATTAAGGACGCGTTGTTCTTTGTAACGTTGCCGAGACTCGAGGACGTATTCAGTTACGTTATTACAATATTTTTTTGCCGATTTTTCCCGAAACATAACCCACACATCGCAAGGAGTGTCGTGACATTGCCTAAGCGAGGAGGGATCACGGCTAGACCACGTTTAGCGATCCCCACTGGACCTTAACGAACTTAAACACGAACAAATCCGTAGCCTAGCCCAGGCAGACCCAGAACGCGCCCCCCTAACCTACTACTACATTCGCTTGCGTACATTTGAGCGACACCAGTTCGTGTTTTAGTGGGAGGGGGGGGAGAGTCTAGGCGGATTGTTACATCGTTATAAGTTATGGGAAGGGCATTCCATCCAGCGGCGGATTGATCTTGGCCTCTGAAAGCCTCCTCGTTGGATGGGCCTCGCACATTAAACTATTCTGGACAATCCCCCGAAGACGCTGGATGTCATTACCAGCGAAACAGTCGGCCTCAAATTGTAAAACGTTGTGGATTTACTCTCCAAACACACCGGTGGGCTGTAGAAAGTCATTTAACTGGCGCGTTTTGTTTAACCTTTACTGGCTGTGTCGGGTGGTGGGAGGGTTACAACGCATTTATACTTTCGCGATCTAACCCAAAAACCCTTATTATGAAGATTGGTCGCATGTTAAACGCACCTAAACGTGATCGTCAATGCTGCACATTAGATCGCCGTTCTAGTTTTAAAAAAACACACATATATGCGCTTAGTTGTTTTAATTGTTAACACGACCAGGTTAACGGCGTTATTCTCTGAGTTTGACTGAAGATAACCATAACTCTACAACACCTTCGTTACCTGTGTAGTGCCCACACGCACACTGCACTGTACTCCACGTGTTGCTGCAACGCCGTGGACGGATCCGGGAAATACGTGGGGAGGAGAGAGGCGCGATGACATCAACGTCCTCTCTACGACGTCATGTCTCTCTACCGATGTCATGTCTCTCTAACGACGTCATCTCTCTCTACCGACGTCATGACTCTCCACCGACGCTGTTGGTGATGAGTAGTGGATAGACCGTGGCTGATAACACTGTGCAGGACCCTCCTGGTAACACCACCAGCCCACAGGGGATTATTGTGTCTGTCTGTCCGTCGTGCATCTAAAAATGGGAGGGGTGAGGCTGGGTGGAGAGGGGAGGGAGGGGCTGGGTGTAGAGGGGAGGGTGGGGAGGGGCTGGGTGGGGAGGGTGGGGAGGGGCTGGGTGGAGAGGGTGGGGAGGGGCTGGGTGGGGAGGGTGGGGCTGGGTGGGGAGGGTGGGGCTGGGGTGGGGAGGGGCTGGGTGGAGAGGGTGGGGAGGGGCTGGGTGGGGAAGGGTGGGGCTGGGTGGGGAGGGGCTGGGTGGGGAGGGTGGGGAGGGGAGGGGCTGGGTGGGGAGGGTGGGGCTGGGTGGGGAGGGTGGGGGCTGGTGGGGTGAGGAGGGGCGGGGTGGGGCTGGGAAGGGAGGGGCTGGGAGGGTGGGGAGGGGCTGGGTGGGGGGTGGGAGGGGTGGGGCTGGGTGGGGGAGGGGCTGGTCACCCCGTGGTGCCCTTATAAAACTCAACGTTTAACCTACTCACGCCGGCTTGTGGCCCGCCCTCACAGTCGGGCATATTGTGCGGAATACACCACGTGGTGCCGCCGTTGACCCTGGCCATTGACCGAGCAACCGACGTTCCTACCAGCCCCCTCCGCAGGAGAATGTGTTAATGATGATGACCGTGTATGAATTCCCTATTCTTTTTTCAAAAGATAAATTAAGTACATCAGAAACTAAATATTATTTCTCGCGTTTTCACTTTCCAAATACAACTGTTCATAATACATGTGCAATCTGAGTACGACGTTTCGCCAGTAATTACAACCAGCTTCATCAGGCGATATCCGAATTTGTCGCCTGATGATAGCCATGTGTTGCCTGATGAAGCTAGTTGTAATTACTGGTGAAACGTCGTACTCAGATTGTAAATGTTGTGGCTTTGCTGTCCAACACACCGGTGTGCTGTACTAGTAACTCATTGGCATGTTCTGTTTATGTGACAAACATTACTAATTGGCTGTGTCGGGTGGTGGCGGGTTTAACGACACACATTTACGCGATCTAACCCAAAAAAATCCTGTATTATGGATGATATCGGTCGCGAAAGCCTACGTGTTAAACTAATACAACTGTTGTTCGCCAATGTTGCACTTTGTAACGGACACCCTTGCAAAGAGACGCCTCGCGTTTATTATTTTTTAATGACAAAAAAACTTACACTCAGAGGCGTCGTCATTCAATTTGCCACGCATGACGTCAAACCACGTTACATCCATGACGTAATCTCCGCGCGAGCCTTGCAGGCTACATCACGCCCAGCTGTTCGGGGCGAAATCGGCGAATAGTGACGCAAATTCCGTCTACATTCGCACGTGACGTCATGTCATCAAATACGTCATGTCGCTCGTACCGTCTCGGGTTTTACGTCACCCACGCTATTCGCCTTCGCACAATTACGTCACTTTGCCACACATTCTCCAAAAAAAGCTCACCCAAGTCACCGCTGTGGCCACCCAGTCCAAAACCACGGACCGCAGAGTTGCTGGGCTCCTTCGACGGAGGATGAATAGTCAAACAAACTACACAAACTCACCCTCCAAGTCGCGGCTAGCAGACCTCGAAGCTTATCTCCTGAACATATTGCCATGCCCATAGACACATACGGTTTAACCGTATGTGTCTATGGGCATGGCAGCCGTTTTAATAGGGGCACATTTTGTTTTATTTTGTGTTTCTCCCTTGTGATGGGACTTTGTAGGATTAACGTTGAGATGTATAATGACACGGGGTGACCGATAAGGTCTGAATTGGTCTGTAATAATGTAGGTCACTTATAAGGCGTTGGACAGGTATGATTACATAGCTGCTATATACACAGATAGTGGAATGAACGCACGGCGACATCACGTCACAGCGCGGTGACGTCACGGCACCCATCCCGGAGAGAGAAAACTCCTCCACCCCTCCCCGCTAAACACGCGCCGATGACGTCACCGCGCACAGATCCCCAAACAAACACACGCCTCCGAGACCCGCGTGACGTCCATTCCGTTTGCGGACGGCTGTTGCGGTGACGTCGCACGGGTTGTCGCGTCGCGCGCGCACGGCGCGACATGGCGGCGCGGGCGGGCCGCGTCTGACTTCGGGGCTCGTGGTGGTGCACGGAGAAGCGAGGCCCTTGCTGGGGGGGGTGGGTAGGGGACGAGACAGCGACACCGAGTCGGAGAGAGAAGAGTATCCCCAGGCACCGCAAGTTTATCTATATATAAGCGCGCACACACACACACTCGCGGTCGGAAATAATGGGGGCCAACCAGAGTTCGGACGCCGAGGCGGGCCCGTTCGCCGGCGCTGAGGGGCCCTGCCCGCGGTTCGGGACCCGCGACCCCCACGACGGCTGCGGCGGCGGCGGCGGCGGCAGCCGCGGCCTCCGCCTCGTACCGCGCGGGCGTCGCCGCCTCGAGTCGCGGGTCCGCGGGCTGAGGGAGCGAGCGCGCGAGAGGGAGCGGGCCCTGGGCGTCCCCGGGAGGCGTTCGCCGGCCTCGTCTCGCGGCTCGGGCGACTCTGAGGGGAGCAGCCCCGACGAGGGCGACGCGCCGGCCTCCGCGTGCGGCCTCCGCGGCGGGAGGCATCCTGGGCCTGGCGGGGATCCCGCGCTCCTTGCCCGTGCGCTTCGCCCCCACATCTCTTCGGCGGTGATTACACCACGCACACCACACACAGCACATCCCACACAGCACCACACACAGCACCACACACAACACACAGCACACCCCACACACAGCACACCCCACACACAGCACACCCCACACACAGCACACCACACACACAGCACACCCCACACACACACAGCACACACCACACACAGCACACACACAGCACACACACACAGCACACACCACACACAGCACACACACACAGCACACACCACACACAGCACACAGCACACACCACACAGCACACACAGCACACCCCACACACACGCACCTCAGTAGCTAGAGCCTGCGCCTGTCCCCTTTGTCTTCACCTCACACATCGTCGTCGTCGTCTTCACCCCACTGCCACGTGATTGTCTTCCCCCCCGTGTCTCTTCGCTGCGAAACCTCTGGCTGTCTCTCTCGTCTCTCGCCGAATTCTCTCCCCACGTGTATTTCTTACCCACCCCTCTTCCATTCCGCCTCTTAACATCTTCAGTTCATCTTTCCTTTCTCTCTCATTGCCGTATTCGTCTTTCCTCCAACCCGTATCCACTGTGACTTGTCATCCCTCAAACCTCAAGTTCGTTCTCCTTTGTCTCCCAGCTCTCCTGCTCATTGTTCTTTCCTCTCGCTCGCCTCGCCTGTATTCGCTTCCATCTCGTTCTTTTCTCTCTCTCTTTTACATCCCTCGCCTGTCCCCACTCTCGTTTCAATATTTTTATTTTTCCCTACCTTCTTCCGCACTCTCACAACCACTGCTCTCCTTTCCATGCCCTATCTCAAACCACCCCCCTACACACATCCATCACGTGTTTTCTTTGTCTCTTGCTCGCTTTTATTATAACTGTAACGCGTTGGGTCTCGGTAACGCCGCGTGTCCTAACATCCCGCCACGGGAACGTGGAATTTCCACGACGATTTCCGGTGCGCCGTTATAAACAGCCGGGGATGGCGTGTCGTTTGGTTGTTAAAATCCTTCGACTTTTAGCGTGAGTGGTGGGGGAATCCCGCTCCGGTTCTGTGTTTCGTCCAGCCCACGTGTCTCTTTTTGTTTCGTGAATTCGGTCGCTTACCAAATGGTCAAGTGAGCGGTGTGTGCATGGCATGGTTGACCTTACGTAACCCAAGTCCACTATGCCACCACTCGCTGAAGACCCCCTCCCCCACGAGCACCGTCTCGTGATGAAGTAAATAGTTGTACATGACTAGGAGTTGAACCAACGTTAACCACAAGGGCAACATGTGTGCATTTTAAGTTGCATCGGGGTAACTGCCGTGCGGTTTAAAATTGAACGGGGACAAAACAATCTGCTGCTGCGTTGGCACGGCGGTGCGCAGATGACAAAACAACACACTCGTCAGAAAACATCGGAAGAGAGATAAAGTAGGCGACGTTTCGGGCAATGTCCCTTCGTAGTGGCGAGAGTATTTTTTTAGTATAATTACTATTGAATACTTCCACAGATGTATGCTTATAGAGAGGAGTCTGTAACAGTAGCTTGCCTACGAAACCAACGCATTTCCGCAATGCCATCTGCTTCTGATTTGGACGCTTAGATCCTTGAGACGTTAACTAGCAATAACAAAAAAATAGGGATATTTTCTTCGTCGCCTGTAAAGAGGATGGATGCGTGTAACGTCGCCGATTATATATACACACACACACAAAATACAGGGTGCTTTAACATTTTTTAACACTTCTGAGAATTTTGCAACAATACCGCAAGAAATGTGCTGCTGCCTCCGGGCTCTGGGGACCACTTGGAGAACATTCCAGGCAAGCGTTGACAATGATGGCGAACAAGTGGGAGACTCTTTGATTTTTGTCAAGCTATTAACATACATTCGTGATGTTTTTATCCGTTCTTTTTCCATTAAAAACGATAGTCCCATGTAAGTGTTAAAAAAAAAAAATTGAACCACCCTGTATATATATGCAGTATATATTATAGCATTGGTCTTATTTCGCGGGGCATTTGGAAAAGCAACTGGCAAACTAGAGGGAGGGCAGTGTTATTGACGAATGTTGCGAGTGTGTATTTTGTTGCTGGCCTCTTGAATTGGCCGATTGTTTTAACTCACGTGGAAGCTGCTTAATACAGAGGGCTGGATTGGGAGCTCATCCTAGGGGCCTACCTCTTGAGCTCATTACCAACCCCACGTGGCCAGGGCCCAAGGATTTATCTTTTTTTTATTGAAGCAACACAAACTGGTGGGGTTGAATACAATCAGGGGGGGGGGGGAATTGGCCATGAATTATCCCCCCCCCCAGTGCATCGGCAGCACCAACCACCATCCTCTTGTTAAAAAAAAGGTCTCAGAATAGGTGAAGGCCATCCTGAATAAAATGTAATAATGATGATTTAAATGTATAAAGCGCCCAGAACACGCTGGCGGCACTCTGTCGCTCGGCTTGGCCTGGGAACCACGGGGAGTTCCCCAGGAAGAGCTAGAGTCTGTCGCCAGGAAAAGGGAGGTCTGGACCGCCACTACTCAACACGCTGCCGCCGCGACCCTCGCCAGGACAAGCGGCCTGGGAAACGAACGAAAGCGGCCCTTAAACAGTCGTTCGCAGGGCGCTATGCATGAAAAGGCGGAACATAGTTTATCAGCAACCAAGTAGAGAAAAAGCGAGAGACGTTTGAAAATAACGGGAGGGAGAGAGACATTTTAAACGCATAAGTTTTAAGATTTTGTAAGGGTCTCTTAGAAGTCCTGACCTCGAGGGGCAAGAAGCTCCAGACAGTAGTAGCAGCAACCGGTACAGCCGCTTGTGTTAATCCATTGCTGAATGAGGGCCTTCTGTGTCCGCCGTGGGGCTTTTGAGTTGTTTCATTGACCGTTGCGTTACGCTCGTCAGTGTTGGTGGGCGAAGAGAGGGGAGCATAGACATACAGCACAACAATGTATATGTCTGTACGCTTCGGCTCACAAGGTAGCATTGCAGCCGCCTATAATACCTGTTGTGTGCACTGTAGTCACCCACATTGACCAGGCTCAACCCTTCTACATAGTTTCTGAGATCTTAAGATTGGGCACATTCCAGGCGATTTGGTTATATAGGCCTTCCTTGATAAGGAATTTACCTTTTTTACCTGAAGAAGGTAGAATTGTGTCGTGCTTTCAGTTATACATTGTCAGTGTTTGTCTTAACTCGGACTTGTTTCAAGTGGACAGTGCAATTTCAGAGTATCTTGATTGAAATCAGCAACTACATTGCTGTGTCCAAACAGTGACCTCAACAGACGACGCCTGGGGTGGCTCTCATCAATAAGGGGAATTGAGAAAGTGCTACAATTTATATTTTTTATTTCGTAGCGTACTTTGTTCAAACCCACGGAAGGGCACATTGCTAAGAGCAGCAGTACTCATTTGTATATTGGCATGCCAAGTCAGCAGACATTGAAGTCATTCCCTTGTTCCACCACTTGTGCTCGCCATTCCAGGCAGGAGGGGTTTATACTTCCTTATAGAATTAATATTTCCTTATGGCTTGTGTGGTGTAACGGTTACCACACTACTTGCAACCCACCGGTCGCTGTTTTTTTTCCCGAAACGCAGCAGTTAAAACCACGGTGGGTATTTTATTTAATGCCCCCCCCCTGCTCTCTGTCCATCCATCGTTCTATATGACACACCACATTAGGTTGATCGGCTGTTCGTGTGTGGTGGAGCAAAGTGGATAATTCCCACTTGTTCCAAGGTGTCTCAACAATATGGAAAAGTAGGGAAAATACTAGAGGGAATCTTCGGAGCTCCTTCCGTGTGGAGGCCATTCTTCCAGAAGTAGCATAATCCAGAAATTGCAGGGCAGCACCTTGCCCTTTCATATTTCTACTTGAGTACCATCAGGCTATGTTTGCTGCATTGCTTTTACTGTAACGGGTTTAACAAAGTGGATTATCCTGACAAAGTGGAACCTGCTTTGTGCAAACACTGGGCTTATATTGACGTTGACACAATGTATTAAAAATCCATTCCAGTGCAGAGAAAATTCTGATGGGAAGCTTTAGCTCACTGTTTTATACCTTTTAGTCAGAAGTTAGTCATGCAAACTTTTCTTTCAGGGTCTGTTTGACTGGTCAAAGGGGCTAATGTGATTAGAAAGTACAGTAAATGGTTAACTATTTAAACATGCTGGTCGTGTTTATTTGGTTTGTATTGTGGGGTGTCTAGACTGGCTCTTGACTGAATAAGTAACTGTTTGGCAAATTGAAATTAAGTAATACAAATATATGTATTGTCCTTCATCTCAATCTTACTGCCTTCCTCCACACACTTTTTGAGATTGTTTGTTGACCGCATTCACAATGCTAGTTACTGCTGTTGATAAAAGAGGGTTTAAGATTGGTTCAGATATCACTTTCACTGATTAGGCAACCTCGCTAATTAGAATTTAAAAAATCATCCTCATAATATGGTGTAATTTTAACGGTAATTTATCTCGTTCTAGAAAATGTGGCCTGTTTATGGAATAAGTCATTGGTTTGCCACGCATAAACATAATGGCAACGTGCATGAAAAAGTCATTTTGTCGAAGTACATCTCACACCTCGGTATTTTAAGAGCATTTCTCCTTTAATTAAGAAAGATGGACAACTTATTTGTATCTGAATTCTAGTCCTAATTGAGTGATAGCTTCGCCCCAGCAAAAAAATAACACTTGATGATTATACAGTACTAATTTTCTTCAAAGTATCTGAAACGTACTTCCCAAATTGTGGAACTGCCCTCACAGCCATGGCCAGGAAGCTTTCGTGCCATCGGCTTCATAGCGCAGTGTGATAACCTCTTTGCCTTATACTAATTGCAGTTACAGTATTAAGTGTCATTCGTAGAATTACATTTAAACTGTTGCGTTATTTTGTGCATATCTTCACACTCTCCCACCCCCACCACCTACCTTGCTCTCCTACACCCTGATGTGACTCGGCCCATCTCCCCTTCATGCGTCCCTCACCCCCAACCCTGAACCCACGCAGGGCTCAAGTGCCCCATCTGCTCCAAGTTCGTGCCGTCCGATGAGGTGGAGGTTCACCTTGTCATGTGTCTCACCAAGCCTCGCGTCTCGTACAACGGTGAGGCCTCTTGCACCGCCTGCGATTGGTTTGTACTCCGGTACTTTTTTCGTTATCAGCAGTGATCATATACCACTGCCGGAAGAAGGTCTCACCGAGCAATCGCCATCCGTCGCGATCCTGTGATGTCACTAATCCTACTAGCCACCTGCACAAGAGATAAAATCGTAACTCGTGTCCTTGTTGGACGTCCTCTCGGATGCGCTCCGTTCCTTGGCTGCCACGCATGGAGTTATTCTCGCCCACAGGTCATCATGCCTTTTAGCGACATGTTCTGTCCAAGCCCCCTACTTACTTTTCTTAACTCTCAAAATTGTCCGTTACAGACTTGTTCTCTAACCCATGTGTTCCTCTTTCTGTTTTATATTTTAATCTCCAGGCTTCTTTTCACAAAACCAACGTTCTCTTTTCCTGCAATTTCCTGCACGCATCACGAGCCTTAAGAATCAATTTGATTCGATGCATTTGTCACAATACCTAATTCCTCGATTGCGTTTGGAACCGACATCTGGTATTGATGGGGGTTACCTGTGTCTGGGTGGCGTAGAGGATGTACTGACGAAAGACGCTGGCGAATGCGCCATCTGCCTGGATGAGATGGATCAAGGAGACACAATTGCGCGGCTGCCCTGCCTCTGTATTTATCATAAGGGGTGAGTAACGGCGCTGTGGTGCGTTTTACGTGTCACTGCACATTCGCCACTCGTTCGCGCCGCTAAGCATGCACAATTGCTGTTGTCATAACAAAATAACGTGAATTGGCTCTTGTGGCGCCTCAATAGCGCGGTCCGTTCATTTATTTTGAAGGTACAATGGGAAAAAAAAACTATTTTTAGAAAATTGTAGCGCAATGCTTAGAAGGAAACTGACGTTTGCGTTTTTTGGCCAAAATGCTACTGGAGGTGGCCGTTTCACCGTCAAGTAGCAAACAGCTGTGACGTTCTGTGTTGCCACCGCTTTGTCCTTTACACGTTCATGGTTATGATTTGCTAATTTGTCAACTGCAAACTTAACAAAAAAGGAAAAAATTAAACCAGCTTAACTTTTGTCTCCTTGCAAACTCTGAATTCAGCAAATTATCCCGCTTACTTATTTACACGAGTGTCTTGAGGAATTATATTTCACGTGTCACGTGGCGGAGGAGAGCGTGGTGGACATGTGAAATGTATCCACACCAACCTAAAAAGTGACACCACCTCGAGCTGGGTGTGATAGACACCCTTGGAAGAACATTAATCTTTCATGAATATTTGCCAAGTTGCCTTTTGAAGTGCTGGTTCATTTTAATTATATCTATATGTTCATGCATATGTGATAAGATGCTTGCACGTTTCTTAACAAGAATATTCTGTGCAAAGGGCTAGTATTTTTTGAGCACAGGATTCACCCGTGCCACACTCTTGTGGGTTTTGTACTAATGAGCATTGGTAATCTATTTAAAATGCTAATTACATTTGTAATTACACAAGTAGACCAGGAATGTAGCTGATCCCATCAGATCTCAGGAGTCTGAGGGTTCCACCTAGATTGTGATTGGATGGGCAATCACCACGCGTAACATAGGTATGAAAAAACAAGAATAGGTTTTACCCTTTCTGGCATTAAAACAGGAGGTGGTGTTAAGATATTCAAACACCAAATGGAAACCTCTTGTAAGGAATCAAGTTTACTGCATTAACCACACACGGTACCTGTGGTGAACATGCAAACAAACATGCTCTGATAAGATATGCATTGTGTTTGAGACTGATTCGCCTGCACCAGAGACGGCAGCCTTCTTTAGGGTCTAGTCTCACCAGTGTGAGACCAGAGAATGCCAAAAGGCGAACAGTACAAAGACAATGCCACTATCAGAGCATTTTTAGCTCGGGGATGAACAGCTACAAATAGGACTTTTTTGCTAGTAGTCTAAAACACTTGTGCATAACACAGTTGTGCATAACACAGGTGTTTTAGGCACCCTCCCTGGGCTACGTGGTGGGGAGCAGAAGAAAGTGCAGCAAAATCTATTGTTGTACTCTACTATGCTCACACATCTACGTTCGCCGCATTCACCGAAGCTCGCAGACCAGCGTGGTGAAGTATGATCAAACAACTTCCCGCGGCCTGCACTATGTGGGGAGCCCCCCCCCCCCCCCCTGTCCAGCAGTTGGTTGGTTGACAAAAAGTCTGCATACCTGCTACCTAAATTTGTTGCAGGCATTCCTTAAAGCTGACGTGAACAATGCTCTTTGGTTCTTTCGGTAAAGTCACGTAGATATAAAATGATTATAAAATCTTTATGCCTACGTGACTTTACCAAAAGAACCAAAGAGTATGGATCCCTGCAGTCACAAAAACTTCAAATCTAGATTAGACTGGTGTGAACTAGTCTCATTTGGGGGTTGCATTTATAGAACACGAGTCATGTTGAAACGGCTACACTGAGGGCGACACACATGGATTTTCTTGTTACTCAATACTATCGGTGCTGTGTATCATCTTGTGACTGACCTTGGACCTTCACCTGTGTTCCTTGCAGATGTATTGACTCATGGTTTAAAGTGAACCGCTCCTGTCCTGAGCACCCGCCTGACTAACATGACTAGACCCGCCCAGAAAGGTAAAACATGCGGCTGCTTTTTTTTTTAAGTGAACCGGCGTTTTTATTGATAATGACTGGGCCCGTTTGAACAGGCACCTTTCAGCCCCAGGTAGGGTTCCAGGTCGCAGGGGAGGGGGGGACCCCTTGGAAGCGAATTGAGTGAAAACGTGGCCTCAAAATGAATTGCCTGGCTCGACAGGTGGTGCAGTGTATTGTCGAACACTGCGCTATGAATCCCGGAGACGCTACAAGTTCCGATTCCCACCTGCAGCTAGCATAGGTGGCGGAGTCATATTCTAGCCGGTCCTGGAGAACCCAGGTTCACCAAACCTGCACTGAATTATGCTTGAACAACTTCAATGGCAGACAGTGTTGGTTTGGTGGTGGGGGGGGGGGTGGCGCACGGGGGCTTTAGTCAGCAGTGAATTGACAAATGGTTGTATTGATTTATAGTTTTGACGAATTCACGGCAAATTATATTTGTGTCTCATGCAATCGTTGGACCTGTGTTCTAGTTTTTTTTGTCTTATTAGACCGATGGAAGTCTTTGGTCATTTGCACATGTGCAATTGAGTTTCGGTAAATTTAGTACGTCGAGCAAGGCGGCCTTGGCATGATTGCCATATTGGCATGAACTTTTCGATCACGGGGGATGTTGTAACCCAGGCTTCTCGGGTAACTTTTGCCGTATTGGCATATTCTGACCGGTCATTTTGAGGAGGGGGGCAGGGGGGGAGAGAGGTGTGCTGTGTTTCCATCTCAGATAACTCGTATGTCATTTTATGTTCTAGTGAAGTCGTTGCAAGTCATGCTAAGGCCCCCTAATAAGTTTGATGTTTTCAGCTGTGCAGCTGTTAATGCACGTTGGTGCTTATATTTGAATGTGTCGCCTGAATACATTTTAATTCTCATGGTGCTCGTTTTCTATGGTGGGCGATGCTTTCGTGTTACGTTGCTCAGCTGGTTTTTTTTAACCCGTACTTTTTTGTTGATGAATGGGGTTAAATCTGCTCCGCGAATGTGTGCAGAATGCATCACGCTGTTGGATATTCTGTGATTGTTATCTGTTGGAGTCAGTGATGTGCGATGCAATGAGTGTTTATTAGCCCCAATTCTCTTTTGCTTTAAACCTGCACTGACAGTCTCGACAAATAGAGCAAAACTGCGTTGGTTATTTAAATTATTTACAAACACTGCAGGAAAATGGCATGTGAACTTTTTATAACGTGTCAAGACAGTGCCAAAGAAACGTACTGGTAACATTCTAGTAATTACCATGTGGAATATGTGGCAACAGAGCCAAAACTAACATTTTGTGTTGTGTAAAGTAGCCATGCCTACGTTTAGTTTTATTTTACTTTTTCGTCCTCCACTTGAAATAATTTAAAACACGCAAGTTATGTGGGCGTGCTTCTGAACTTGAACGTGATGGACCTGTGGCAGCATGGTTAAAACTGAAAGCACGTGTCCGTCGAGAAAATGAGGAATGCCAACATACGCCCACTCCACTGGTTTCACCCCCAATCTTTATCCACGTTATTGTTAAAGCAGCTAGATGTGCTTGTGTATACTAGGAGGGCAGTTGTCTCTGTGATTGCCTTGACCCCCCCCCCCCCCCGATGGTGACCTCATGCCTCTGCTTTGCTGTGCAGTGGCGGCCTGATCACCACCAGCCCACGTGCCGCGGGGAGAGCGACCTGAGAGCAATCAAACGAGAGGCTTTTGATTTTTTTCTGAGTATTTTGCTCCCCCCCCACCCCTCCATCACGACTTGAGCCTTAACCGCGCACTTTACCTCCGCCCTCCCGCCCGCTCTCTGCGGCGGGGTCGAGGAGGGGAGCACGAAGGCGGGTGGCAGAACCCCCCCCCCCCAATCCCTCCACTTCTCCCCAATCAAAACCACGACTACCTTAACCCCAACCCCCCAGTCCCCAAGTGTCCCGTGTTGCGGTTGGAAATGACACGTGCTCTGTTTGCCCCGTACGGCTGTTGCTGGTGCATCACTGACAGCGACATATACTGAACTGCCCCCTGTAATTTATTATCCATCGAGCTTTCATACCGATACGGGCCCGATTTTATCGGGAGGCAGTGTGATGAGCAACCGACATATAGCATGGGTGCTCCCGTCAGCGTGTGTGCTAACGAGCAAGCCCCGGTCGCGTTCCTGTCGTGTCATGTGGATGCAATTGTCCATCATCGAAATATTTAGCGAAATGGCAGAAAATGTAAAAGCTGTCCGAGGTGTCGTTGTGGCCAAATTTTTGAACTTTCAAATGTCAAGTATGTTGTTTTTGAAGCGGGAATCTGTTTGCAGTCTTTGAAAGTATGACGCCCGTTGTAGATACAGAAGCTGAATTTATAGTCGGTGTCAAGATTTCCTGACCATAATCAGAATATAAGGTATTGAGGAAAAACAATTATAAACTCTAAGTAAATTGATTTCAAGTTTGTGCTTTGGTCTATGAAGGTAAAGAGCTGTTGAACCAAACAACGTCGTCGCGAATGCATTTTTTTCCGAACGTCATTTCCATCTTTTGGATATTTTCTAAACATTTCCTGAAGCTGGTGGTGTTTTTAACTTTCGGTTTCACATTTTCTTCAACAATAATGTGGATTTGCTTAAATATCCTTGTCCATTGCACGCTGGACAAGGAACAACCATGCAGGAGTTAGGCCAAAACTGTAATTCGGAGGATGATTTGTCTCCATTTACCCTTCCATGTGCAAAGAATAAATACACACGTTGCACCATCCAATATATAATGAACCCAGGAAAAAAATATTTCTTAACACATTATTTTTGAGAACATTTACAGAAATAAAATTGTCGCATTACAAAAGGAAAGTGCACTAAGTGACACTGGGCTGCGCCTTTAAAAGTGTCGCCTTGCTCCATGTGCTAATTCGCACTAAAAATTCGCAGTGAGGTTCTTTTTTTCTCTATTTAATTAAAACAATCGAATTTATAACACACTCCTAGTTAGATGCTTGACATTTTTGCCGCGTTTGACCTCCTTGCATATCTGCCACACAGGAACAAATTTAATTTCGCGTGAAAAGAATGTTTATCTCTTTTTTCCAGCCTGTCACATTTTCGTTTTTTGGTTTCTAAACGTTTGTGTTTGCTTTGAGACGAGACAGGAGTGTTGCTTGTAGGTTAATTCTGCGTCGCAGTCGTGTAAGCATTGCTCTTTACGCATGATCCGACAGTTATGGCGATCGTAGAACTACCTCCGTTAATGCTTTGTAAGAAAAATAAGAGGCCTTTATGTTTTACATTTCAAATTGACACGTTAAAGCCACCTGCAGTAAGAAGCATATGCCCTCTACTGCTAGGAATAGGTGCTCTGTAGAATGGTGGGCATTTGCACAGTTTATCAACCTTTTTCATCACAGTACAATGAAATGCATAGATTACATAATTTGAATCTAAACCTAAAACAGACAAACAAAAAAACTTGATGTCACTTTGGAAGTTATTTCTAAAACACTGGGAAGAGGGGGAGGGGGGGGGTTGGTGCCAGGGATCGATTTGCACACTTTACCACTAACCTTCTGAAAAAAAAAATTCCCCCCCCCATAATTTAACGTTTACAGAGACGCAAATGCGACGTTGTCCGAGCGTGTGTGGTGGGGTCGCGTTGTATGTACGTGTAGCCATTGTATTATTTAAGCCGTAAGTGGGGAAAAAACTAAACGTAATCGGGGAAACACGGACGGACGCTTTGGCCCTCGCGCCGGGGGTCTTCTGCGTGATTTTTGTACAGAGAAAAAAAAACGCGTGGGCCGATCGAGTCCTCGCCTAGCACCGGGTAGTCCTGTGGTCTTGTGCGTCTTTAACAGAATCCTCCCTCCCCCCTACAAATGGAAAGTGGTGTTTGTGTATGTGGACTCGAGGCAGTTTGTAAGAAAACGTTTCACGCAAACAAAGGTTACATGGGTTTGTTGTTGGCGGAGAAAGTGGTGTGGTTGTTCAGGCGTATTTTCATTAAATCCCCTCCACCTGAATAGCTGACGTTCCCAAAATATTATCACGTACCTTTTTTATATTGCAAATATACACACATATATTTTAAAAAGTGTAGTTACAAGTTAAGGCAGTAGGACAGGTGTTGTCTTTTTAAAACTTTCAACTTGTGTTTTGTAGGAAATGCAATTGACACATTAATTTTCATGACCAGAAACCCCAGATTTAAACAAATAAAACGCAAACGTAGGCTGTCGAAATATAAACAAGATCTATTGCATGTAACCGTGGAGTTTCATGGAAAATTTGTAGTGTGAGTGTATATAGTCGGACGTCTGGCCGAGTCTGTGCGATGCCTGGTTAAGGCAGTCTGTGTGTCTTTGAAATTTGGTGGCCCATCATTTTGTACATGTCAATAAATATAGCAAAAATGCATTATACATTCATGGTGCAAGTGTCTTTTTTCTTTTGTGCCTCTGTGGGATTAGCTTCCAACTCTGTTTTTGTGTGTTTTCTGATTATTATTTCGTCTTGCTGTTGAATGGTTGAGTCTCGAATGTGATGCGGTAAATGTAAGTGTTTTTTTATTTCAAGCGAACCAAGGGGCAGAGCATGAGCCATGTGTTCAGTGCCTGTGAATTATGCTTTGTCGTGGAAAAAAAATCTCAATAAATTGCACAAAAGCATCTTCCGGCAATAGGGGGGTGCCTTCAATCCTCTGGCCATTTCCATACGGGTGTGAGCTTCTGTGTCTCTTCGTCTGTGAGAATTCATAGTTTGCACATGACGCTTGTGTGCATTGTGCTTTTGTCGCCCCGCTTCCATAATAGCCGTCGCACAAGTGGTGTATCGCTCGTTGCGTGACTATAAGAGGCAACTTGGCGTGTCTGATATGAAATGTAAAAATGGCCGGTTTAAATGGGCGCCTTCAGAGAGTGAACCGCTGCCACATGCAATCGCAATTACGCCGCAAGATGAATCATTTTTGTTGAGTAATAAGACCGTGCACTGGTCCAATTGCGTGCTGACGTTCTGAATCGCGCACGTGTGTGTGTGTGGGGAGCGGTGGTGCAGCGGTTAGCGCACTGCTCTACGAACCCGGCGTCCCGAGTTCAATTCCCGCTCATGGCAAAAGTCAGTGACGATTATCTGAACCGGTCCTGGGCCTCCCCTAGGTTGACTCGGCCTCATGAGTACCTGGTGCGTTGTGTAAACATCGCCACTGGGAAGACAAAGGCGGTCGGGCGTGGTGCTGGGGGGTCTGTCTTTTGTGTTTACAGGCTCTTTAATATAAGGTTCTTTTGGGTTCGATCGCGTAAATATAAAATGTGTCTTTAAACCCGCCACCACCCGACACAGCCAACTAGAGAGGGTTGTCACATAAACAGAACATGCCAATTCGTCACTAGTACAGCACACCGGTGTGTTGGAGAGCCAAGCCACAACATTTACAATCTGAGTAACGACGTTTCGCCAGTAATTACAACTAGCTTCATCAGGCGACAGCCAGATTTGTGGAGAAGTCCACCCGTTTCGTTCCTTAAATAGAGGCGTAGATGTCGTGGCAATACTTGTGCGCAAAGGGGGGCGGCGGGGGGGGGGGGATCTAACCGAAGAAAACGCCTGGATTATGGATGATATGGCCGCAAAAGCCGACGTGTTAAACGGGCTCTATTTTTTTATTACACCAAAAGTACATTGTGTCGTATAAGAGTCGTATGATGTTTGGGTTGTCTGATACTGTTTTTGTGGTGTGATTACCAGGCCCTGTGTACCCCTGCCGTGTTTGCCGCTTTGGTTGGGCTATGTCGTGACGCCTGCAGTGGGACCCCCCTTCCGGCCGGAAGGCCCAGAGAATCGATAGCTCTCGGCTCTAAAACACAAGCCGCTTGCAGGATCAATAATCGCCTTGCACTGCCACGCATTTCCTAAACGATGCAATAATTGCCTCCCAATTACCCTGGTGCAGTCCCCACCATGTCGCCCTGGTGTACCATGTGGCATCTGGTAGCTGCAGTAACCATGTGACCTCTGGTGTCTGTATGTTGAACTTATTTTGTACCATACGTTGCCAACCGTGATAGGCGGAGGTGCGGAGGGAAGGACGACAAACTAGAAACAAAAAGCCGTTCTAAAGAAATGAGTTTTCGATCTCGACGATTTGAAAGCGCATCGCTTCCGTCTGGAAGCAAGAGTGTTCCAGACACCCGCAGAAGCGCACCTGAAAGTGCGCGATACGGTGACCGTCTTTCATATTACCCTCCCACCCCTTGGCGTCCTAACACGTGACTTGTGCTGCCTTTCACTTGTCGCCCCAGTGTACCACCAGACCCCGGTAGCTGCCCCTATCGTGTGACCCACGTGTACCTCGTGACCCTTGATTCACAATGTGTGATGACCGTGCCCTTATTGGCGGGAGAAATGCGATCCTCGTGCTGGAAGTCGTGTGACATTGACAGCGAATTCAATTTGCGGGTGATTGCGTGGAACGCGTCAAATATCATCAGTGGGGCGTCGCGTGTGGTAGCCACTCGGCAGTGAAATTCAAGTGAATTGTGTACATCAAGGCGTTGTATTGTGAAATTTGTGTAATGTGGAGTGTGGAACGTACAGCAGTGTTACTGCATAATGCAAAATTGCCTGGATGTACCTTTCACCCACTCGATCATCTACCTTGTACGTGACTAACATCTGCTTGTTCACTCGGTTGTCTTAAAATTTGACCCAAAAATATTCGTCGAGATATTTATATACATCGCCTGTATTTTTGGTGTTGTGGGTGAAGAGGCCTCCACCACTACGATTATAATTAGGATTCAGAATGTTTTATTTTAAGCTTTAGTTGAGGAGGCAGTACAAGGAATAGGCGTGCACTTCCACTTGCCATGTGGTGTGGCCGATTTATTTTTGAGACTTAAATGATCGCAGCGAGCCCAATATTCCGCCTTCGCAAGGCGTCCAGTTGTGCCGAAATCGGGTTGTTAGCGGGGTTTCTGTTCCCACCGATCTCCCGGACCCCCTTTTGGCGGCCGGCGTATTGTACAGGGCTCACGTTGTGTTGCGAATAAAAACGTAAACAAAAAAAAACCAAATGTAAATGATCGCAAACCCTCCATTTCAGATCGCGCGTTGCACTCGGCCAGTAATGCAGGCCAACCGCGTCGATTATTGCAGCCAAGGTGGTTTTAATGGTCCCGTTAAACATGACTTTGATACACAACTTCCTTTTCCGGGAACTAAACTAAACTGCTCGTGTGGGTCTTCGTTGTCTTCAGACATTTATATGATGAAGAAGAAGAATAAAAATGGCTTACACATTATTCAGTTGTGCTCCTTGAGCTATGAGAAATAGACACCACGGTCCTTTTAACGTGGCCTCTGGTGTGCACAGTTAGAGGGCAGCACTTTCACACCCATACCACTACGGAGAGGAATGCTCGTTCGCTTGACGGCTCACAGATATTTCTTTCGCTAATTCTCACAGCCGGAATTTAGTCAAATTTAAGTGCAGCAGAACGAAATTTACTGTGATGGGTTTTCTTTCTTTCATTGGGCGTGTGTGTGTGTCTGTGTGTTCAGTCATTTAGTGATCAGGAATGAGAACCATCAACTCAATTCAATTTGAATAGTACCCGGTTTTAATCGCAGGCACCTTGCCGGAATTCGAACACTTACTATCTTAGCAGCGTCGGCTCAGCGCTCTGACCTCTGAGCCACCTGGCCATTTCCTCTGGATGCGGATAAATTTTAACCCAGGTCCATTTAAAAGCCTCGTTTGTGCCACCCCCATTCCTGCTCTAGGCTCTTAAGGTGTCATAGATAGGCTGCAGTCAAAATGTGCATTTAAAAAACACAAACTGCTGACCTTTCCATGTGCTCTTAACAGCTTTAATCGAGCCCTCTATATTTTATTGTGAAAACGGCAGATTTTAAAGTGGGGGGGGGGGGGGGGGGCGATTGTATGTTGTTGCTAATTTTGTCAGGGTTTCCCACCCTACCCCGTCACTCCCGCCGTCGCAAATGAACCTGCAAGTATGTTTGGCGGAAACGTGTTTGACCGTAAGATCAAGTGTGCCCCGTGCAAGGTGTCGCCTCGTTTTTAGCAGCCGCAACGGCCACACGGCAGAGGAATGGTTTGGCATCGTTACGGCACCACTGCCGAAGGTCGGCGGTCCTCGGCGTTAAGTTGCGCGCGCGGTGATCGCGTCGATGGGACAAACCGGGTGGCGCGGTGGCGAAATGGAGCGATTGACTGGGATGGGGGTTTAAACCGCCTGCGGGACAGGCGGTTTAAACATTTCGTTACTCGAGGATTGCATTGGTGGCCGAGCAGATAATGCGATTTCCCCTCCGAGGATGCAGCCTCATTGGTACAGCCCACGTCAGTTTCCCGCACGGATTGTCTTCGCGTTTGCGGTACCTCCGAGCGAGCGGGCGCATAATAGCCGTACATCGCAGGCCCACTGGTAATTGGTGTACACGACTGCTGTGCGCGTGAGCTGTGTGCAATGCACGCAGATGTGACGGGGATTTTGACAAGCGGTACGTGCGTGTGCACGCGCGCACATATGTATTCCTTTGTGCATGTACGTATATGTGTGTGCGTGCGGCGCGTGTGCCTAATATGTTGCATGTGCGAGAGAGAGCGTCATTGCATGCGCGCATGGGGAGACGACTGCAGTGGATGCGTGTGCATTTCCGCTCGTCGTCATGCACGCACGTGCGTATACGCGTCCGGAAAAGAAATAAATGAACAGCACCACGCGCATTACGTGCGGCGTGGTCGTACGCATGGGTGTGATTGCACGCAATATTTGTACGTGCGGTTTTTTTATTATTATATATTTAAGAGGTCTCTTGCGTGTGTCCGGGACTCTTGCAAGTTAGGGAGGTGGCGATGGGAAAAATTGGACATGAGGATATCCAAAACCCACGATGACAAAAGCCGCCATTTGGTTACGCAGTACGGGGTTTAAACGCAGATAAATTGTCATTCGGAGCTCTCGTGAGCACATGCAACACTGTTGGAGTTTGTTGTGCGCTTAAAAAAATATATATGATGTTGATATTCTGTGGTGCAGTATAAGCTTGCGATTTTCTCTCTCGAGATATATATGTGTGTGTGTGTGTTCCCCGGTGATATTTGTGAGAACGAGTTCATGTTTGAAAAAGCATTTAAAATTCTGGAACTGGCATAAAGATGTAATTTTTCTCATTGTCGTGTTTACCGTCAAACATTAAGGATACGCGGAGCCGGAGTTATATAGTAATTCGACACATAATTGCTGCATGTACTGTGATTATCCTAGCAATGGCAGTTTTTGTGAGATCTTTGTGTGCGGTGTATACTCGGTCACCCCTTGACAGTGATGCACTCCCATAACCGCTTGAAAATTCATGATCTCGACTCTCAGTCGTAACCTACATTCCTTCAATCTCTGCCACAGGCTTTAAACTGTCGCGTGTGATATTCATCTTGAGAGGGGACGTCACCGCATCGCTTTTCCCTTAAATGCCCATTATCTGAATTCCATTGCTCCAGTTTAGTATGCGTTCCATTGATTGCAGCAAGCAGTCGACAAAATGCTGCCCTTGCAGTTTACAGATCTCTCACCCACGCAAGGATCTATCCCCCCCCCGCCCTCCAATATGGAATCGTAAAAAAAGGCGGTCATGACTGTGACACATTTGATGCGAGGGTGCTGTGCCGTTTGCACGTGTGCATGCACGAGTGAGTTTGTGTGTACGCACAGGCGAGCCGTGTGCGAGCGCGCTCGCCTGCATCCATCACCGCGGCGTGTGCGCACGACGCCGCCCTCCGCCGTCGGCCGCAGCGTACGTGTCCCGCGCGGCGTCCGCAGAATCACCAGAGATGCGATCTCGCGCCGTCTGTACATAACCGCGGTGCACCGCCATGCTACCGTGTATGCCCGCCCGCCCGCCCGCCCGCCCGGTCAGCGCCACAACATTCTGCGTTCACAGCCGCCACGACAGACAGGCAGCAGCAGCAGCAGCAGCCGCCGTCCGTGCGTCCGTGCTCCTCCCAAGCCCGGCTCCTCGGCGACTGCCCGGCTGCCGCTAATGACATAATTAATGCCGTAATGAGTCGGCGGCGATTTCTTTTTTTGGGGGGGGGAAAAGCGAGACGGGCTGGGAGAGAAGGGGGCTACGCCCCGGGCGGCGTGTTGTGTGGAAACGCCCGGCTAATGCAGCAAGCGGCACTGCAGTGATGAAGGTGGACCTCTCGCTCACGCCACTGCCGTGCAAGCGGGCACTCCGCACAGCGGCACGAGAGCAAGCGGGCACTCCGCACAGCGGCACGAGAGCAAGCGGGCGAGCTTCTGGAGGCGCGAGCCCTTCGTTGCGGGCGATGGCACCCCCCCCCCCCTTCACCACCTGCTGTTTTTTATTTCAACTTTTTTACTTTGATTTCTCTTTTTAACCGGTGCACCGGGCATTCGAGGTTGTATTTTTTTGCAGGGACAGGTTCACGATGGCCAGCTCGCTCGCTCCCTGTCGAGCTGCCGGCCGGCGTGCCCTCGCGCGTGGACCGGCAAGGGGCCCAGGCCCCGAGCGATGTCGTGGCATGTGTAAGGTAGGGGGAGCAGCCACGTCGGCGGGCTCACTCTCGGAGGGTCCGAGCAGCACTGCGGTCGGCAACGGTTGGCGTTGGAATGGCAGCGTCGTCTTTAATATAGATGTCACAAATATTAATTGTGTTAATCGGTTGCTTGCACGATGGCATGATTTGAGGCATTGATGCTAGTAATATTCACGATAATGTATATTTTTCTTATTTGAATGATAACATTGAAGCCGAACATTTGTTTCTAAATCTGGTATTTATTGGAACAAAGATGGCGATTCTGAATCTAAATTATCAAAAATAGTTGCAGATTGCGGCTTCATAGATTTATTTTCGCAAAGTGACTGTGGTTGGCTGAGTAACGGTGGCTTTCATTACACGCCCTTGGCGCACCCGTCAGTGCTGCCGCTGCATCGGCGTACGGACGTGCGCTCGAACGGCATCGCCACGGAGCGTGCAAAGAGTGCAACTGGACGGGTGGCTCGCCGTGTGGAGGAAGGGGACCCCCGAGGCGAAATTGGGACGGGGGTTTAAAGCCCCTGCACCCGGGGCGTGCGCGACCGCTTGGCGCCGCCGTGCGTGCCGCCGTTTATGTCGTCACAGAGCTGGACAGCGGTGGGGGGGGGGGGGGGGGTTGCCCCCCACAACCGCCGCGGCCTCGCTCCCCCGTCGGCGCTCGCTCCGCTGAAACGTCTCGGGAGAGAAATCACGAGGGACGAGACTCGACGCGCGGTCGAGGCTCGGCGCGCGTCGCTCGCCCCGTCCGCCTTACCGGCCGCGCTTGCCATGCCGCCGCGTCATTAGTTTGAACGTGCCCCCCCCCCCCCAACCCCCGCCCCCCCCCCAGCGGTTTTTGAATCCTCGTATTAAACGAGCGGCGACGACGACGACGATGGACTCCTCTGCGTCGAGACCCCCAAACGGAGCGGCGACTGAGCGACGGTAAACGTTCCCACGGCTGCCTCCGTCCAACGTAAATACGCCCACTGGTTCGGAGCGTTCTCTTGAGACGCGTTCGCCAGGATTGAGACGCGATGTTGAACCCTCGTTGTGTGTCATCGTGGTGACGGCGATGTCAATTGCTTGGTTTGGGTCGGGGGGGGGGGGGCCTCTCAAAATAAAGGGTAAAGTCAGGCTCTGGAATCGCTTGCCAACGCCACTGCTGGCAAGGTGGGCCTCACCTGGAGGGGAGGTGTATAAGAGCCGCTCACGCTATTGGGAGAGCGTTTGGCCAACTCTTGCAGGCTCGCCAGACGTCTTGAAAGAGGTGAGAGTACCCGCGCTTTAACCCCGCCGTGCACGACCTGCCAGCCGGCTGACCGGTGCGCCGATTTACGCTGGATTTAAGAAACTTGCCCATGGCATCAACTGCCGCAGCAGAAAGATCGAATCAGATCGGCGACCGCTGTATTCCAAGTCCCAGTGCCCCCTGACGATTACACCGCGGCAGCAGCATCCTCCCCAACACAAGGGGATATGAAAAAAAAACGCTGTTCCAGCCCACAAACTTGGGCACCGCTGCCTTTTGCATTGCCAGCCCGCCTGCCCGGGGCTAAGGCCGATTTAATGTCCCTGTCGCTGCGCGTGCCGTCACAGCCTTCACAGCAGTCACAGCCGTCACAGCCTTCACAGCAGTCATAGCCTTCACAGCAGTCATAGCCGTCACAGCCTTCACAGCCTTCACAGCCTTCACAGCAGTCACAGCCTTCACAGCCTTCACAGCAGTCACAGCCTTCACAGCCTTCACAGCAGTCACAGCCTTCACAGCCGTCACAGCCTTCACAGCCTTCACAGCCGTCACAGCCTTCACAGCAGTCACAGCCTTCACAGCAGTCACAGCAGTCACAGCCTTCACAGCAGTCACAGCAGTCACAGCCTTCACAGCCTTCACAGCAGTCACAGCCTTCACAGCAGTCACAGCCTTCACAGCCTTCACAGCAGTCACAGCCTTCACAGCAGTCATAGCCGTCACAGCTTTCACAGCAGTCACAGCCTTCACAGCAGTCACAGCCTTCACAGCAGTCATAGCCGTCACAGCCTTCACAGCCTTCACAGCAGTCACAGCCTTCACAGCAGTCATAGCCGTCACAGCCTTCACAGCAGTCACAGCCTTCACAGCCTTCACAGCAGTCACAGCCTTCACAGCAGTCATAGCCGTCACAGCCTTCACAGCAGTCACAGCCTTCACAGCAGTCACAGCCTTCACAGCAGTCACAGGCTTCACAGCAGTCACAGCCTTCACAGCAGTCACAGCCTTCACAGCCTTCACAGCAGTCACAGCCTTCACAGCAGTCACAGCCTTCACAGCAGTCACAGCCTTCACAGCCTTCACAGCAGTCATAGCCGTCACAGCCTTCACAGCAGTCACAGCCTTCACAGCAGTCACAGCCTTCACAGCAGTCACAGCCTTCACAGCAGTCATAGCCGTCACAGCCTTCACAGCCTTCACAGCAGTCACAGCCTTCACAGCAGTCATAGCCGTCACAGCCTTCACAGCAGTCACAGCCTTCACAGCCTTCACAGCAGTCACAGCCTTCACAGCCTTCACAGCAGTCACAGCCTTCACAGCCTTCACAGCAGTCACAGCCTTCACAGCAGTCACAGCCTTCACAGCCTTCACAGCAGTCACAGCCTTCACAGCAGTCACAGCCTTCACAGCAGTCACAGCAGTCACAGCCTTCACAGCAGTCACAGCCGTCACAGCCTTCACAGCAGTCACAGCCTTCACAGCAGTCACAGCCTTCACAGCCGTGGGCGTCTCGGATGCACTTGAAAGATGCCACGCGCCGCATTCCCCTCCACCCACCCACGCCGCTGCGTCCCCCCACCACCCACCATCCTCCACCGTCTTCCGCGGACCCCGCGTGGCAGCCGCTGATTAAAGGGGGGTCAACGCGCGCCTTGCCGGGCCGCCCACGGAGACAAAAGTGGGGGGGGGGGCCGCCCTAGCCTCTCGGCCCACCTCTGGCCCCAGCCCCCGTTGGGCGGATCATCCCGCGCGCTCGCCGCCTGCAGCAGTCGGATCCGCTGAATGGCACCGCGGTAAAAAAAAAATCAAACGTTCCACGGTCTGGGGCGTCGACACGGGGATAAAAATGTCATTAGCATGCAGCCGTGTCCGTCGCGCCTTGAGCTTCATGCTCGACGCCGGCTGTGGCCTCGACGCTGTGGCGCTTGCGGGAACAGGCGCTCGCTTGAAACGGGATGCTTTGTTGTTGTTTACCACTGGTTTTCATTGATTCAAATTCAATAGAGAATTGTTGAACGAATTGATTTATTTTTTGTTGTTGTTGCGTGTTAAAGGTAAAACGTGCAGCCCGACAATTTATTGCTCACGCCGCTGCTAGCAGAATGGCCTCCACTAGGCGTGTAGCCCCTCGAGAGTATTTGGCCTTCTCTTCCATCCAAATGTTAATGTAAATTGCGTAACTGCCGAGTCGTGTCAAATGGCTTTGCCTCTGTTTTTTTTTTATCCAATGTTTCCCCCCCCACCTTCCCACTCCCACTCATTCCCTATTATCTCCTTTCAGGGGCTGATAGACGGGAGTAATCATCCCCCAAATGCATGCGCCAGCATTTGTTACGACAACCCAAGTCACCCTGAATGCGCCGCATCGAGCCCGATGCTGGAAGCGTAAGTCGGGTTTGAGCTGGGTTCATACTTGGATGGGCGACCACTGCCACCACCAGGGCTTGCCAGGTGGCGTTGGCGTGGAGCTGCGAGGTATGGCCCGGTAGTTGGCCAGTGCTGAGTGTAACCCCCTTGTAATGTGCGTGTCCCGGGGTTTTCTCCGGGTACGCCAGTTTCCTCTCCCTACGTGCCACTTTTTAACGGAATTGGCAAAACATCCCAAATGGAAGAAGACCCTCCTGAAAAAAAATGGTCTTGAAATCTGAGACGTTTCCCCCCGGTAAATAATTGACATTATCAATAAACCATTTTCTAATTGTCTAATGTCACTGAAGAAAAATGTCCGAGGTTTTGGCTTGCGTAGTAATTGTGAAGTATTAAACGTGAGGCGCGTTCATTTAGACCTTCACTCAACAAGGAAAATGAAGGGCCCCCAGCAATGGAGGTGGACGCATCGCAAGTGAGACCTGGCACTATTTTAATGGAAATAAGAAGACCACGAGCATGCAGAAAGTGCACCGATGATTTGCCAGGATAATGCCGTGAAGGAGTTGAACTCTGCCCTGGGTAGGTGAGCTGAAACGTCTTGTTGACTCCTTTTTTTGACACCATCAACGCAGCACCCGGGGCCTTCCCGTGAGAATGACGATCATCTCAACTTGTAGCGTGGACAGCATTCGACTCGGAAAGGTGCGAGGACCCACGCCGAAAGGGGAAAGACAGCCGGGTGGTGAGCCGGTGTCAAATGCCTCCCCAAGCTCTGGGGGATCCTCTATATATACACACACACTTATCTATGAAGGTGTTACGGCCAATTAATGAGCATTTACACGTGGGAGTAAACCAGAAACCCACGAGCGTGCAAGGGGGCAACGCTCTATCCCATCCAGACGGAATAGGCGTGGCTCAAATTTTCCGTACCACCTACCACCAGGTGAACAAAATGTAATCGCTGTGATGAGAATTCTGACCCGAGTCCGATGAAATCAATTTTGCTTGGACAACAAAAACAAAGATTCCCCCGTGTAACCCACACAGGCTGTTGGTGGGGCTGTGAGCGAGCACCCGTGAAGGCCGGCACGGCGCATGGGAGGGTGCTCTGGCCTTCACCAGGGCAGACCAATTTTGTCTTCCTCGTGGCGATGTTTACACACTGCACCATGTGCTCTTTTAAGGCTGAGTCAACATAGGGGAGGCCCGGAACTGGCTCAGATATATCACCACTGATGTTAGCCGTGGCCGAGAATCAAACCAGATTCGGCAGTGCTGCAACCACTGCGCCGTTGCTCCTCCTGCCTGCTTGGACGCACACACTCGCATGCACACACGAAAAAGTCACAGGAAAAAGGTGCCTTGGCTAAACCGACTGGCAGATGCGCACCGCCTGTGCTCACCACCGTGCCAACTCGCTGCGGTTTATCCACCCCGGCGCTCCGCTCTTTGGCTGTTGAGCTTCGCGCCTCCGCCCTCCATGGTTGCCCAGGATCGTCCTTGGTGAGCCTCCTCCACCCCACACACATTCACACACACGCGGCACATCTCGTGAGCTCGCGGTGTAAACGTGTCGCAGCCGAGCGGGAGCTGTGCTTTGTTTTCGGCGTGCGCGCGTGCGTGCGTGTCGAGTACGCCGTGACGCAGTGGTTCTTCTTAACCAGGGGGTGCGAGATGCCCTTTTCTGGGGGTGCGAGACACGGACAGATCTTTTTGGAAGGTAAATCATGGAAACGCAAATTAAGCACGGGGCACATAAGTACAACTACTCTGTTTCACCAAACCCTCTGTAGTTATTAACATTAAAACAAATTTTCGATTGAGAACCAAAGGGGGGTGGGGTGCAAGGCCGCAGTAAAGGTTAAGAACCGCTGCTGTAGCGTAACAATGAATTGAGACAGACAGGCCAACTGTTATCTTGCGGTTCGGAGTGCCCGGTTGTGCCAGGTTAACTCGTTGCCCAGCTCGGCACTGTCGGCCAACGCGGGAATGAGTAGCCAGGAGCCCCGAGGGAGTTTCAGGAACGCTGCCGTTCCCAGCAGTCGCGAGCGAGGGAGGCGTTCGTCGCAGCTGCCGCTCAAGTCGGATGCCCGCCGTGGTGTGTTGGTTACAGCGCTGGATTTGTAATCCAGAGGTCACCGGTTCAATTCGATTTCCATGGCGCTGCAGTTAAAAATACCAGCGCGAGTTTTTCTTCAAAAACTCCTCCGCCGCCTATGTCCACCCAGCAGTGGCGAGTGGATTCACGACAGCTCGTTGGCTGGTTGCGTGCGGTGTGGGCTCAAGCGTGGGTACTCCCCAACCCTTCTGAGACAGCTGGCCAACGTGGAAGAGTAGGCGAACGTATCCCTGTTAGAGGGACCCTCTCTCTCTGGCGCTCCATTTTAGAGTGGAGGCCAGCTGGTGCGTGAGCAAGGAATTTGCAGGGCTGCGTCTTTTCCCCCTTCTTCCCATGACATGTCCCGTGTTTTTGTTTTTGTACCTCCATAGAGACAACAGCAGGCGTCAGCGGCGCCAGCGGCGCCAGCAGCCCCATGCGGTAGTCACGGCCCACCACTCGTGTCCCCCCTGCTCGTCGCAAAATGCCTTTTCCACCGCGGCCGCCCAGAGAGGGCTCGGCAAGCGTCGGCTCAGCGGGGCCCCCGCCACTTGGTGCCGTGCCGCAGCTGGTGTTGTGAATCAGGCTGATCCTCTCCTGCTCCTCCGCCGCTTCACAGCACCGGCACGGCACGGCCGCCGCATCGCCACTGTGCATCGCACGGCACAGCAGCAGACAGCAGGAGAAAGGCCCAGGATGGACGTTCTTTAAGAACTTTTCTTGAGGCTGTAAAATCCTTTGCTGTTGCTCATCTTTTATCTCTCTCTCTCTCTCGCCTGTTTGTTTGCTGCTAACAGCTCCCCGGTTTGTTTTCGGGTTGTGCCACGTGTTGTCCGGCGTGAAGTCCGACGTTTCGCTCCGCGTGCTGGGGGTGAACAAAAGGATTTCGGAGGTAGTTCGGTGAGATCCACTTCCCTGGACCCTTCGCTAATGCCGGGAGTTGTTACTGCACTGATAGCTATTCCAATGGATCTCTTGGGATGAGAAAATGTGTTGATGATGTGATATCAAACAGCTGCTCTCTCTGACGTGTAACAAGTTAACTTCTTTAACAAAGCTAATTTTTTTGCTGCTATTTTTGTAAAGTGCACAAAACGTGAATGTAACGGAACCGTATCCTGGTGATAAGAGGTCTTCATCCGATCGCGTTTATTGAGCAAGTGTTCACATTTTTCAACAAACAATCAGGTCGCCATACATCGCGAGCCACGAAATAAATTCGCACTCTAAACGAGAAGCGTTGGCGCCAACGAAGAGTTTGAATTCACACACGAGCTCCCCCGGCACTACTTGCGCGGTGGACATCGCAAGCCGTATCGAGTGTGCAAGCCGTATCGAGTGTGCAAGCCGTGCGATGGAAATTGAGCAGAGACCCACGGTCTGGAGTGGCCAGGCAATGGGCTACAAAGTGGGGGGAGGATCGGGCGGAATTCGACAGCGAAAGGGTGGGGGGGGGGGAGTGGGTAGATGGGGGGGGGGGGTGCAATTTTATTTCTTGTACCAAGAGCCATGCCAACCGCGCTACGCTCGCTATCGCTGTGCTTTTTGTGCTCCGTGTACAAAATGTTTTTTATCTCCAGTGATAAAAAAACACTTGGGATTAAGGCACAGAATTGCGCACACCCGTGCCGTCCAGGTGCTCAAATACTCGTACGTTTAGCAGCAGGTGTGTAATAACTGAACCGAGTAGGGTTCAAATAAGATAAGCACAACCGGGGAGAGGAGGGGGGGGTAGGGGGAACGAGGCTGCTTGTCGAGTGAGCGTGACGCCTCCAGCAGTCGCGCTGCTATCTCGCGGCGCCCAGCAACCGACACGCGGTCCGGGTTAGACCACCGCGTGCTGTCCGGCGCGAATGTCCAACGTTTCGCTCCGCGTGCGATACGCGGAGCGAAACGTCGGACATCGTGCCGGACAGAGCGCGCGGACACAGCTCGACCGGAGACACCGACGCAGCAGCGTGGCCCGGTCGTTCCGTTATGTTTGTGTGTTTAACTTCTTTTGCACCGTACGTAGCCAGCCGTGCTAATCGGAGGTGCGGGGGAAAGGGCTGACACCACCAAGTGGTGCACTGCTTTCTCTGCCTAGCGATGATCGTCCGTTTCTGGGATTTACGCGAAACTGAAAACTTTAGGAAGTTTTTAAAACAAAATTTCGATGTTGTGTTATTGCGCCGAGTTAACGGGCTCGAGGATTGCACAGAGACGTGAGGTTCGTCCCCATTCTCACTTTGTTTAGTTTTGTTGATTTCACGTTAACAGGTGCAAACCCAGTAGACTAGGATGGTCTCGTTTGCAAGAGTGACCTGGGGCATTCGTTTTTCAGGAGGGGACATGAATGCCGCGCGCAGACCCCCCAAGCGAGTGTTTCCCGGTAGTTCTCGAATTTGGTAAATTTGGACCCCGACGCCCCAGTTCGCGATAATGTCACAGGATATTTAACGTCTAGTGTGCAGCAAAACGCCCAGAGTGTATCTACGGTTGTTACACCCACAGTAATAACCAGGGAGGCCACTGGATTTAAACCGCCACCACCCGTTTACCTTGGCATAGGATGAAAGGGTTTGCTCCTGCTCATTTCACGGAGTCGACCCCAACACCCTGGCTGCCCGCGCCGTCATACATCTCTCTCCCCAACCCTTCTGCCGCAACCCTCCTAGACGTCCTTCCCATTCATCAGGGCCTCAATAACGGCCCTCGTCATCACGCCAAGCCCTTTTGGACCTATTCGCTTACCCTTAGAAAATGCGAATTCAACTTTGATTAAGCTTGGAGAGCTGAATGGAGCTCAAAAGAACAAAAACACCTTGTAAAAGACCCAACGCCGGTCCCTTGGGTTTTATCTTCCACGAAGCTCAAGGTCCACCCTAAACCATGGCAGATGCGGATACCTTTTGCACGAATGGAAATTAAAGATGCTCCAGTGTGCAACTGTGGTCATGCAAAACAGAGCATATACAACATATATAACGACGCAGTGGCCAAGCCACAAATACGAAAGAGACATCTTGGCGATCCATTCCGCTTGCTCCTGACGCGGTTTGTGAAACTGTAAGTTGTTGCTCTGCATCGACATCATCAGCCAGACGAATGAAGAGAAGAAGATTTCACGGAGGTTTTTATTTCGTGCGGACTTGGCCTCAATTTACCCAGGGCACTCTTGCAAATGAGACCGTTATAAAGGTCTCTTGCGTTCTCAACCGGACGAACAACACTTATTTTTTCCAGGACTCCACACCTGCTCACGCACTTGTCGGTGATGAGCCGACCGCAGCCGCTGTGTATGTGTGTGTGGTGGAACACTGGGGAAGCGGTAGTGTAGTGGTTAACGCACTGCACTGAGAACCCGGCATCCCGAGTTCGATTCTCGCTCACGGCCAATACCAGTGACGATTATCTGAATCGTCCCTAAGCTTTTTCTAGGTCGACTCAGCCTGAAATGAGTACCTGTTGTGGTGTATAAACATCGCCACTGGGCTAACAAAGGCGGCCGTGCGTGATGTTGACCAATCACCCCCTCGTATGCCGTGCCGGCCTTCATAGGTGCTCTTTAACAGCACTTGCCCCAACTGTCTGTTAAGGCTATACGGGGGATCTTTGTCTTTGGTGGCACGCTTGGCTTGTATTGCACGTGCGGGCGCAACTTCAGGAAGCCGCCGCCCCAGCCATCACAAGACACATTGAACAGATAACTCGACCTACTTCGAGGTGCCCTGTTGCGTTCCTAAAACACACACACACACCCCAAGCTTGAATCATTGATATCAGCTTCCATTCCATTTACCTAGAACATGACCCCATTTACGACTTCACTTCTTCAGTAATACATTATGGACACCATGATAAAAAAATAAAACGTGAAAATGACAAAACCTAACTACATAACACATGGCTTGATATAGGTACGTGTGCAATCTTCAATTGTGAGTAATAGCGCGAGCTTGCAAAGTACTGCGTTGGTTAATACTGAACGAAGATGAGAATCTCATTGAGCTCACCAGGCAACTGACGTTCACTGCCATGAATGTTACTGCGCAATCCAACCAGACTGGGATTGACGCGATATCCGTTGTTCACGATACGATATAGATTTTCATAAGATGACGATTATCGTAATTCTTAACCGAAACTCTAAACATGGCATTTCACGATCTGATAGTTTTTTTTGCTGTGCTGCACTTCCAGGCGGGATAAAGATTACTCAAACGTCAACTCACAGTTCACTCAAAGTAAACCTGCCACAAGACTTATCCGACCGTTGCAACTATACATTTCAAAAGGCTTGTAACGCAGATGCTGTCGGTTTTAACAGTTAATAAACTCTGTTTAACACGTAGGTTTTCGCGACAAATATCATCCATAATATAGGGGTTTTTTTTTGGGTGTGATCGCGTAAATTTGTCGTTAAACCAAATGAATACCCATTGAAATGTATATGCATCCATGAATCCCTCCCACCCTCACACGTGGAGGGCCGACAAGTGACGTCAGCACATCTCTGCCTGATGAAGCTAGTTGTAATTACTGGCGGAACGTCGTACCAAGATTGTTAATGTTGTGGATTTGCTCTCCAACACGCCAGTGTGCTGTACTAGTAACGAATTAGCATGTTATGTTTACGTGAAAAACCTTACTAATTGGCTGTGTCGAGTGGTGTCGAGTTTAACAACACATTTATAATTACGCGATCCAACCCAAAAACACCTCTATAATATTCATAAATAAACTACGAATGTTACTTTGTCATATTACCATCATGCCATCAATTAGTCTGGGAAACGGTTACATAGACCATTTTTGTGCTTGTTATTTAAACCATTTTGGTCAGGAAATAAAAGTGAAAAAATTATAACCGCGATACGATGATGTGGTTATCGAGGACCTTATACGTTGTACGGCAACATCGCAGAACGCAATATCGTGGCAACCCAATTGCACGCACAGTTGCGACAGCAGCGCAGCTTTTGGGCTGCGTCAAGTCGTACCGGGCAGTAGGCGTCTTACAACGTCCGTGTGACGGGTTTCCCTCAAATATCGGCGTCTGCAATACCACCCAGACAAGTACCAGTGCCTTGTGCTAGTTGGCATTCTGAAAGGGCTGCGCCCCGATTTTCTGAATGGTCGACATTGTCAGCCAGCACTTGAGGCCAATATTGTTCTGCTGCGGCTGTGGTCGGCGTGTCCTCCCATGGTAGGTACGCAGGGTTATTCCGAGTTCCCCAGTGAAACAGTTTCCCGCAGGCCAGCGGGCCACCTGATGGTACAGAGGATCGCGAACCCATTGGGAGGGAGGCTGCCGCCTCGTCAGCAGTGTGAGTGCGCGCGCGTGAGATCTGGAGTTGTCTGTTCCGCCGGTTCGTGACTGGATTCAGATCCAAGCGGATGACTTCTGGGAGCACTGGTGAGGCCACGTCCGTGGCGTTTACTCCCGCGGACGTGCCAGTTTATCGTCGCCAATTTGTTCCGCCCGGGAAAGCGTTAAATGGCGTGCTCCTGCCTGCCCGCTTGCCTCGGTGTCAGGGTTGTCCCAATCAAAATTGTCCAAATTGGAAAAAATGGATTTGCAGAGATGGGCCAGCATCACGAACTTTCTCGGCTGTGATTGATCCTTAAGTCAATAGGTCACGTGCTAACCTCCGTGTACCTGTTAAACTCGGCAAGGGACGCTATGGAAGGGTGCACTTTGAAGAGCACAATCATCCCACTAAATGCTCAAGTAGCGAACGATTCGGGGTTAAATGCGATCTATACCTTGGAAGGTGTTGTTTTAATACCATATTGCAAACGACCATAAACGCTTTGTCCACAGCTCTGGTGTGAACTCTCAGTGACCTCGAGTTCCGTGCGGTCTGTCCCGTATTGTGCCCCATGGGAAGGCCTCTCGTCTCTTGCACCCGTGCAGCTTCACGCCTCAGGTAATGCACGACCGAGTGAAGACAGACAGAACACAAGGGAACTCGTCTGTATGAAATACACACGGGAAAAATGTGTGCTTCTTCTCTGCTGCTGCTCCCGTAGTCTTGACTCTGGTCATCCACAGACTTTTAAGATCGCTCTCCTCTGCCTGTGAGTGACCCGATTCCATCTGTCAAATATCTTGCTCAGCATTTAAATTAGGGAAAGCGCAGGGTGCTGGGAAATATACATTTACCACTTCCTTTTCCCATGAACTAAAAATCCAGGTCTCACTTTTGTGCAAAGCGTTTTGACATCCGGTTATCACATTTAGGTAGTTGATACATTCGGTTTGTATTAATACATCCATGGTATTAAATTCCCGCTGTTATGAAAACAACGTACAAATGTACACAATGCGTTTAATCTTTTGCCACACTGAGTAATATCCTTCCCCTAGTTAATATAAAGTCATACGGTGACATTATGTACATCCGTGTACATAAATCAAGGGGTCATCGATGGCTTTGAGAACAGAACATCAACGATAACCCCCTAACTCCATTGCACTTCGTAATAACCAAGCCAGACCTCGCCAATAACCATCAGAAGTGTAGGAAATTTTAAATTATGAATGATGGTGCTAGACCATCATGGACCTATGTAGTCTGTCTGAACAAATTCTTACTGTCCGAATCATTAGCCTGCTGCATTAACATCATTATTGTACAGCAGCGCAAATATCGATGGGAGCGAGGTGCTTTCGGTCTTTGAACAGCGGGGGTGATGAAACCTACAGCCCACAACTTCATTTCATAATTAAATTTTATATAGCATAGTTCATACAAAAACTGCATCTCACAACGCCCAAACCAAGGTCAACTCAATTATAGGCTGGAGTAAACAAAAAAAGGATTTAAAATGGGACTTAAATCGTGGCCCACGGCCACGTTGAGGCCTAACACTTCCAAACGAACAGCAAACGACGTTTACCAGTCGCTGCCATAATCTTCACCGCACTAATCAGGGACTCGAGGGTAATATGCTGGTCTGAACAACAACACCGCGTCTAAGCTTTGCACGCTCAATTCATGTTGTCTTTCAAGTCCTAGCATGATAAAAGTTTAGTATCACCGAATGTTACCCCGCGAAAGGCGAATGCCCCGTTTGGCCCTCGGGAAGGAAAGGGTTCCACGTCCCTGGTTTAGAGAATAACCTTGTCCACTTGCACATACGAGCAGTGCCAGTCCGGGGCCGTCGCAGTACGCATGGGTAGTTTCCCACTGGCTATTTGCCAAGCTGAGCCAGAACCAAACCGTCATGTGCTGGCCTCAAGACATCTGAATCTGGCTCGGGTGCCAAGCAGGGCCACGGGGGCGGTTTATAATTTTTTGTCACACGCATTGTCTACACGCGACTCGACCCGTCCATTGCACGCGACATCGATGGCACGGCACAGCTCGGTTCTGCAGTGGGAAAAAAAAAACAAAAAAACTGGCGCCTCCTGACCCACGCCGGGCCAGGCTGTTTCGCCACGGCCCCAGCGCGGCTCGGTCGTTCGCCCCTCCCCGCCTCGTCCCGACGGGGCACGGAGGGAGCGCTCCGAAGCAGAAGGCCGAGGCCGACACTCATCCGCGCCACTGCCACGGGATGACGACCTCGCCATCCTGCGACACCGAGTAGTAGCGCGAGACGCACACGCGCATCCCCCGGAGCCCCGACAGATGGGGCGCCGTCGGCAGCAGCAGCAAGCGGCGGCAGCACTCGGCCAGGGCGGCCGGGGGGAGGCCGGCCTCGCCGCGCACTCGGTGGGCGCCCAGCCGCTCCGCGCACTCCTTCGCCAGTGCCAGTGCCTCGGCCTCCAGCCTGCGAGGAGCGCGGGCGCAAGGGAGAGGCGGCGCCGTGGTTTGAGAGTCCTCGGTGCACCCGCCCGTCTCGAATACGATGCGGAATTATCTTAAGTCTGCGCCTCGATTCAGACGGGTTTTGTCTCGTCGTGTTGCCGTCCACTCGTGGTTATCGCTAAATAAAATAAAAAAAATAAAAAAACACTTGGCTTGATTAATATTTTTTGTCACTCATTTCGTAAAACAAAAGAACAACGGTGTGCGCCGGGGGTGAATAGGGCCCACTGAGCAGACGTGTCGCCATCGACTTCCCGGCGCGACAACGCGGCGCGCACCTCTGCGTCGCGTTCATGCGCGCGCGCGCCTCCCTGGCGTTGCCCGCGATGAACATCTGCAGGGCGTCGGCCGAGCTCGTGACTGGGACCTCGAACACGCCGGACTCCAGCAGCCGCAGGCTACACTCCGAGCTGGGACACAGCGGGCACCCACGACCTGCACGGTCAACCACAGCCAGATGCCCATTCACTCGCACAAAATAATTCCTGCATTCCTCCAGGATGTTTTGTTTTCTCCCAGATTCTTTTTATCCCGATCGTTGCTGTCGGCGGTCACGTCACGAGACAAAGTAATTCTTCGGGTGACCTCTGACCTACGCGGTAGATGGTAGCACTTCCCGCTTGCTGTGCAAATGAGCGAGGTTTTTTGCGTGACAACCAACTAATTTAAATTCTCAGAGCTAGACATGATACAAGGCAAGTACAGAACCAAATTTTACGTTGTGTTTTTTTTTTCAAGCGCTGGTGACTGGGCTGAGACCATCAACTCACTTTAATCGAACCCAGGACCTCAGCGGTGCCAGCTCAGCGCTCTGACCTCTTGAGCTACCCGGCCACTTATGATGTGGTGTAACGGTGAGCACACGATCTGCTTCTGTCTACGTTTAGCACACTCCAGTCACCTGTTGTCTTTAAAAGGCACTTGAAAGTCGTGGTGAAACCCAGAGGTCACCGGATCGATTTGGTCTCCTGCCGTGACGGGTTCAACAATGGTGCAAGTTTCGTAAATCTCGCCGCTTTCGTTCAACGAGCTGTAGAGATGGGCGCGCCACAGCCTGACCGGCCAGTGTCGAGGGATAGGCTAAAGTACCCTCTACAGCAGTGGTCCACAATCGTAACAAAAATGTATGTTAATAAATACACAGGGTTTGATGAAATAAAGTAGTTGTATTCTTGGTTCTTTCGGTAAAGTCACGTAGAAGGGAAACAATAAAATAATACAAATATAAAACAATAAAATTCTCACGACGTTTTCACTGCAACACAAGCAATCTTGCTGTGGTTTTCACACCTGATGATGATTGCTTGTGTTGCAGTCGAAACGTCGTGATAATCTTATTGTTTTATATTTTTTTTATTTGATTGTTTCCCTTCTACGTGACTTTACCGAAAGAACCAAGAATATGAATCCCTGCAGTCACGAAAGCTTTAAATAGAAAAGTAGTACTTGCATGCCCGTGCTTAACTTGCGTTTCGATGATTTACATTCCAAAAAAAATCTGGTACGTCTCACACCCCCAGAAAGGGCATATCGCACTCCCAGGGGGTGCGTGCAACCCAGGTTAAAAGAACCACTGCTCTACGGGGACTGTAAACTAATGCTGCTGGATTACACGGGTGTGGAAAGCCAAGAGGCCGATGACAGACTAAAACAAATTTTATGTTATTTATATGTGGAGACACAGAACGGAATCCCGCGCTATACCGTACTCTCCGGGTTATGAAAAAAAAACTCAAAGCAATAGTTCTTCACAGCACATAAATGCTTTCCATTTATGTGCTATGGAACGGGGCCAATCCCTGTAACATCACCAATTACAAGTTATTGTTCGTTAAAGGCAGCGTTATTGACGAATCTGTTGAATTTTTTTGTAAAACGCGCTTGTGCACCAATGTCAGCGTAGCAGCATCGCCAAATTAATTGGATCACAAGAAGCACCTTTTTCCTCCTTTATCTTCAAGCAAATATTGGGGGTGCGTCTGCTATCCCGGTACATGTGTTATGTGAGGAGCTGTAGCACACCGCGCTACAAAGCCGGCGACCAGAGTTCCGGCTCCCGCTCACGGCAAACACCAGTGAGACGATAATTTAAACTGGTCAGGAGCCTCCCCTAGATCTGCTCGGCCTGGTGTGGTGGATAAAAACATCAGCGCTGGGGAGACGAAGGTGGTCGGTTGTGGTTGCTGGCCACCCACCCCCTCATGTGCCATGCCGGCCTTCATAGGTGCTACTCTCTAACAGCGCTTGTACACAATAGTCTGTTCAAGGCTATACAGGGGATCTGTGTCTTTGTGTGTGCGCGACTGGGTTCGTGTAACTTTATTTGACAACGAGCACAAGTTTGGGCTGGGTCCATAGGCGAAGTTTTCACTTCTATATTTAGGGGGTGGGCAGGGGTTCGCTTTGTCCCTCACATTAGGAATCGTGGGTGCAAATAATAATTTTTTTTTTTATCTTAATTGTAAACTACTGAAAATAGATTTATGAAGATGTCCAGTGTGGGGGGTGCGTTGCCCCCCCGTGCCCCCCCCCCCAAACTCCGCCCATGGCTGCACCTTACTTTCCGGTGCGTCTTACAACGCTGAGAACATGCGGCAAATGATTGAGGACCCGCTGTAGGCCACGAAGGCTGGGCACCGCGCCGGCAACGCCGCGCCGGCAACGCCGCCCCGGCAACGCCGCCCCGGCAACGCCGCCCCGGCAACGCCGCGCCGGCAACGCCGCGCCGGCAACGCCGCCCCGGCAACGCCGCGCCGGCAACGCCGCGCCGGCAACGCCGCCTTCTTCCCCTCCTCACCCCTCCAGGATGAGCCTCAGGTCACGCAGGCTGCCCGGCAGGAAGAGGGGCGGCCCGCGCAGCGCCGACTCCCGCATGAGGTTGAGGCGAGCTAGGGCCCGGTGCGCCGACAGGCCCGACACGTTGGGGTCGCGCTGGGCGAGCGACGCGCCGCCGAGCATGCGGCGCGCGCGGTCCTCGGCGGCGCGCAGCTGGGCGAGCACCATGGCCAGGCGTGGGTGCTCCTCCACTGCCTGGGACCGCACGCGAGACAAAGATCCCCACCACCCCGACCCAGTCCATAGCCATTAACAGACGGTTGGGGCAGGTTCCGTTCGCGAGCAGCTATGAAGGACGGCACGGACCACGGGGAGGGGGGGGGGGGGGTGGGTTTTCAGCACCATGCCCGGCCGCCTTTGTCTCCCGAGTGGCGATGTTTACACACCGCATCGGGTACTGAGTCGACCGACGGGAGGCCCAGAACCGGTTCAGACAATCATCACCGGTGGTGGCCGTGAGCGGGAATCGAACTGGGGTCGCCGGGGGCGTTCGTAACACAATGCGCTAACCACTGCACTGCCGCTCCCCACAAAAGACGAAGATCCCCCCCCCATCAACTCTTCACAAGTACTAAGACGCATGCAGGCAGCTGCACGTGCACGCATCACATTGTTTCACCTTGTTTTGCAAAATGGGCAGCTCTAAGGGCGGAGCACTCCCGCGACACATGGAACGTGACACACCCAAGATTCAGTGAGCGCTGGCCGCTGCGGGAAGGAAAGTCGTCTTGTCCTGAACACCGTTGTGTCTCCGTGTGCAGCAGGGCAGAGTAGTTGCATTGGCTGGACGATGAAGGCGGCGCCGGTGAATTAAACTAAACCATTTTAATTTTACCAGCTAAGGCGCACTGAGCTATGCACATCTTTTTCAGTGACCTGGTCACAAATGATAGCTCAACAAAAGTAGCTTATCGTGTGGAAATGTATAGCAACACTCTTAAGCACACGTTGATTACAAATGTGAAAGGAAAAACTGGAGGACCCGGGGAATAATGCAAGTGACCACGTGGAGAACGTGCGAACTCCAAATATACAGGTATCTTCAAGGGTCGGGATAAAACCCCCGACCTCCGACATACCAGGCGAGGTAGTTAATAACTCGCCACCATAGACGAGTTGGGGGATGCCTGTGAGGTGGGCAGGAGGCGGAAGCACAGCAATGTGGGGGAGCTGAGTGTCAATATCTCACCTCTGTGGCGCCCATAAACGTGCCAGCAGCCCCCCCCGCCAATCCCCCGTACCTTTATCCAGTGGTGGTGCACGTCCGTGATTCCCAACATGATGTGCCCCAGAGCGTTCACTCCCGACTGGTCGGTGAACAGCAGCGTCTGGCCTGGACGCAGCCAAACACGGCGGAGGAGAGGGTGGCAGAAAGAATTTGCAGCAGGGATCACGCGCGGCATTAACCAGCAGAGAGAGCAAATCTAGCCTTATCATTAAATATTGCATTACTGATGACCTGCACAGGTGGCTTCACCCACTTTCTATTTGCGATAGCGTCACGCTTCACGGGATGTGAATGACGTGGTTTACTGATGAGATGTTTGGGATTTCATGAATGTAAAACGGCAGCCCGTGCAACTGCTTGCTCACGCCACTGCTGGCAGAAGGGCCTCCACCAGAGGCACTTCCAGAGAGCCCCTCTAGAGTGAATTGTTGTTACATCGGCCAAGCTGGCCAGACCATCTCGAAAGAGATGACAGTACCCACACTTTACCCCAAACATATTCATCTATTTCTTCGCTGTTGATGCCAGAAACATTAAAAATGATGCTCTCGTGTAAATGAGATCGTATTTTCACGTAATGTTCAACTGTGTGGTTTTTTGCGGCGTCGACGGCAAACGGACGGACAGCACGGATGTACACGGCGACACGTAAAGCAACGCGAAGAAGCCAAGCGGTCCAATAAACACACACGGTGAGCAAGCGCTCAATCAGGATTACACGAGGAATCATCATCCTCTATTGGCACACTAATGCCCCCAGGTCACGCTTGCAAATGAGACTCATCCTGGTCTCTGCGAGTTCTCACCTGATTCAACAAAAGCAACATGACCTTGAAACATAAGTCACACACGTGCAAATTTTGTTTTTCGGATGAGCAAACGTCGCATAGATAGAGACACGGACATTTCATTTGAGCTGGAAGAAAACCAGATGAGCTATGAAGCTCTTGTTCACTGGTGTCCAGCCCAAGTTGGGGTCTGCATTGGCGGAAAAGTTAGAGATAAATGAAAGAATCGCACAAACTCGGACAACATCATAGAATATTGTTGTTTTTAATAACAGTAGTCGTTAAAATCGATATGAAGGGTAGATTACACTAGCAATTTATAGTTGTCAAGTCGTAGGTGATAAATCTAGATGTTGATAAATCTAGATGTAGAACAATAACCAGGATGCAGAGCCTCTTAAGCATAATCAGACTTATTCTTTTGGTCTTTCGTTAAAGTCACGTAGATAGAAAAATAAAAAAAAATATCAAGACGTTTCAATCGCAACACAAGCAATCGTCATCAGGTGATTGCTTGTGCTGTGATCGAAACGTCGTGATATTTTTATTATTTTTCTATCTACGTGGCTTTACCGAAAGACCCAAAGAATATTAATTCATGCAGTCACGAAAGCTTTAAGTCATAATCAGACTATTACGTAACATTGCTTATGTTGAAGAACACAAGACTACCTTTTTGACCCAAGCCATAACAACCATCATTAATTGAATCCCGTATAAAACCCAAAGAACAGACACATTACATACCAGGGGGGGCGGGGGCGAGGGAAACGAAAGGCCGAGGAAAGGACATGGCACCTAGCAATCTTACACCATCAATCATCTGTGTCGCCACGCTTGAGAATTACATTGCTCCAGCAGTGATTACCCCCCATACACCCTGCCCAAGGAACAGTCCCAACATCAGCAATGGGGGAAAAACAATAAAAAAATAAAATTAAAAATACAATTAATGTAAAACGAAAAAAAATATGATACAATAAATATAAAACAATACAAAAATATAAGTGCCCAGGTACATTGTGTCCGCTTATGTCCCCTTGAAATCGAAGCAACACATTATTTCCTGAAGCATAACGAAGCTGCTTCGTTATGGATTGTCAGTAAAAATCGCGGAATGCTGCTGATAATAGGAATAGGAGCCGTGGGTAACAGGAGTTTCCATGGACCTTACAGGTGTGGATAATAGGAGTTTCCATGGACCTTACAAGTGTAATAAAGCACTTCCACGCCGACTGTAGGACTTGTGTCTTTTATTAACAATGACCACACAGCTCCGCTCTCTCTTTCCGGATGGTTCCGCTCTCTCTCCTTGCCGTAACGCGCGCACTCCTTGTCCACCGTTGCGGCGCGTCTCTCTCCCTTCTCGCACTCCCCGCTCGCTGGCGGCGCGCGGGGAGTAGAGAGGGCTTCGCTGGCAGAGTTCGCCACGTGGCCGCTGGCAAGTCGAGGTAGGCGACGATGCAGTCCGGACTCCAGGCTTCCAACACCGACCCCGAGTCCTCTCACTGCCTCTCCTTATATTGCTCTCGGCAGAGCTAGGCTCCGCCTCTAGCCACGCCCCTCGTAGAACCTTCTCGATGCTTCCCGTACATACCCACGAGCTCCGCCCGTTACCTTTGGCCCAGATGGAACCCTTCCCTCTGATTGGATATGAGTAACCCAGCAGTGACTATGCAGCCCTTCGTCGTTCTTTAGGTGGCGCTCTCTCATTACACAAGTGTGGATAATAGGAGTTTCCATGGACCTTACAGGTGTGGATAATAGGAGTTTCCATGGACCTTACAGGTGTGGATAATAGGAGTTTCCATGGACCTTACAGATGTGGACAATAGGAGTTTCCATGAACCTTACAGGTGTAGACAATAGGAGTTTCCATGGACCTCACAGGTGTGAATAGGATAATAGGAGTTTCCATGAACCTTGCAGTTGTGTTCTTTGGTTCTTTCGGTAAAGTCACGTAGAATGAGAATAAAATAATCAATTGATAAAATAAAATAACACAATAATATTCTCACGACGTTTCGGCCACAACACAAGCAGCCTTCATCAGGTGAAGGGACGAGACTGTCTGGTAGGACAGCGCTGGAGTGCTCACTCAGTTATTTCAATGCTAAATTCGCCTAGTTATTTCAATGCTAAATTCTCCTGTTTGATTTGTACTAGGTGCCTCGGTGAATGTGTATGCTCTGACTTTAACATAGCTATTTCTGTGACCAGTTACAAGCTAATCACTCAGCTATTTCAATGCTAAATTCTATGCTAATTCCTTTGTCAAGGGGTGCCTCTGCGGATGTGTATGCTTTAACTTAGCTATTTCAATGCTAAATTCTATGCTAATTCCTTTGTCAAGGGGTGCCTCTGCGGATGTGTATGCTTTAACTTTAACATAGCCATTTCTGTGACCAGTCACAAGCTAATCACTCGGCCATTTCAATGCTAAATTATATGCTAATTCCTTTGTCAAGGCGCTTTGTTTCTTCTGACACAGCTTAAAGGTCGTGATCTGAACGTGGCTTTTTTCACTCCAGCGCTGTCCTACCAGACGGTCTCGTCCCTTCACCTGATGAAGGTCGCTTGTGTTGTGGCCGAAACGTCGTGAGAATATTATTGTGTTATTTTATTTTATCAATTTATTATTTTATTCTCATTCTACGTGACTTTACCGAAAGAACCAAAGAAGATGCATCCTTGCAGTCACGAAAGCTTTAAATCGAAACTTGCAGTTGTGGATAATCGGAGTTTCCATGGACATTACAGATTGGGATAATAGGATAAGAGTTTCCATGGGCCTTACAGGTGTAGACAATAGGAGTTTCCATGGACCTTACAGGTGTGGATAATAGGGGCAACGGATAGAGGAGTTGTCCTGTAACATATTTTTAAAAAATAGTTTTTGCACGCGATTATCAATAACACTTTTTAACCGGCGTATCCACACACGCGCACATGCGCTCCGGTACGTGTATGTGCGTACCCTTCAGGTGCTGTGCCAGCTGTGGGAACTGCTGTCCCATTCGGCTCAGGCTGTGCAGCTGACTGTTCTTGTGGGCCACACCCCACTGCCTTTGCCACCTGCGTGCAAACAACAACGGCAATTAACAGGGAAGTACACGCGTGGGGCCCAGCCGTGTCGCGACGGCGCGAGGCACGCGCATGCGCTATCGCATGCTGCGGCACGCACGACGAAGCATACGTCGCACAGCAGAACACACCAAAAACGGCGCACGCCACGCAAAGACAACGCGAAGCACACACAGCGCAACACCACAAGTTAACGCCTATTCTAGGTTATTCCACACACCGTGTAGTACAAAGACAAAGATCCCCTGTATAGCCTTAACGGACTTTTGGGGCAAGCGCTGTTAGCGAGCACCAATGAAGTTTGGAACATCACATGAGGGGGTGGGTGGCCAGGACCACGCCCAGCCGTCCTTTGTCTCCCTAGTAGTGAATTGGCATGTTCTGTTTACGTGACAACCCTTACTAATTGGTTGTGTTGGGTGGTGGCGGGTTTAACGACACATTTATATATTTACACGATCTACGCCTTTTGGCGTCTTCTGGTCCAACACCAGTGGAGACTAGGCTCTAAGAAAAGCCGTCTTCGGGTGTGGACCAATCAAATTCAAGGACAGTGCATATTATTATCAGAGTTGTCTCTTTTGTTTGCATTTTGACTGCTTGTGTTGTGGTTATTGCAAACATGATGCCTTGAATAAAGGTATCAGTTTTTGTGCCAGTTAAAAGGGTAAAACCTATTTCTATATCTTGTTGCTGGCAAAGGAGGTCTCATAATGTAAACGTTTGTTCTATTTGCTACACAGATGGTGGTCCCATTCAGCCAGCTGCCCGACTATTTTACACGGGAGATCCATCATGCTGCATGAGCAGAGCGACAACAACAACAAAAGACAAAAACATCAACAGTGCAGAGAACAGGGTCCTTCAGGTATATTGCACAACAAACAAACAATGGCATAAACCATATCATACATCTGTTCCATACCTTAAGAGCAAACATCAATCGCAGACTAATGACAAATAAATAGCGTATGGCAACATCGTAGATTCAATCACGCCTCCCTTGACAGGCGGCGCTGAGTTTCGATCAGCTCTTTCCTGGTTATAAAGGCCATCTTTTTGTCCCTCACTATAGACCAGAACGCCCCCTCTACGTGCAGTGATGAGCCGTGCCAAATCACCGTCCGAGCGTGACGCGTGCCACGCGCTTCGACAGCAAGCCTTCACCACTTTATACTGAAGGTTGTAAACGTGGAATTGGTTGACAAATATTTTGAAACGTGGAATTGGTTGGCAACTATTTTGAAAGCCAAGGTGAATCGCGCCTCTGTTTGGCGGAACACATCGCGGTCGCAAACGGCGCGTGGGTGGAGAGGTTTGCCCGGGCGGTGTCATTTGGCGCCAAGGCGTTGTGGGAGACCGCTGCCTTAACGCTCACGAAGCGGATAAATTAGCACCGAGCTTATATTGTGGAAAGTGTCCAGTTGCTTGGTTAGTAATCACATATGCCGTTTGCTTAAATGCAATGTGTGCCCTGCGACTGGCCCTCGCTGACAACCACCGTGTGTGCTTATTGACGTGTACCTACCGTGCGGAGCGTACTCACCGCGCATCCTGAATTAACGTATATTCTTTTAACGTCTCCTGACTAACCATGTGTCCTTGACACGACTCCTTACTCACCATATGTCCGTACCATGTATCCTTACGAAATACATATCCTTCCCATGTATCCTTACTGATCTCATGTCCTTACCAAAATATCTTAACTGCACGCCCTTACCATGCATCCTGACTGACCACGTGTCCTTACCACGTATCCTCACTCACCGTATGTCCTGCAGCCCCATGCGCTGGCACAGCTCCTCCTTGAGCCTCTGCACGGCCGTGCGGAGCGGCAGGCTCTTCTGCAGCCTCTCGGCCGCCGTGGGCCCGTGCCTCTGGAGCCACGCCCTGGCGAGAGGGCGGCACGCGGAGCCCCCCGCACCCCGACGCGTGACTTCTCCCCCTCCACCTCCACCACCACCACCACCACCCAACCCCCGCGGAGGGCAGCGATGAACCGCAGGGAGGTCCGGCTCAACGCTCGAGCAAGATTCATTCACTCATTCATTCGTTTTCAAATGTGCTTCGTACCGCGCGTCGTTCGGCACGACGTTCGAAGTTTCGCTCCATGTGCTCTGCTGCTTCATTCATTCTCACGCATTCTTTATTCAGTCCCTGGCCAAGACAGCATACTTTCCTTAACAGTCAATGTGTCTATAATTCGTGTTTTTTTCCCAATACGTACATTTATTTTCCCTCTCTCTCAAGTCTAATACCCAGCATGCATCTCTCCACGCTTCTTTGCTACATTTCAGCCTTCGTTCCATTCGCTCGCTCAGTGTCCACGTGTCTGATCCGATCACACACAATCAGACGTACCCGATTCTTACACAAACGATGACAAGCATGCATCGTGATGGTAGGAATTTCAATCAATGACATTTGGGCTGCGAGAGCGGCGCAGTAGAAACACTCGTGCCTTACAGCTGTAAGGACCCGGGTTTATTTATACCAACTCGAGTTCTTCCCCTGTTCTGCATGTTTTCTCTGGTTTCTGCAGCTTCCTCCCAAAGATAAAAAAACCACACCCATGAGTGCGAATGGTAATGGCCAAACATCCCAATGGTGAAAAATTACTCTTGCAAATTACTAAATGGTTGGATTACACATCGCAGCATTGCCCCTGACTGCAAAGATTAGCAGGATCCCTCCTGAAGGAGTTGAGATTCAGTGAGCCTCTCCTGGGTAAACGAAGCATAATAATAATAATAATAGCAGCGATACAAATTTGTATGCTCCTCAGACAGGTCACCTAGCTCCACGTGCTGCCGAACACAGATTGGCGACCCGAGACGTCAATGCAAAATCGTTACCCAAGCGTTGGCTCAGCCACCTTCGCCTTCCGCATCTCCTCGTCAGGGTCCTTCTGTCCCGTGAAGGTGTAGAACGTCTTGTCCCACTTGATCGGCCTAGCGAGTGGGGCGCGCACGACACCGCCACGTCACCAACGCGCGAACGGGCGATGCGATATGACGCGACGCAATGCCACTGGGATTCGTGCAGCGCCTAGCCCAGGGCTCGGCAACCAGCGGTTCCGGAGCCACATGCGGCTCTTTACAGATTGCCTCGTGACATTACGTGTGTGTCTAGATATTGATGTGCATTGCGGCTCTTGAAGTATTGAGGGTGTTTTTTTTTTCTTTTTACCGAATACGGAAAAAATGTTTAGCTTCCTGTTGTTTTTGTTGCCGACGACTGGCCTAGCCTATGCACTGTTTTTCGATTCGTGCATTTTGCATGTGATCGTTAAATAACGGGTTTGTGAGTTGTGCAATGTTCCTTAGGAGGGAGAAGAGGGGATTACAGAAAAATATTGATGTTGTACTGTACCACTATGCTCTCACGTCCATGACCAGTGTGGTGAAGTGTGATAATAAAAAAAACTCCACGATCACACGGCAGTGGGAAGGCACTCATCCAGCAGTAGATTAACAAAGAGTTATTGATGACGTCATTCGCAAGAGTAGGCCATCGTGTGCCGGCGTCAGGGTCCACATTTTCCACGTTCGAAAGTTACACCGCAAAATTACTCAACTGGGATCGTAAATGGCGATCATCGCCCCCTACTGGCAGGCTAACAGCCTCAGGTCACTCGTGCAAATGAAACTCATTGTGGTCTCCTGAATTCTCACCTCGTTAAACAAGATAAAGTAATTAAATGACCGTGAGCATTGCATCTAAATGTGACCGCGTCTTGAGATGCTGTACAGAACCAGTGGGCTTTGTGTGGAGAACGAGGCAATCAGTCGTGGACAGAGAGGAGAAACGGAACGTCTTGAGCCTCAACCGGAATAGGCGCAGCGGGGTTAACAGCATGGATGAATAACATAGCAGTGTGAAGAGTATTGCTCTGTGAATGGTACCGTATAGTCAAATTAATCGCATAGCTGTGTAAATGTTATCGCTGGCTAAGGAATAGAGCTCGTAGAAATGGCGTCACCACGCGATTAGTACATGGCACGATTGGTACAACTGTGCCAATTACAGGGACTCCTCTACTTACGAACATTTGACATACAAACTTTCAGAGATACGAACAAACCTGTCCGTATGTCCAGTTGCCTCTTCGGACCAAGAGTTGTAAGTTCAACCGCCGCGGCAATGGATGGCAGTGGTTGTTCGGTGTCAACCACTGGCTTGTTTCGAGTTTCGGGACCCAAACACTGAAAGGTTTACTAAGGTGTCGGCAGCTGTTCACGATGCTATTGCCTGTTAACGAGTTGATTCATGAAGAGAAGAAGAGAGCAACTGTGCAGGGATTTCTTGGTAAGTTTTTCAAGCAAGTAGAGAGGAAACACGAGCACCAAAGGGAATTAGCATCTACATCTGCAGAACATAAAGAACCAGTGGCATCTACATCTGCAGAACATAAAGAACCAGTGGCATCTAAATCTGCAGAACATGAAGAATCAGTGGCATCTACATCTGCAGACCATGACGAACAAGTGGCATCTACATCTACAGAAGATTATACAACTTTTAAAGCCATTCCCCGTGTTTAGTGTAGATGCCGTACAAAATGTTTGGACAAATCGACTTACGAACAGACCTCTGGAACCTAACTCGTTCGTAAGTAGAGGACTGCCTGTATATAGCTGTGTTAAAGTATAGCTGTATAAGTAGTATACCGTGAGGGAAAAAAGTATTTGATCCCCTGCTGATTTTGTACGTTTTCCCACTGACAAAGAAATGATCAGTCTATAATTTTAATGGTAGGTTTATTTGAACAGTGAGAGACAGAATAACAACAAGAAAATCCAGAAAAACGCATGTCAAAAATGTTATAAATTGATTTGCATTTTAATGAGGGAAATAAGTATTTGACCCCCTCTCAATCAGAAAGATTTCTGGCTCCCAGGTGTCTTTTATACAGGTAACGAGCTGAGATTAGGAGCACACTCTTAAAGGGAGTGCTCCTAATCTTAGCTTGTTACCTGTATAAAAGACACCTGTCCACAGAAGCAACCAATCGATCAGATTCCAAACTCTCCACCATGGCCAAGACCAAAGAGCTCTCCAAGGATGTCAGGGACAAGATTGTAGACCTACACAAGGCTGGAATGGGCTACAAGATCATTGCCAAGCAGCTTGGTGAGAAGGTGACAACAGTTGGTGCGATTATTCGCAAATGGAAGAAGCACAAAATAACTGTCAATCTCCCTCGGCCTGGGGCTCCATGCAAGATCTCACCTCGTGGAGTTGCAATGATCATGAGAACGGTGAGGAATCTGCCCAGAACTACACGGGAAGATCTTGTCAATGATCTCAAGGCAGCTGGGACCATAGTCACCAAGAAAACAATTGGTAACACACTACGCCGTGAAGGACTGAAATCCTGCAGCGCCCGCAAGGTCCCCCTGCTCAAGAAAGCACATATACATCCCCGTCTGAAGTTTGCCAATGAACATCTGAATACTTCAGAGGACAACTGGGTGAAAGTGTTGTGGTCAGATGAGAACAAAATGGAGCTCTTTGGCATCAACTCAACTCTCCGTGTTTGGAGGAGGAGGAATGCTGCCTATGACCCCAAGAACACCATCCCCACCCTCAAACATGGAGGTGGAAACATTATGCTTTGGGGGTGTTTTTCTGCTAAGGGGACAGGCCAACTTCACTGCATCAAAGGGACGATGGACGGGGCATGTACCGTCAAATATTGGGTGAGAACCTCCTTCCCTCAGCCAGGGCATTGAAAATGGGTCGTGGATGGGTATTCCAGCATGACAATGATCCAAAACCACACGGCCAAGGCAACAAAGGAGTGGCTCAAGAAGAAGCACATTAAGGTCCTGGAGTTGCCTAGCCAGTCGCCAGACCTTAATCCCATAGAAATCTGTGGAGGGAGCTGAAGGTTCGAGTTGCCAAACGTCAGTCTCGAAACCTTAACGACTTGGAGAAGATCTGCAAAGAGGAGTGGGGCGAAATCCCTCCTGAGATGTGTGCAAACCTAGTGGCCAACTACAAGAAACGTCTGACCTGTGATTGCCAACAAGGGTTTTGCCACCAAGTACTAAGTCATGTTTTGCAGAGGGGTCAAATACTTATTTCCCTCATTAAAATGCAAATCAAGTTATAACATTTTTGACATGCGTTTTTCTGGATTTTGTTTTTGTTATTCTGTCTCTCACTGTTCAAATAAACCTACCATTAAAATTATAGACTGATCATTTCTTTGTCAGTGGGTAAACGTACAAAATCAGCAGGGGATCAAATACTTTTTTCCCTCACTGTAACTTTGTGGCCGTGTGAATTATATAGCCGTGAGAATTGTACATAGCATTAATAGTAGAATGTTGCAGCTATTATGTGCCTTGCAGCTGTGTGAATTATATACAGTAGCTGTACACATAGAATAGCTGTATGAAAAATATAGCTGCATGAGTCATTCTCCCGAGCAGGTCCTTTCAACCGGCCACTTGCATTTTGCATTTATTGAACAAAAAAGACCCCATCCATCGTCAAAAGGCTTTAGCCCCATCTGTTTTATTCTCAGAAATATTGACTATTTATGAAGATGCAATGCCGAGATTGGCAAATTATCAAGAGTTCTACTGTACTCCGATATTTATCGTACGGCGTAAGATTGGCAATAAACGTACTGCCAGTTTTCATAAAATATCGTGATATCGTGCTTTAGTCCTCTTGTGTGTATTTTATTCCCTGACAAAATATTTATTAAATAACAAAAATACATTAATTAACTTCTAAACAATGGGGTTATTATCAATCATATCTGTGCTTTACAATACGTTTTAAGGAATTGATGGCTCGGCGGGTATACGATTGTCATGATTTTTCGTAGCGCTTTCAATTTGTTGAGTTTTTTTCATCTTCTTGGTTCTTTCGGTAAAGTCACGTAGAAGGGAAATAATAAAATAATAAAAATAAAACAATAATATTCTCACAACGTTTCGGCCACAACACAAGCAGCCGTCCTCAGGTGAAGAAACAGAGCTCTCGGAAAGACAGCGCTCCAATGAACACTGCTAAGCTTGGCGGAGTATTTTAAGCTGGGTGGGAGGAGCAGATCGTCTTGACAAAGGGGTTTACATATCAACGGAAGAATTTAGCATTGAAGTAGCTATGTTAATGTGATAGATTAGCAGGATATTAAAGTCAGAAATTAGCATGTAACTGGGAAATTAGCATGATGTTAATGTGAGGAATTAGCATGTAACTGGTCATGGAAGTGGCTATGTTAAAGTCAGAGTTTACATATCAACAGCTTAAAATACGCTGCCAAGCTTAGCAGTGTTCATTGGAGCACTGTCTTTCTGACAGCTCTGTTTCTTCACCTGAGGACGGCTGCTTGTGTTGTGGCTGAAACGTCGTGAGAATTTTATTTAATCATGTTTTATTTTTATTATTTCCCTTCAACGTGACTTTACCGAAAGAACCAAGAATATGAATCCCTGCAGTCACGAAAGCTTTAAATCGAAATTGTTGAGTTTTGTTTAACTAACAGCATGTGCTTTATTATAAGCATCATACATTGATAGAAAGTTGCAGTGATGAGAAACCTTGTGGCAGGCTTGATTTGAGTGAACTGCAATTGGAGAACTTGGAACTAAATGTTCTATTCTTATTGGAAGTCCAGCAAAACACAAAAAACAATACGATAATGCAAAATACAACTACAAAGTTACGCAAAACTGATACCACAATAATCGTCATGTCGTGACATGTAATATAGTCGTGTGACAAATACCATGGCAAACCGAGCAACTAGGTAATCCAATCCTTAGCATCAATGTCAGTATTGCTACCAATTTTGCTTCAAAATTGACTTTTGAAGTCCATTCGGCACACAGCCGTTTTAATACGCGCAAAAAAATATTTATTTGTTTGTGTTTCTCCCTTGTGATAAAACTTTGTAGGATGAACGTTGAGATTTATAACAGCACGAGGTGACCATTAAGGTCGGAATTGGTCTGTAATAAGGTAGGCACTGATAAGGGGTCGACAGGTATGTAGTGGTGAGTACTAGTGGTGAGTGTGTAGTGATCATTGTCTGTGTTTCTCCCTTGTGATGGGACTTTGTAGGATGAACGTTGGGGATTTTTAAAGGGGGCACGGGGTGACCAATGAGGTCTGAATTGGTCTGTAATAAGGTAGGGTACTGATAACGGGTTGACAGGTATGGCTACCACAGTGAAGGTAAGGAATTGAATTTACAAAGAGAAGCCCCCCTTCAAAACCATAGCAGCCCTGGGGCCTCCCCATCAAACTTCATCTGGCAAACCACCGCCGTAAGTAAAACAGACTGCCCAGCTCTCACCTGTCGGGAGCGGGAGAGTGACGCACGTTGAGGCCGGCTAGGTGCTGCGTGGGCAGGCGGCATGAGCTCAGGATGTCTCGCACGGTGGCCACAAGGTCGCCCGAGAGGAGGGTGAAGCTCACCGGTGTGAAGCCTGCAGCACCACAGCAGGGATCGCCATAAACATCGCTATCCTCGCTTTTTGGTTCTTTCGGGAAAGTCACGTAGAAAGAGGAAATAATAAATTTAATAATAGCATACGACGTTTCGATTGCAACACAAGCGATCGTCATCAGGTGTGAAAACCACAGCAAGATTGCTTGTGTTGCAGTCGAAACGTCGTGAGAATTTTATTGTTTTATATTTGTATTATTTTATTGTTTCCCTTCTACTTGACTTTACCGAAAGAACCAAGAATACAACTACTTTGTTTCATCAAACCCTGTGTATTTATTAACATACATTTTTGTTGCGATTGAGAACCACTGCTGTAGAGGGTACTTTAGCCTATCCCTCGACACTGGCCGGTCAGGCTGTGGCACGCCCATCTCTACAGCTCGTTGAACGAAAGCGGCGAGATTTAAGAAACTTGCACCATTGTTTAACCCGTCATGGCAGGAGACCAAATCGATCCGGTCACCTCTGGGTTTCACCACGACTTTCAAGTGCCCTTTAAAGACAACAGTGACTGGAGTGTGCTAAACGTAGACAGAAGCAGATCAAGTGTGCTCACCGTTACAACACCTAGTAAACTTAGAAATATAATGCAATACAACACAGATAGTCGGCTAACATAACAGTCAACACCCTACCTGGTTGATTAACGTTCTTCCAAAGATTGTACAATTTTAAGAGAGATACAACACAGAACAGGATACACAAAGACAGACACATAAGCAGAGAGAGAGATAACACAAAGACACAGAGAGAGACACACACACAGGCACGCAGAGAAACAACGCCTCTGTGTCGAGGCCTTAAATAGAGAGGGGGGCAGAGCGAGGGGGGGTAGAGAAATTCGCATGTCAATGAAATATGTGGAGCTTTCGTGACTGCAGGAAATAATAGAGCAACAACACGAGGACACACACAGAGAGAGAAAACATACTCAATCAAACAAACTTGCTAAATTAGAAGTTAAGTGTGAAATTTGAGAGAAAGACAAGACAGACACGGAGACACAAAGACAGACACATCTTCGTTGTTGAACACCTACACCAGCATCGTCAACATCTAGGTCATCTGTTATCATAACCAGCAGTAACAGCATCATCAACATCATCCATATCTTCTCCGGCATCATCAACACCACACTAATGTTCAATATCGAGGTAATCTTTATCATAACCAGTGGCGTCATCATCAACAACATCGCTAGCATCGTAAAATACATTACTGGTACCATCACCGGTATCAGCAGAATCATAATCACCAGCGAAACGTTCTACAAACTTGCAAAAAATGTGCTTGCTTGCCAACGTAACTCCTGGCAGAAGGATTTCCACAGGGCACTTCGAGAGCCGCGCTCTGCAACCGTTTTCTCTCGACGGCACTCACTTACGAGCTTGCTGGATCTCCACGGCACACCGAGGCAAAAACTCACTGTGGCCCTGGGTGGGTGGGTGGATGGGTGGAAATGCGTTGTAGCTGACTGACAATTCACAATCCCTTGCTTATACTTATTTTATTGAGCACTAAGAAATCAGGCGGCGCCAAACACCGTGAAAATAATGTTTCATTTTCAACGAGTGCCCAACTGCACATGCGTGACCGAGGCAGTTGAGTGGACCGGGGGTGGGGGATGATGGGGCTGATGTACTGCACCATGACCAACGGAGAGGGGAGGGTGGGGAGCTTGGGGGGTGGGATCGGCCACCGAACGACATGGCGAGTGCGTCTGTCCGCTTGTGAACAGCGAGGTTCTTTGTATATATGTTGAACGTCTTTCACACCGTACGTAGCCAACCGTGCTAATCAGAGGTAAGGGAAATGACTAATAGTTGAAGAATAATAACCTACATAGCATTATCGAATATACTCTTTTTTTATGCTCCATCATTCTGGATCATTTAAAAGCGCTGCCAATCCCTCCCCAAATCCTGCCTCGCGAAGACAACAAAACCCTTACAAGCCCCCCCCCCCCCAAACGGTACGATGGTGCCAATGACATCAAGCCACGCCGATCAACTCCCGTCCAGCAGCACTTGTGGGAACAGAGGTGCGATTTGTCAATCCTACTTGCTGCCAAGTTGTATCGAGCCACCCTTACGTGAATGTACAGATAACCTTCGTCTTCTCCGTGCGTGTCTTGTAATCTTTGCATTGGTCGGTCGGCTTTCGTGTAACTTTTGTGTTGTACATGAGTGTGCTACGGAGTTTCGATCTGCAATACCGACTGGTATTCTGATTTAGATGATAGGCTTTATCTGGTTGCCTCAGAGTGGTTTTGGTGTCCATGTGTTGTGTTGCTTAATTCCGAGTCTGTTTCCTGCTGCCAAATGTATTAACCAGACCTGCCAACGGGACAGTGGTGATTATAATCTTAGCTCTTTCGGTAAAGTCACGTTGAAGGGAAACAATAAAATAATAAAATATATAAAATAAACATTATCACATTTCGACCATAACACAAACGGTCGTCGTGTTATGGTCGAAACGTCGTGAGAATTTTTATTGTTTTATATATATTTTATTATTTTATTGCTTCCCTTCAACGTGACTTTACCGAAAGAGCTAAGAATATGAATTACTGCAGTCACGAAAGCTTTAAATCAAAATTTAGTGGTGATTATGACGAAGCTGGTCACGAAGAAGGCAGTGATGCTGAAGTTGATGATGCTGAAGGCCAGCATGATGTTACCAAAGATGTCGCAGATGATGATGACACAAGCAGCGATGGTTGTGATGGTGATGGCGCAGCGACTGCACACGATGATGGCACATACAATTGATGGCGCAAGCATTGATGTCAGAGTGATGATACAGCATGGTGACATTGCCGGCGTCGATAGCGGAGGCAGCGGTGACGCAAGCGGTGGTGGTGCAGGCGGTGACGGACGAGGCGCGTGTCCCTCACCGGCGCTGATGGTGGCAGGAGGCGGCTGCGTGGTGCGCACGTAGAAAGTGACGTGCAGCGGGTGTGGAGCGCGAGTGTCCGGCCTCTGCAGGCTCTCCAGGTACCCGTTGAGCCGCTTCAGGGAGCTCTCGTTCACCGCCTGCACAAGGCACCACGCGACGTGACGTGCCGTCAGCCTACAGTACCGGCTGCACCCACCTCTATCTCGCTGCACAAGCAGCCCTTCGTGCGCTTATGTGCCCCCAAGTTGATGCTTTACATTATGACATGTAAATGCTCTAGTAGTAGTAGTAATAATAATGCACAACCCTTGTCAATGTACTACGACTGCATGAAGGCCTCCCACACACCCATATCCATCATGGGAATTGTTTCATCATACTTCACCAAGCTGGTCAGTTCAGGGGTGGATTGGCCATGTTGGGAGGACCGGTTCAGATATTCACTTGCCACTGATGTTAGACGTGGCTGTGAATCTAAATCAGGTTGCGATGTTTAAAGCACAAAGGGCTAACCACTGCGCCACCGCTCCCCTGTGCAAAATACAATAAAATAAATTGACAGCATGTGCTCAAGTTCTTCCGATTTACGTGATGAATGTTATTCATATTAATCATTTACAACCCTCGGGAAATCCACGACTGCGTGAAGGCCTCCACGTGCCAGTGTTGGTCGTAATAATAATTATATGTACGGTATATAGCGCTTTCCATCAAGGATCTGAAAGCGCTGTAAAGGACACAGCACCAGCAGCAGACACTCAGCATAAAAATATTATAAATATATTTTTAATAATTTACTAAACTAACTCAAAGTTTAATAAGCAAAAGCGTATAAATCAGTTTTAAGGCGCATTTTTAAAATGTCCACAGACTCAGAAATCCTGATATCTCGTGGAAGAGCATTCCATAGCCTGGGGGCTACACGGGAAAATTCTCGGTCAGCCATAGACCGAAACCTCGACCTGGGAATACAGAGAAGATCTGCATCATGCCCAGATCTTAGGGACCTTGAGGTGACATATTGGTGCAGCATGTCAATGATGTAGGCTGGGGCAAGATGGTTCACTCCTTTATAAGTTAACCATAGGATTTTAAACTGTATTCTATGTGAAACTGGAAGCCAGTGCAGGGAGGTCAAAACGGGTGGAATAATGTGTGAAGGTGTTCTAGTTAACACCTTCGCGACATTACTTATGAAGGACCGCCGCGCCTCGTATTGACATGCACCTTCGACTCTTGAAATATATAGGGGTTTTTTTTTTAAACCAAATTCGGAAGAAATAAAATGTCTCTTCTTGTTATTTTTGGTTGCCGCACCCCCGGTCATGGGGCTTGTTCACAACGCTGGTTGGTGCAGGTCGGTGTAGGGAGGACAGGTATAGATACCACTCACCACTGACTGGTTCAGATAACAAGAAGCCACTGGTTCAGGCTGTCACCAGGAATAAAAGAAAGGTCAACTGGGTTCACAGGGCAGTGCAATAACCACTGCACCACTGCTCGAATCCATACATGTTGTTGCACTAATCTTCTTGGTTCTTTCGGTAAAGTCAAGTAGAATGGAAATAAAATAATAAAAATAAAACATAATAAAATAAAATTCTCACGACGTTTCGGCCACAACACAAGTAGCCTTCTTCAGGTGAAAAAAACAGAACTGTCGGGACGACAGCGCTTCAATGAACACTGCTAAGCTTCGCAGCGTCTTTTAAGCTGGGTGGGAGGAGCAGAGCGCCTTGACAAAAGAGTTTACATATCAACAGAATAATTTAGCATTGAAATAGCTGTGTTAATGTGATAGATTAGCAGGATGTTAAAGTCAGAACTTAGCATGATGTTAATGTGAGGGATTAGCATGTAACTGGTCACTCAAGTAGCTATGTTAAAGTCAGAGTTTACATATCAACAGAGGCATTTAGTATATTGACGCTAAAGAACTGCAACTGCCCAACTATCATACAATAAGCCGATGTGAAAGAACTAAGTATAAACTACATCAATATAATAAATGTACTCAATATATTCTTCAATAAGTTGAGCTATGAACATAAAGTAACTGGGTATACACTACACTATATAATGAATACCATATAGTAAACTGATCAAAAACTAAAATATAAACCACATCAATGTTATCAATAAACTCAATATACTCTCCAATCAGCTGAGCTACTAACAATAAGACGTTATACATTACAATTCTACGTCGAAAAAAATAAGGTGGTGTTTTTTTTCTTTTCAACTTTAGCACCACGGAAAGCGACGAGCTTTGTTCAGACGGACGAGTCCATCTATGCTCGGAACGGAGGAGGGGGAGAGAGAGAAACAGCCACGATGCGCTGCTCTGTCCTGTGTTGCGTTACAACCATGTTATAAGCTAGACTACTATACATTACAATGTTATACCTTCCAATCTAAACTACATTGTATAATATCGTATACACAGCCCAATGTAAGCTCTAACATTATGCATTATATTGATATGTCTCCAACTAAACTTGTTTCTACATTGCACGACTATACACCGTAATATACACTGCCATAGACAAACCCCACCCTTGAATTATACAATGCGTTACTATACACTACCTTATAATTTAGACATTAAAATATTAGACTTGGAATATTACACTATGTATTATTCTACCAACCCTACTGTATACCACACTGCTGTATATTCACTAAACAATTACAATACTATATATTGCCTTATGAATTATGTTAAACATTACACTGTTATACTATTTATTATTATACAACATGCTGTAAACAATACCATTGACCGTCGTGTGAAAGGTATTAAGAGACAGTGCCAGCGAATGGACTGCGGTCTGAAAGTCACCGTAAAATACAATAAATTAAGAACCGAAATGGTTTATAACGTCTTTCCAATGGTTACTAAGCCAGAATCCAGCTTCTCGGTTGAAATTGTCTCTGTATATGTGGATGGCCTATGTAAACTCTGACTTTAACATAGCTACTTCCGTGACCAGTTACATGCTAATCCCTCACATTAACATCATGCTAATCTCCCAGTTACATGCTAATTTCTGACTTTAACATCTTGCTAATCTATCACATTAACACATCTATTTCAATGCTAAATTCTTCTGTTGATATGTAAACTCCTTTGTCAAGGCGCTCTGCTCCTCCCACCCAGCTTAAAAGACGCTGCCAAGCTTAGCAGTGTTCATTGAAGCGCTGTCGTCCCGACAGTTCTGTTCCTTCACCTGAAGAAGGCTACTTGTGTTGTGGCCGAAACGTCGTGAGAATTTTATTTCCTGTTTTATTTTTATTATTTTATTTCCATTCTACGTGACTTTACCGAAAGAACCAAGAAGATGAATCCCTGCAGTCACGAAAGCTTTAAATCGAAATTGTTGCATTACGTTAAACATTTACATCTTGTATTTTAGTTTCCATTTTATTTGCCGGTATATTGCAACCAATATAAATAACTATGGGAAAAGAATTTGTCTTAAATATTCAACATAACATCGCCATGCTCAGATCAGCCTGTTATCACCCCAGTTTTTACACCGGACAAAAAGCTAAGCCTTTCTGGCTATGAAGACATCAATACGCTTCATAAATACAATACATTACATACAATCCGTGATCTGGTTCCGTCTGTAAAAGATGTGATTCCGGACATACAGTACCCTGGTGTCTACAAACTAAGTTGCCTCTGTGGTAGTAGTTACATTGGAGAAACGTAATTTATTTTACAATTATTTCAATAAATATTACGAAAATAATAGCTTGCATATCCGACCAGGAACACATAGCCAGTGAACTCAAGCACGTACACCAAGCTCTTAAGACTAATGGTTACTCCGACTACACAATCCGCAAAGCTATCACTCCAACCATGAAGAAGGACCCTCTTGAGGAGCCTTTCAAAACCATCACTTTACCCTACATTGCGGGGATCACAAAAACATCTGCAAAATCTTGAATAAACACAAGATCCAGGTCCGATTCAACACATTACATAAAATCCGTGATCTGGTTCCGTCTGTAAAAGATGTGATTCCGGACATACAGTACCCTGGCGTCTATAAACTAAGTTGCCACTGTGGTAGTAGTTACATTGGAGAAACCAAACGACATGTCTCGGACCGCATTCGTGAACACAAAGCAGACCTTAAACACGGTAGGACCAACACCTCGACCGTGGCAGATCATTGTTATAATTCAGTAGGCTCACATGACATTGACTTCTCCAAGACAGAGGTTCTTTGCAAGCCATCGGGCTACCATGAGAGATTCGTTCATGAGGCTATCCACATATAAAAACACAGAGACAATTTCAACCGAGAAGATGGATTCTGGCTTAGCAATCATTGGAAGGATTTGATAAACCATTTTGGGTCCTAATTGATTGTTCACGCTTACGGTGGCTTTCAGACAGCATACATTAAATTTTCGTCTCCCCCCTCCTCTTTTCAGAACACAGATGGACTCGTCCTTCTAAACAAACTGTCAAATCGCTATCCGTGGTGCTAACGTTTTATACATAAATAAATACAAACCGCCACTTCTTTCAAATGTTTCTTGCCGTTGGTTTTTCACACCTGATGATGACTGTTTGCGTTACAGTCGAAACGTCGTGAGAATTTTATTGTTTTATATATATTATTATTTTATTGTTTCCTTTCAACGTGACTTTACCGAAAGAACCAAGAATATAAATACAATACAGTTTGGGAAATACATACCAAATATAGCATTGCATACAAAAGTTCTATAATGGCCCGATTCATAATTAGTTCATTTTGGGTTAGATCATCACGTGGGTGTAATGAAAATGTTGAACTATAACTCTCGACCACCCGACAAAGCCAATCAATTGAAGTGTCACATGAGCAGACATGCATGCAAACTGATTTGCTTTACCAGCAAAACTGGAATGTTGAACGGCAAGGAACATTTTTCGCATCAATGGTTAAAAACTACCATTTTACCCTAAACGACCGAAACCAAGAGGAACGAATTATGATGAATGATATTGGTCGTGAAAGCCTACGTATAACATTAACCAGTAGTGTCCTACGATTTAAAGATTAACATCATTTACAGGGGGGGGGGGCATGATTAATTGTTGTGTTTGCGAGTCGCTGGCGGTAGCCGACGCGTAAATATAAATGATCAAGGGAGGCTCGCCCTCTCTCGGGGGTGCTGGCCGAAGAAGTCTGGATGCACGGCGAAGTAGAACGGACGCAGGGCGTTGGTGACGTCGGTAGCGGAGATGTTCGCGAGGCCTCGCCGTGCCACCACCGCCAGCCTGGGTACAGGACACCTGCCGGCAACATCCAACGGGACGTACGGTGTAGCATCCACACAACTGACCATTCCACGCGATCCATCGGTTGAACGTTCAACCGACCACGCCAGTGGTTTCCCAACCTGCGTAAGCACTCTGCACCATGGCTGTGGGAAGTGGTCGGACCTGTTTGCGGAGGTTTTATAGATACTCCGGTATCTTTTGACAAAACACAACATTTTGTACTGGCAATTGCACCACTGTTTACATTGTATCGTTTTAGATATCAATTCAGTTGCATGGCCCTTTAGTTAAACATTTTAAGTGTTCTCGAGTTGTTTTAATTTAGAAAAATGTTCTTGGTGCATGATGAGTGCTGACTGTAGTCCACGGATCCAGAAAGATTGGAATGTACCGATCTACACGATATTCAGTTATCACAATCCACCAGCCTTATAGTGCACCAACACGACCCATCATCAACAATGCTCCACCATCCATACACTTCACCCACATTGATCCACAACATGCACGTGTTACCACCTAAATGTTCCACAATCCACCACCACATATTCAATTCCCTATAGCCCCAAGCGAATATTTAGCAAACTCATACAAAAACGGTATTTAAAAAAAATCAGAACTTTTTCACTTCTACAGACTTACATGTACAGTCTCCAACAACTGAAAATGTGAATGTACCGTCACATATGTTTATGGTGATGAGTTAATTTAGCCAACTTAAAATGTCAGCAGAGGTAGTGCTTGTACCTTTAAAATCGAAATCTTCCTCCATAGGGGATGCAAGAACCACTCACTGCTGTGATTGAAGCCACATAACCTTTTCACCGATTGTGTATTTTGATGCTGTATAAATTCACATAATTCAACCTGGGACAACAAAGTAAGAATCCGCCAGGTGACTTTAAATCTCTCAAAAGTGACCTGGTCGACAAATGGCAATTAGAGGTTGGACGATCTTGATTTGAAGCTTTCGTGAGAGCAGGAATCCAAACTCTTTAGTTCTTTTGGTAAAGTCACGTAGGTATAAAATAAAATAAATCACGACGTTTCGATTGCAACACAAGCAATCATCATCAGGTGGGAAAACCACAGCAAGAATTTGTTTTTGCTGTGGTTTTCCCACCTAATGATGATTGCTTGTGTTACAATCGAAACGTCGTGATTTATTTTAATTTATACCTACGTGACTTTACCGAAAGAACCAAAGAGTATAGAGGTTGGACGACGAGTCAACTATTCTCTCACTTTAATATAGCCACTTCCGTGCCCAGTTACATGCTAATTCCTCACTTTAACATCATGCTAATCTCTCACATTATCATAGCTACTTCCGTGCTCAGTTACGTGCTAATTCCTCACTTTAACATCATGCTAATCTCTCACATTATCATAGCTACTTCTGTGCCCAGTTACATGCTAATTTCTCACTTTAACATCATGCTAATCTCTTACATTAACATAGCCACTTCCGTAACCAGTTACATGCTAATTTCTCACTTTAACATCACTAGACCCAGCCACTCCTTTATAACCCTTGGGCTACACCCATTTCAAACCTTTAACAGTCTGCATCAGCAGCAGGCCATGCTTTCCCACCTGATGACGGATGCTTGTGTTGCGTCCGAAACGTCGTGATTTGTTTTAATTTATACCTACGTGACTTTACCGAAAGAACCAAAGAGTATAGAGGTTGGACGACGAGTCAACTAACCAAATTTGTCTTTGACTTTTTTGTGGTTAAATACTCGAGCCCCTTTAAAAACTCTCATTGCCCTCCCCTACATCCTGCCTCATGAAGGCAGGAAACCCCGAACAAGCCACGCCCAGCTTGAGGCGGATGATGTTGTTGGCGATGACATCACCAAGCACCACCCACAACACCTCCCGTCCGGAGGCACACGTGAGTGCACAAGCGATAATCAGTTTAACACTTAGGCTTTTGTAAACAATATCCATAACACAGGTTTTTTTTGGGTTAGATCGCGTAAATATATAAATGTGTCGTTAAACCTGCCACTACCCGACACAGCCAATTAGTAAGGGTTGTCACGTAAACAGAACGTGGCCAATTCGCCACTAGTACAGCACACCGGTGTGTTGGAGAACCAAGCCACAACATTTACTATCTGAGTACGATGTTTCGCCAGTAATTACAACCAGCTTCATCAGGCTACAGCCATATTTGTGGCTGTCGCAAACTATTTTCGTGTTGTCTGATTAGTCTAATAATTAATCGGTAGAGAAATAGATTACGTAAATGGCCAGGTATCACAAGCTATTTGGCCGACAAAGTGCTTTATCGGCCTACCATAGAAAGCTACAACCAACATAACAGAAAAGTTAATTGGACAATAACATTAATTGAAATGGTAATGACTGGCAGTAATTAATATATAGTAAAAATATAAAACAATACAATTCTCACGACGTTTCGACTGCAACACAAGCAATCATCATCAGGTGTGAAAACCACAACAAGATGATGGTTGCTTGTGTTGCAGTCGAAACGTCGTGAGAATTTTATTGTTTTATATTTTTATCATTTTATTGTTTCCCTTCTACGTGACTTTACCAAAAGAACCAAGAATATGAATCCCTGCAGTCACGAAAGCTTTAAATTAAAATTTAATATATAGTAATTACGGTAAACTGTGTTACCCTGCTGAGCCAATAACGAAATCGTTCACAAGCTTTAATAGCGCTTGAACGGGTGCTATAGGATGTGGGGCCTACGTGGTAGGCAGCAGTGGGCGGTGCATCACAATCCAGTTGTACTCTACTTCCATGCTCTTCTTCACCAAGCCGCAAATGACCGGCGTGGTGTGATGTATAGTCAAACAAGCCCACAGGGCTTTGATCCAGCGGTGGATTGAGGAAGGGCTTTGAGTCTGGCGAACCAACCACTCACCACAGCCCCCCAAGTTGGCTGCATCTCGTTCGAATTGTGTCCGTCATGACACGCGAACAAACAACGTGTTCTCTGGATTATAAGTCTCCGGTAACTAAGACGAAACCCCCACCAAAAAAAAACTTGTGCCCGCTGGGTCAAATAAAGTTACACAAATCTGGTCATGCACACACAGGCACATCTGCCGGATTATAAGACGCACCCCCAGGTGTGCTTTCACACAGTAGGTGGTGAAGTGCCTCTTACAATCTGGAGTAAGGGTAACACTTTTCATCATCATCATCATCAAAAAATAAATACATTTCACCAAGGATCGTATATATTGTCATGAGAATAATAACCTCATTTTGACACCCTAAACATCGCACACCTCCTCGCTTGAAATTCTTCAAAGACAATGCTGATGCGACCATCATCCGAAACGTACCTGTAATCAACAGGTCGATACGCAACATCTCCTTCATAAATGGAAAATTAAAGAGCGTCACAGGAGTGCGATTGTGGCCATGCCCAACCAACACTCTGGATACATAAAATGAAACCCTTAGAGACGCATTGAGATTTAGAGACCCATGGAGATGCATTAAAGACAAGGCACAGTGCGATTGTGGGCATGCAACCCAAACTTTGCACAATATAGCAAACACATAGAGACACACAGAGATACAGAGACCCACATAGCGATATATAAAGACCCACTCAGACATACAGAGTGAAAGACTCATAGAGATACGTAGGGACTCGTATACTCATTGAAATACAAAGAGACACAGAGATCCATGGAGATGCATTAAAGACAAGCCACTGTTCAATTGTGGTCAAGCGACACAAAGTATGGACCGAATAGTAAAAACCGTAGAGACAAAGACGCATTGAGATACATAGAGGCCCACATAAGAGATAACTCACATCGAAATATAAAGACTCAGACAGTTACACCCATAGTCAGAGGCTCATAGAGACCCATATACTCAGAGAAACAAAGAGACACACAGAGATACATAAAAAAACCCCATGAAGATGCAATGAAGACAAGCCACAGTGCGACTGTGGCCATGCAACACAAACTAGAGACCCATACAGCGTAGTTAAAAGCCCTGTGACTGTGGCCATGCAACACAAACTAAGGACCCATACAGCGTAGTTAAAAGCCCTGTGACTGTGGCCATGCAACACAAACTAAGGACCCATACAGCGTAGTTAAAAGCCCTGTGACTGTGGCCATGCAACACAAACTAAGGACCCATACAGCGTAGTTAAAAGCCCTGTGACTGTGGCCATGCAACACAAACTAAGGACCCATACAGCGTAGTTAAAAGCCCTGCACTGTGGTCTGCGCTCCTCCAACGGGGGAATCGCGAAGCGAGACGAACACTCTCGCGGCCAGCAGACCACGCCACATTTGTCCTTTAACTCCTTGACAATAGTCGCCATCACACGCACAGGTAGCGAATACAATTGGGATCACGGCATACAAAGAGGGAGGTTGTGTGGGTGGGGGGGTGGTTGTGTGGGTGGGTAGGGGGGTGGTTGTGTGGGTGGGTGGGGGGGTGGTTGTGTGGGTGGTTGTGTGGGTGGGTGGGGGGAGGTTGTGTGGGTGGGAGGTTGTGTGGGTGGGTGGTGGGAGGTTGTGTGGGTGGGTGGGGGGAGGTTGTGTGGGTGGGTGGGGGGAGGTTGTGTGGGTGGGGGGAGGTTGTGTGGGTGGGTGGAGGTGGTTTTGTGGATGGGGGTGGTTGTGTAGGTGGGTGATGGGTGGGGGGAGGTTGTGTGGGTGGGTGGTGGGAGGTTGTGTGGGTGGGTGGTGGGTGGGCGGAGGTTATGTGGGTGGGTGGTGGGAGGTTGTGTGGGGGGAGGTTGTGTGGGTGGGTGGTGGGTGGGCGGAGTTTATGTGGGTGGGGGAAGGTTGTGTGGGTGGGTGGTGTGGGTGGGTGGTGTGGGTGGTAGGAGGTTGTGTGGGGGGAGGTTGTGTGGGTGGGTGGTGGGTGGGCGGAGGTTGTGTGGGTGGGGGAAGGTTGTGTGGGTGGGTGGTGAGAGGTTGTGTGGGTGGTGAGTGATGGTAGGTTGTGTGGGTGGGTGAAGGTGACCGACAAGTGTGTTTGTGTGCGCGCTGTGCCAGAGAAGACATCGCGCGTGTAAAAAAGAAATCCCTCCGTCAGCTCTCACCATCCTGCCGTGGGTGCCGAGAGGGCAGATAAGTGCTTGAGCATCGTTGCGTTAGCGAGTGTCCATACGGAGAGGCCAGACAACAAAATCACGCCAACTTGCCCAAATCCGCCGCAAGCGACGTTGCTATCCCGTCAAGTAGCGCACCGCCTTGGTTGTCACACACACAACCGGGCCTCGGGTACGGACCCGGACCGTCGATTGTTATCTTGACGTGAGCGTTGAACTTCTTTCGCTCCGCGACGTAGCCCGCCGCGCTGAACGGGCGGCGTTGGCTTGCCCTTGTACTGGCCGCCACCAGACACGAGACCGCGTAGAGCCGTCCAAGTCATCCCATATCACGGCGAATCAGACTCCCCCCCGAACGCTCACGAAATCCACCGCAGCGGCCCTTTGAATGTAACGTCGAAAGATTTATTCCATTTGCGGTCTTCCAAGTGAACGGGGGGTGGGGGAGCAAGTTTCCTCGTATCGGAACGTCGGACAACGCGACGTCCACCTCGCACCATAACAATAACAACAGCCCCTGCCGACCGCCTTCAACACGGCGGTGGTGTGGTGGAGGAGGGGGCGTGGCGTCTCCCTCTGGGCACCACCCCATCACTGCTCATGGACCACGGCTTCTGTGTTGCTCACGGGATTCCTGCGGGATATTTAAAGATTCTTACTCTGTAGAGAGAGAGAGTTATATGCGCGCGTGCAGTTACCAATGGATTATCACAAAGTTGAAAAATGTGTTTGCAATTCAGTTGAAACTTGACAATGTGTCCAGTGAATGTGCAAACCACAGGCCTATAAATAAACAATATTTCTCAAAGTGCGGGTGCTATACTTGGGGGCCGTCCATAAATGACGTCCGGCGATTTTGGACGATTTTTGCCCCCCCCCCCGTCACACGCCATCACAAAAAGTCATACCTCCCCCCGCTCAAATATGACGTCACAAAGCTCTGCCCCCCCCAAGAAATAAAAAAAATATTTCAAATCGCTTTAAACTATCGGCATTGTAGTGCGTATTTAATGTGGCGCTGCACTCTGATGTTGTAGGATAAAACATTTATTAAAAAAGTATTTAATTAAGTAGAACGTGTTGTCTATATTTATTTAAAGTTGCGCATTTTGATGTGACGTCACATTTCTCAAACCCCCCCCCCCCTCGTCACACATCGTCACAAATGTCTGACCCCCCCCCCCCAGGTGCGTGACGTCATTTATGGACGCCCCCTTATTACAAATTGCAATTCAGTTAAAACTTGACAATGTGTCCAATGAATGTGCAAACCACAGGCCTATAAATAAACAATATTTCTCAAAGTGCGGGTGCTGTACTTGGTGGTTCGTTTGTTACATCGCAGATAGTGAGAGAGGGCTTGATCCAGCAGTGGAATGATCCTGACAGACAATGATGATTTGAATGTGCAAACAGATTTCTGAGGTCACACAGAGGCTGTGAAAGTGGGCGTTGAATTGGAATGTGAAACCGGTCCGGTTATTTAACACACTTTGCCGCTTCCAAGTTCTGTTGTAACCATCTGGATAGTTGTCCATGACTGGCTAAACAGATATATATTTTTTGTGCTAGAATGAATGGGTAAAGTAATCAATCACGCGGGATTGTGAAATGTGTGGGTCTAGGGCGAAATAATAATACTGTATAATAAATATGGGCCAGCTGAAACCTGGGAAATGCACAGCCTGCAAAAATTTGTGCCGAGTGAAAATATTTCACTTTCCACTCGCAGGACCCCAAACACGTGACTGCGATAACCTCGACAGCTCACACGTCACGTGTGACTCCTGGGCACTTCAAGGGCGGCTGAGATTAACTCAAGAAAAAGAAGAATAAATAAGAGGCCGTCCATAAATGACGTCACGCGATTTTTGACGATATTTGACCCCCCCCCCCCCTTCGTCACACGGCATCACAAAAAGTCAGACTCCCCCTCAAATATGACGTCACAAAGTTCTTCCCCCCCCCCCCACCCAAAAAAATGCTTCAAATCGCTTTAAACTATTGTCATTGTAGTGCGTATTTAATGTGGCGCTGCACTCTGATGTTGTTGGAGAAAACATTTATTAAAACGTCTATTTAATTAAGTAGAACGTGTTGTCTATATTTATTTAAAGTTGCGCATTTTGATGTGACGTCACATTTCTCACCCCCCCCCCCCTCGTCACACATCGTCACAAATATCTGACCCCCCCCCCAGGTAAGTGACGTAATTTATGGACGGCCCCTAATAAACAAACATTAAAAGAGGGAAGAAGAGATTGATATCGAATCACTTTGATGATCTAGACCTTGGGTCGTCAACCAAAATAACAATAAAGTATTTTCTTCCAATTCAATATTTGAAGAGCCGCAATGCACGTGGTCTTTGGTTCTTTCGGTAAAGTCACGTAGGTATAAAATAAAATAAATCACGACGTTTCGGACACAACACAGGCGTCCGTCATCAGGTGGGTTTGAAATGGGTGTAGCTCCAAGGGTTATAATTGAGTGGCTGGGTCTAGTGATGTTACTGTGAAAATTAGCATGTAACTGGTTACGGAAGTAGCTTTGATAATGTGAGAGATTAGCATGATGTTACTGTGAGAACTTAGCATGTAATTAGGCACGGCAGTAGCTATGATGTTAAAGTGAGAAATTAGCATGTAACTAGGCACGGAAGTAGCTATGATAATGTGAGAGATTATCATGATGTTAAAATGAGAACTTAGCATCTAACTAGGCACGTAAGTAGCTATGATAATATGAGAGATTAGCATGATGTTGAAGTGAGAAATTAGCATGTAACTAGGCACGGCAGTAGCTTTGATAATGTGAGAGATTCGCATGAAATATCTGCTGACAAACAGGTAGGATAGAAACATCACAGTTAGGTAAGATTTTACCTGGTTAATAACGTCCTTCCAATGATTGCTCAATTTGTACCCATCATCTCGGTTGAAGTTGTGTCTGTGTTTATAAATCTGGATGGCTTCATGAACAAATCTCTCATCAAAACACTACACCATAGGGCCCATTTCATCTCCGACCAGCACCACCTAGCTAGTGAGTTGGAGCACGTGTAGGGGTGTTGCGGGAAGGGAACACACGGTCACAAAGTGGTGGCTACAAACACGTCCGCTACAGCCCCGCCCCTCAGTGGTGTCTGGGTATAAAGGGCGGAGAGCCAGAGAGCTCGGGGCAGAGTGTTGGGGTAAGCCAAGAGTGAAGAACCAGTGAAGAAGGGTGACCAGCTAGATAGACCCTGGAACTACCCTGACCGCTGCCCTTTTCAGGGCTGGCAGGGCAAGCCGGTGGTGAGGCCCCAGAGCCTCAGAGCCAGAGCCCTTTTAAGGGTCGGTCTGTTTGGTTGGGTGCCATGACCCGTGCCATAACCAGGGTCAGGTCCTCTAGCGCCTGTAGCGGAGGAACTGGGAGCATAGTGGTTAGGCTGTTAGCCTAGAGGGTGTCCCAGTGTGTATATGGGTAAAGGGGCCGGTACCCCTTCTCAGTGTAACCTTGCCAAGCTTTGAATACATAGTGCTGCCTCTACTGCACCGTCTCCGTGTCCCGTGAACCCACTACACACGTACACAAAGCCCTCAGGATGAACGGATACTCAGACCGTACAATCCGCAAAGCTGCCTCCCCAGCTATGGGGAGACAACCTTCTGAAGAGCCAACAAAAACCATCACTTTGCCATACATAGCAGGCGTTACCAAAAAGATTTCCAAAATATTGAACAAACACAGGATCCAGGTTCGTTTCAACACAGTACACAAAATCCGTGATTTAATCCTATCTGTAAAGGATGTGATTCCTGCCATGCTGTACCCTGGTGTCTACAAACTGAATTGTGGTTGTGGAAGCAGTTACATTGGGGAAACGAAACGACATATCTCGGACCGCGTTCGTGAACACAAGGCAGATCTGAAACATGGTAGGACCAATGCATCGGCCGTTGCCGATCATTGTTTTAACGCTGTGGGCTCACACGAAATTTATTTTTCCAAGACGGAGGTACTCTGCAAACCTACCGGCTACCTTCAGAGATTTGTTCATGAAGCCATCCAGATTTATAAACACAGACACAACTTCAACCGAGATGATGGGTGCAAACTGAGCAATCATTGTAAGGACGTTATTAACCAGGTAAAGTCTTAACTAACTGTGATGTTTCCATCCTACCTGTTTATGTCAGCTGTTATTTCATGCTATTCTCTCACTTTAATATAGCCACTTCCGTGCCCAGTTACATGCTAATTCCTCACTTTAACATCATGCTAATCTCTCACATTATCATAGCTACTTCCGTGCTCAGTTACGTGCTAATTCCTCACTTTAACATCATGCTAATCTCTCACATTATCATAGCTACTTCTGTGCCCAGTTACATGCTAATTTCTCACTTTAACATCATGCTAATCTCTTACATTAACATAGCCACTTCCGTAACCAGTTACATGCTAATTTCTCACTTTAACATCACTAGACCCAGCCACTCCTTTATAACCCTTGGGCTACACCCATTTCAAACCTTTAACAGTCTGCATCAGCAGCAGGCCATGCTTTCCCACCTGATGACGGATGCTTGTGTTGCGTCCGAAACGTCGTGATTTATTTTATTTTATACCTACGTGACTTTACCGAAAGAACCAAAGAGTATGGATTCCTGCAGTCACAAAAGCTTCAAATTAAGATTAGACTATTATATACAATCATATAGGTAAAATAGACCATAATATCAAATCCGTGATCGTGTAGATCATAATATAAAACATAGTGATCACCTCGACTAATAAATACTCATTGTGAGGATATAGAGTCGAATGTATTATATAACAGGTTATATTGCCTTCATGTGTACAATTCACTTTCAAATGCAGCAGGGGTGGGGAATGTCCGGCCCGCGGGCCGTATAAGGCTCACAAAATCATTTGGTCTCTGGCCCCGCCAAGGCAACCGTAGGCGGGACTCGAAATTCAATAAATCTAGGAGCGAGTAGCAACATCGTCAATACCAGCTAACATCACACGCCTCACCAAAGAGAAGCAGTTCCAGCCATCGCATTAGGGGTGGGTTAATTAAATGTTTGACCAGATATAACAGACTAATTTTTAAGTTGATAATTTTGTATGGCCCGCGAATGATGTTATAAATATCCAAATGGCCCTTGGCAGAAAAAAGGTCCCCCCCCCCCGAAATACAGTAATACAAGGAATATTGTTACACTTTACATTCCATTTTACTTCAGGCCTCTTTTGTAGGAGGCTCCTGACACAAATATTAGTGATTGGTTTCTTCTCGGAAGAAATCAGAGTGCTTGGGGAAACCCCACCACACATAGGAGGGGTGACCCTCAGCTTCATGCATTGAGAGTTTAAAGAATACATTGCTGTGCTTCCATCTCCTGCCGACCTCAGCCAGCGCCAACTCAGCTACGGTGGCGAGATGTTAACTACCTCGTCTGGAATACAGCAGGTCGTGGGTTCGATCACGACTCTGACGCCTTCTGTATATTTGAAGTGTGCGTGTTCTCCTCGTGATTGCGGAGATTTTTCTCCGGGTCCTCCGATTTTTTCCCTTCCACATTTAGAAACATGCGTTTAGAG